AGCTTTTTGAACTTCAACTAGTGTCGGAGGACCTACTTCAATGTTCTATTCAGGTTGTCTGGGAATGGTGGATAGTTGTAGAGTGGCTGAAAGCCAGCTAATTTGTTCTCTCAAGTGTTCCGCCCACCGTTCTAATCGTCTAAGCTGAGAACAGATAAGTGGCATCTTTTTCCGAGGTCGTCTTACACAGGACCACTTAATTCTTGTTTCTTTTGTTAGTCTGAAAAGCTGTCTGATGTTACCTACAGTCGCTGCCTTTTCGATCTTTTTTGCTTTCATTGCTCACCACTGCTCACAATCTTTCTGTAGACTTTTAGTTAACCTAGATCTGATTCGTTTTCGCTCTTCATCGTGTCCGGAGCCTGACGGGATGAGTTCACGAGAATCTATCAGTACAAGAGACTTAGTAGAAATCCATTGGTTGTTCCTGGAATCCGCTATTGGTTTTCGCGTCAACGAGTTCAACTCGAATGGGTCTTCGTGATGTGGTTTCTCTGCGACCAACGAGGCGTAAGCAAATGCATGCACGTAATAGAACATGATCGGAGTCCAAACAGTTGCAGTAGGCGATCACCATTATCTGTTCGCTGGGCCGGAATACCAAAATACCCACCTAAATGTCTTTCTTGGTTTAAGCTACCTATTTGGGCATTAAAGTCACCTGCTGCGAGTACTATTTCTGATCGTTTAGCTTTTAAAGAAGTTGAGAAAGCTTTCTGTAAAATTCATCTTTTATTTCATCCGGGCTACAGTTAGTGGGAGCGTAGGCAGAAATGATGAGAAGGCAACATGTGTCCCTGTCTTTCCGAGTTCTTACGGAGCCGTTTAGCCGAACAGCATTCTAATAGTGCTTCTTCTGCCCCCATACTCAGTGCTATATCTACACCCACCAGAACTTTCTGTCGGGTCGTCAGATACGTGGAAGGTGTGTCTCGTCGGCTTTCCGTTTTGGTGAAGTGAGGTTAAGTGGATGAATACACTAGGATCCTGTATGCGTGTTTCGAAGACACAGCATACACTAATGGTACAAAGTTCTAGGGTTTTAGCCAAAAAGGCCTACTGATCGCTTTGACACAGAGTGCGTACGTTGAAGGCTCCAATGTGTAATTTGGAGCGAGGTTTCAGTACACCTGGGACAGTGTTTTGCGCACTAAAATCATTGGTCATGGTGACACTTGAGGAGGAAGTATATAGTTGATAGTCGAGGTAGGGGGAGTAATAGGAATTGAAGAGGGAGATTGATTATAAATAGTGACCTTGAGTTAGAAGTGTGAGGGCGGTTATCACTTCCCGGTCGCCCACACCGTGGAGGGGTCCTTGTAGAGTTATCTGAAAAGGAAATTGGGTTAGGGGTGGTCTTAGTGACCTGGGAGCGTGACCGCAGTGGCCAAGAGATAACTGCTGGAGGTCAGTAACTCGCGACGTTTTAGTGAGTAATTTCTGTGTTAGCTCCGTACTTGTTGAGACCATACCGCCGGAAACGGATATCTGTGGGATAAGGCGAGGTATTCATTTTTAGGGTCGACCTTTTCTAACCCCGTTCCTCCTTGTGGGAAGGCAGCATCGCTGTTACGCTGGCTGTCTGAAGGAAACACTACTGCCGTCACACGCAGTCAGCAGTACGACTCCACCCTCGGACCTTGGGTTTGTTGCTTTTAGTTTTACCGCTTTTCAACTGACCTGTCTGGCATGATAGGACCTTGAGGAACGATTGTTCCAACTAGTATAGTTCGATTGATTCATTATGATAGGCAAACCCGACCACCACGTTAAAGTAACAACAACGATCGGGACTACTAGCATACATAGTCCAATCTTTAGCAAAACTGTGTTTTAATACATTGTCTTAGATTCCTTAGTTATTTTGGTTCTATATTTCACTAACTTTCACTTTATACTCAATTCGACCGCCAATCTAGTTGTTACTTATAGTCGACATCTTCAACATTAGATAGAATAGAGTCAATGTAACCAGTTTCCTAATCATAATAATAGTTTAGATATTTTAAGCTTAAAAGAACATTAAATCCTGTCAACCATAGGCTATGTGAATAATATCAAATGAAGATTCTTTGAAATTATCTTCATGGGTTGTTTCTTTTCGCTTTAAAGAAATATACTGTCAAGTGCAGAATATTATGAGGCAAATGCGCTTAGAATATCTGTTTCTTCTCAGTGAACTCCATTCGTTATGACTAAAAACCGTGCAGACTAATTATAAGTCAGTTGAAAAACTTTAGGATTCCAAGCTCCTACGAAGGAATACACAAAACATGATTTGGCATGCTAAATGAGTTTAACCTTTCTGCCATTCTAAACTGCGTTGAAATAAGACTAAACGGTGGGAGTTTCTGGTAATACTAACGGGATGAAAAGCATCTCGTTTCACTTTATAAACTTACCTCTTGTCATTTTAGAAACAGACTAACTAAAAGCATACCTGTCTTTTTATCGTCACCACTGTTCATCGTATTTCTCAATATACATATATATTCGTTGGAATGACCTTGGGCGCGTGAATTCTTATTTAGGCATACTACAATTTGTTTGAATTTTGTTGAGCTTACTAGATAGTAGATAAGTGAAATCCTTGGTCTGAGACCAAAGATACCAATAGTTCGGTTATGAAAACTCCGTTTTGTTTTTTTTAGTGTTAGATTTTACTTTATTTCTGCTCATCTCTACAACATTAATTAATTCACTATTGACATTTTTGTTCTAGATCATTTCCTAGACTGGATTATGTAATTGAATATATTCAGGCATTCTACATACCTATACACGAATGGGAACATTGGTTAACTAACTATGGGACTAAATATTCACGATCTCAGTTAACTGGACTTGCATCATGTCTTTCACGATCTGATAAACGTCAATATCAACGACTTATAAACACAATAAATCAAATTTACAATACAACAAATCAAACGAATTCATTTGGAAATGGTTTGTTGACCACTACGACGAGTTGAAAAAAAAACTCATATAATGTTTCATAGAACATTTTATTTTGTATGTATATAATATTTATACGCGAGTCTTTTGAGTATGAGTATGTCTTGGGTTTGGATAAATACATGGATTTAAGTAGAATATAGAAACTAGAAAAGAGAGGGAAAGAGAATGGATAGTACAAAAGTTTGCAGACTGTTAAGGAGAAAATTTGACTGTACACAATAGCCAGACACTGAAATATTTACATAGACTAGTTGTTAGACGATGATGCTTGAAACTTCATCATTTCAGCACGGAATGCAGAAGGATTAGACCAGAGTTGGGCTGCTTGCCCATTTAAAGGACTATCATTATTGGGTTCTGCAACGGACAAGAAACATTAATAAAAGCATTCGGTTCAGAAGAGCATTTCAAATAACGCATGACAGTTGTGGAATGCTTAACACTGATTGATCACTATGTAGTGACCCATGTAATTTTTATCTAGTAATTAGTATTGATTTAGCCACTAGTTTAAGTGACCCAACACTGACTGCACTATTTCGATGTTAAATAGTTAGAAGTGGTCAGAAGAGAATTTCGCGATTACATTGTATATCAGCTAGTACATGTTGACATGGCGTACTTAGTCTTGAGGGATCTGATACTCCTCATGACCTTCAAAGCCAAGTCACTCCGAGGTGTCACTACCGAGCTATTTGAGTAGCAACAGACCTATTGTAAAAATGATATATTCACACTGTCTGACCACTGATAGGTAGCCAGTATGATGTTTGTCCTAAACATCAATGGGAAGATTCAAGTAAAACAATACAAAGTGAATTATCCTGGATTAGGTTTACATACTTACTAGTCAAACTAAATGAATGAAGTGCAGATATATGGAGCCTCATCATTACAATGAACTCTAATTTGTTAGTACCAACAACTTTAAAACACCTATGCTCTTTACCTTATTCTACCGACATGAAGCACTGGACATGCAATCAGGTGTATAGTTCAATTTCACAGGAGCTCAAACATATATATATATATATATGTTTGAGCTCCTGTGAAATTGAACTATACACCTGATTGCATGTCCAGTGCTTCATGTCGGTAGAATAAGGTGAAGAGCATAGGTGTTTTCAAGTTGTTGGTACTAACAAATTAGAGTTCATTGTAATAATGAGGCTCCATATATCTGCACTTCATTCATTTAGTTTGACTAGTAAGTATGTAAACCTAATCCAGGATAATTCACTTTGTATTGTTTTACTTGAATCTTCCCATTGATGTTTAGGACAAACATCATACTGGCTACCTATCAGTGGTCAGACAGTGTGAATATATCATTTTTACAGTAGGTCTGTCGCTACTCAAATAGCTCGGTAGTGACACCTCGGAGTGACTTGGCTTTGAAGGTCATGAGGAGTATCAGATCCCTCAAGACTAAGTACGCCATGTCAACATGTACTAGCTGATATACAATGTAATCGCGAAATTCTCTTCTGACCACTTCTAACTATTTACATCGAAATAGTGCAGTCAGTGTTGGGTCACTTAAACTAGTGGCTAAATCAATACTAATTACTAGATAAAACTTACATGGGTCACTACATAGTGATCAATCAGTGTTAAGCATTCCACAACTGTCATGCGTTATTTGAAATGCTCTTCTGAACCGAATGCTTTTATTAATGTTTCTTGTCCGTTACAGAACCCAATAATGATAGTCCTTTAAATGGGCAAGCAGCCCAACTCTGGTCTAATCCTTCTGCATTCCGTGCTGAAATGATGAAGTTTCAAGCATCATCGTCTAACAACTAGTCTATGTAAATATTTCAGTGTCTGGCTATTGTGTACAGTCAAATTTTCTCCTTAACAGTCTGCAAACTTTTGTACTATCCATTCTCTTTCCCTCTCTTTTCTAGTTTCTATATTCTACTTAAATCCATGTATTTATCCAAACCCAAGGCATACTCATACTCAAAAGACTCGCGTATAAATATTATATACATACAAAATAAAATGTTCTATGAAACATTATATGAGTTTTTTTTTCAACTCGTCGTAGTGGTCAACAAACCATTTCCAAATGAATTCGTTTGATTTGTTGTATTGTAAATTTGATTTATTGTGTTTATAAGTCGTTGATATTGACGTTTATCAGATCGTGAAAGACATGATGCAAGTCCAGTTAACTGAGATCGTGAATATTTAGTCCCATAGTTAGTTAACCAATGTTCCCATTCGTGTATAGGTATGTAGAATGCCTGAATATATTCAATTACATAATCCAGTCTAGGAAATGACCTAGAACAAAAATGTCAATAGTGAATTAATTAATGTTGTAGAGATGAGCAGAAATAAAGTAAAATCTAACACTAAAAAAAAAACAAAACGGAGTTTTCATAACCGAACTATTGGTATCTTTGGTCTCAGACCAAGGATTTCACTTATCTACTATCTAGTAAGCTCAACAAAATTCAAACAAATTGTGGTATGCCTAAATAAGAATTCACGCGCCCAAGGTCATTCCAACGAATATATATGTATATTGAGAAATACGATGAACAGTGGTGACGATAAAAAGACAGGTATGCTTTTAGTTAGTCTGTTTCTAAAATGACAAGAGGTAAGTTTATAAAGTGAAACGAGATGCTTTTCATCCCGTTAGTATTACCAGAAACTCCCACCGTTTAGTCTTATTTCAACGCAGTTTAGAATGGCAGAAAGGTTAAACTCATTTAGCATGCCAAATCATGTTTTGTGTATTCCTTCGTAGGAGCTTGGAATCCTAAAGTTTCTCAACTGACTTATAATTAGTCTGCACGGTTTTTAGTCATAACGAATGGAGTTCACTGAGAAGAAACAGATATTCTAAGCGCATTTGCCTCATAATATTCTGCACTTGACAGTATATTTCTTTAAAGCGAAAAGAAACAACCCATGAAGATAATTTCAAAGAATCTTCATTTGATATTATTCACATAGCCTATGGGTGACAGGATTTAATGTTCTTTTAAGCTTAAAATATCTAAACTATTATTATGATTAGGAAACTGGTTACATTGACTCTATTCTATCTAATGTTGAAGATGTCGACTATAAGTAACAACTAGATTGGCGGTCGAATTGAGTATAAAGTGAAAGTTAGTGAAATATAGAACCAAAATAACTAAGGAATCTAAGACAATGTATTAAAACACAGTTTTGCTAAAGATTGGACTATGTATGCTAGTAGTCCCGATCGTTGTTGTTACTTTAACGTGGTGGTCGGGTTTGCCTATCATAATGAATCAATCGAACTATACTAGTTGGAACAATCGTTCCTCAAGGTCCTATCATGCCAGACAGGTCAGTTGAAAAGCGGTAAAACTAAAAGCAACAAACCCAAGGTCCGAGGGTAGAGTCGTACTGCTGACTGCGTGTGACGGCAGTAGTGTTTCCTTCAGACAGCCAGCGTAACAGCGATGCTGCCTTCCCACAAGGAGGAACGGGGTTAGAAAAGGTCGACCCTAAAAATGAATACCTCGCCTTATCCCACAGATATCCGTTTCCGGCGGTATGGTCTCAACAAGTACGGAGCTAACACAGAAATTACTCACTAAAACGTCGCGAGTTACTGACCTCCAGCAGTTATCTCTTGGCCACTGCGGTCACGCTCCCAGGTCACTAAGACCACCCCTAACCCAATTTCCTTTTCAGATAACTCTACAAGGACCCCTCCACGGTGTGGGCGACCGGGAAGTGATAACCGCCCTCACACTTCTAACTCAAGGTCACTATTTATAATCAATCTCCCTCTTCAATTCCTATTACTCCCCCTACCTCGACTATCAACTATATACTTCCTCCTCAAGTGTCACCATGACCAATGATTTTAGTGCGCAAAACACTGTCCCAGGTGTACTGAAACCTCGCTCCAAATTACACATTGGAGCCTTCAACGTACGCACTCTGTGTCAAAGCGATCAGTAGGCCTTTTTGGCTAAAACCCTAGAACTTTGTACCATTAGTGTATGCTGTGTCTTCGAAACACGCATACAGGATCCTAGTGTATTCATCCACTTAACCTCACTTCACCAAAACGGAAAGCCGACGAGACACACCTTCCACGTATCTGACGACCCGACAGAAAGTTCTGGTGGGTGTAGATATAGCACTGAGTATGGGGGCAGAAGAAGCACTATTAGAATGCTGTTCGGCTAAACGGCTCCGTAAGAACTCGGAAAGACAGGGACACATGTTGCCTTCTCATCATTTCTGCCTACGCTCCCACTAACTGTAGCCCGGATGAAATAAAAGATGAATTTTACAGAAAGCTTTCTCAACTTCTTTAAAAGCTAAACGATCAGAAATAGTACTCGCAGCAGGTGACTTTAATGCCCAAATAGGTAGCTTAAACCAAGAAAGACATTTAGGTGGGTATTTTGGTATTCCGGCCCAGCGAACAGATAATGGTGATCGCCTACTGCAACTGTTTGGACTCCGATCATGTTCTATTACGTGCATGCATTTGCTTACGCCTCGTTGGTCGCAGAGAAACCACATCACGAAGACCCATTCGAGTTGAACTCGTTGACGCGAAAACCAATAGCGGATTCCAGGAACAACCAATGGATTTCTACTAAGTCTCTTGTACTGATAGATTCTCGTGAACTCATCCCGTCAGGCTCCGGACACGATGAAGAGCGAAAACGAATCAGATCTAGGTTAACTAAAAGTCTACAGAAAGATTGTGAGCAGTGGTGAGCAATGAAAGCAAAAAAGATCGAAAAGGCAGCGACTGTAGGTAACATCAGACAGCTTTTCAGACTAACAAAAGAAACAAGAATTAAGTGGTCCTGTGTAAGACGACCTCGGAAAAAGATGCCACTTATCTGTTCTCAGCTTAGACGATTAGAACGGTGGGCGGAACACTTGAGAGAACAAATTAGCTGGCTTTCAGCCACTCTACAACTATCCACCATTCCCAGACAACCTGAATAGAACATTGAAGTAGGTCCTCCGACACTAGTTGAAGTTCAAAAAGCTATAGCTAACCTGAAACGAGGAAGGGCAGCTGGTCCAGATGGACTGGCTCCCGATGTTTTTAAGTATGGTGGTCTAATTCTAACGATTAGGTTGACTAATATTTTAGCTAAAATCTGGGAGTTGGACGTAATCTCATCTAACTGGTCGCAATCACTGAATGTCCCAATATTTAAGAAGTCAAAACCATCCTGTGATAACCATAGAGGGATTAGTTTGACTAACATAACATCTAAATTACTAGTCTCAATAATTATCGGACGCCTAACAAAGACACGTGGACTACAGACATGAGAAAATCAGGCTGGCTTCAGACCTGGTTGTGGCTGCATCGACCGCATATTCACCATTCGTCAGGTTATAGAAGAAAGGCATACTTATCGGCGTCCGACAATGGTGGTCTTTCTTGACTTAAAAGCAGCATTCGATTCTGCATAACTAGAGGTTCTGTGGTAGTGTCTATCATTGAAATGTGTACCTCAGAAGTACATAAACCTTGTGAAGGCTCTTTACTCGAACACTACTGGTCTAGTCAGAACTTATGGCAAACTTTCAACTAAATTTGCAACCTCAAGTGGTGTCCATCAAGGCTTTCCACTTTCTCCATTTTTGTTCAACTTCATCATTGACGTACTGATGAAAGTAACGTTTTCGTCGACTGAATTTTCAAGAATCGATCTCCTTCCAGGAGGTCCACTTATCGACTTAGAATACGCAAGTGACATAGACTTGTTTGGTGAAGATGCCGACAAAATGCAGAGTATTTTGGTAGCACTGAGCAACATTACCAGGATGTTTGGGATGCCTTTCTTCTCCTCTAAATGCAAGTTGTTGCTTCAGGACTGGTCTGGGTCAACACCGGAACTAAGGATAGGGAGTGAAGTAGTCGAACGCGTTGACAACTTCACTTATCTTGGAAGTCTGATCAGCCCTAATGGTTTGATGTCTGACGAAATCTCTGCACGGATTCGAAAAGCTCGTTTGGCATTTGCCAACTTACATCACCTATGGGGAAGGCAAGATATCCGTCTGACAATAAAAGGACGAGTAAACTGAACAGCAGTTCGTTTTGTCTTACTTTACGGCTGCGAAACATGGCCATTAAGAGTAGAAGATACTCGTAAGCTACAAGTATTTGACCACAGATGCCTTAGGAATATTGCTTGCGTCTTCTGGGATCATCAGATAAGTCATAGTAAGGTTAAACGCAGCGTATTAGGGGATGATGGTAAATTAGTTGATGAAGCTGTGAATTTCATCGATTGATATGTTTGGGGCACGTGTTACGCATGCCCGACTACCGATTACGATGGTATGCAATGCTGAATAGTGTTGGAGACGATTGGACGAAAGTTAGGAGCAGCCAAACCAAAACGTGGCATCAGTCCTTGAAGTCACTAACTTCTGGTCTGTTCCATGATGGTAGATGCAGACTATTTATTTATTTATTTTAACACATAGATATTGGTACAAGGAGGCACCAAATACATATGCGCCACACGAATTTCATTTGATTTGTGTAAGGGTTGTGATACTGCCCGGGTGCCCAAACCGAAGCAGGTGGTTTTATTAAGGGGCCACACCCCGAGCCTTTGACCTGAACGTCTGATCCACAAGGCAGTGGAGCATCGTGAGGAGATGCAGTCCCATGGTAGCCGTTGACCAACGATTGGTTCATACGCCATTTGTTCCTTCAGGATACTGGAGCCCATGTGCACCATCGGTTTGGGATCCGGTTAAAGCGCCGGACATTCGCTTTTCATCCTCTCATTTTCGTAAACAACAGTAATTCCACGAGAAGGCAGTGAGTAGGAATTTCCTGGCAGGGGCTATATACGCGTGGCCATGTGAGAGCATTTCGAGAGGGAGAGCGGACTCTCCCCACTCTCGGCCGTACCAGGGTATTTAGGGGCTCTATGTGATGGTAAGATTTAGGTGTTGCAACTTGGACCGATATGTATATGTACCTGGTCCTACATCGTAATTGACTGACTGATGTTAGTAGTAGTCTATTCTTAATTAATAGCGATGTGATGTGTGTACTAATTAAACTCCAAATAAGTTCAGTAGAATGATTTGAGTAGTTGGAAGTAGCTGAAATTCATGTCTTTCCAAATGATTTACTGATGTGCAAATAATTGTTATACTTTACTTTTGTGTTCCTGATAATAAGGACAATATCACCAAAGTAAACTGAAGGGATGTGTTGAGTTTTAGTTAATACCTCTTGATCAGGAATCAAACACAAGGGTTTTAGGTATCGAGGCGAGGGGACTACCCTTAGAATAATAAGTTGCAACTCAGTTGTCTATATTTCTAACTCTAGCCACTTACCTATATAGCGCAATCATCGTTCAATATTATTGGTGGTAACAAAATCACTACCGTTAGATATGACTGAACTTTATTAGTCATGACTCCTCATCTCTACCTTGAAGTTAATCACTGGGATGCATAAAACTTACCTAATTGGCTAAATTATCACGAGATTTAATCGATTAAACAAAGAAAACACTGGAAGTTTGCAATTTTTATCGAGTAATTCACTACAAGAAAGAATTGTTGAATTCTTAAATTAGGATTTGTATGATAATTTAGCAATTAAAGACAATATTTATTAAATTGAATTTTATTTTTTAAACATACCGTATTTTACTAGCGGATTGAGCGTATACAGCTAAAGTTTGTATGTCTAATAACATTTGACCACGTCCTTCATCTGAACATTGTTGTACACGACTTAAAGCTTCAAGTAATTGTGATGCCAAACAAGATAATAATGCTTTCCAAATAACAATCATAAATACATGATCTTGTAAATGAAATTCTTTTGATATGTTTTGTAAAATTAATGATAAAGGATGAAATACATTAATATTTATATCATAAACATATGAATTTGGTGTGTTAGCCACTTCTTTAATTGACCAATTCATTGCACATATATGCATAGTTAATATGTCAATTGAATCTGAAGTTGATACAATTAAGTTGTTATGTACTGATGATGGAGATGGTGAGCTTGTATTGTTATTATTATTTGGAATAGACGATTCTTTGTCGATAGTTTGTTGTTGCTGATTTGTATTGGATCCTATTGGCCATATTTTACTGAAACTTGAAGTAATCGATGCACTATTCGTTGCTGTTAACTGCTTACAATTTTTGTCACACCAGTCATTCTAAAGAGATAGAAAAGCGAATTTCTTATGATTACAACAATTCGATTTAAATCTTTTATAAATTTGGCTAGTAAATAGTTCTTGTTAGTTACAGATAGCTGTATGGATAGAATAATCCCAAGTAAGAGTGGATTAGTTTCGTTTTTATATAGATAGTCGAACTTATTTTGAAACTATTTAAGTCAACAAAACGTTTAGCTATATATATCATAGTGGCAAAATCCAGCTGACTGGATGGAACTCGTGTTTGTTTGAGTCCTACCATACACGGAAATTCAGTTGGAGAATGTTAAAACTAAAACAAATGATCGTGGCATGTTGGTGGATTCTTACTACTGACTATACTAGGTTGTGACGCCAGTAAGGAATTTCCTTTAGACAATACTGCACGAATTTCCGTCTTCCGAGTTCAGACTCTTAAAATACAGTGCTAACGCACCTCTAGAACTTCTCTCAAAAAGTTCTCCGTGTGATGACCTTCACATAGTTGTACCTTGGATACTATTGTCGTGACGCTTCTGAGCCGCTAAGGTCACTAGTAGTTCAACTTCCTCTCCAGGCACCTCAGAAATGAGTATCGTTTTATGATTTGAGCGATTGGGAAGTGACAAAAATCCAAATTCACCTTGTTCGTGATACATAAATTTAATTCACACTCGACCAACTTACTTTGCGATTATGATATTCAGCAAATGTGGTGCCAGCTCGTTTGCACATGGTTCGCGGATTTGTCTTGCTGCCATTAAAGATTGTTCACGGAATACAAGTGCTAGACCACGTTTATTATCCGGAAGACATGCTGTTAAATGCGGAAGAAGAACCTGAAAGAATATATTACCCGAAAGTGTAGTACTTTTGCTTTTTTCTTAAAACAACACATCATTGGTATATATATAGAAGTTTTTGACATTCGGAACAATTAATAATAACAATAATCACTTAAATAACTACTAAGTATGCATTAGTTTGACTTCCTCCAAAAAAAGTACATAGGAAAAAACCGTATTAACCTTGTCTTTGAGTAGCTCGTTTACCAAACATATATTTGTGTAATACCACAACCTATGAATAGACATACATTTAAGTGACAAATCGTCAGAAATTCTTAGATTTACTGATGGATGTACATCTACATCACTGGATTTTAGTTCAGTGAACTAAGAGCTATGATCTTGTGTACGATAGCGAAGGTCCTGAGTTCGGTATCTAGGGGCGGAGCCGCGGATACACACTTCTAAGGATTCCCACACTAGGTCGAGACAGCTATCCGACGTGCTTCAAGGTTTTCAATAGTAGTTCAACAAAGGTCAATGCGTGAATTTATCTATGATAGATAGTTATCCAAACGAAACATTAAAAGAGGGTTTGAAGTAAAAATTCTTCCAGGTCATATGCCAACTAATAACATCGAATTCTATCAAAACATAATTCACGGTTGTTCTCTATCGCAAAAAATAATCAAAGTGACATGTTCACAGAAATAAATAATAATAATGGTAAACTTACTGTCTCTAAAATGTCTGCCAGGAAAATAACTGACTCAACTGCGACGACGTAAATTTGTATTAATTGGTGTTCACGTTTATTAATATTATCATCTCCGATTGTCGGATTATTGTCAGTAGGATTTAATGTATGCAATAATTCAATAGGTCCATGCAATGGAAGGGAAAATCGATCCTATAGCAATGTAATTATTGAAAAAATTATATATCTATACCTAAAAATGAAGTGAATTATGGTATACAGTAATACTTGTACAAAAGAATGTCTCAAGAATTCTCAAAGTTTAAATTACGAACTGATTTCAAACAAACCACCATTGAAACTCGGAAACACTAAACGGTCGTTATATCCTAGTATGGGTTCGTGCGTGAGACTGAAGATCCTGGATTAGATTTCCGGTGCCAGGGTCCTGTTTGCTCACTGAAGAGTCCCATATCGGGATAAAACATCTGTCTAGTCCTCTCAGATTTTCATTGAGGGTGTAGGTAAGATCACTTCGTGGTTTAAACTGAAAGTTCTACAATTTCCACAAAACCCTATACTAAGAATATTTTAAGTTAGGAAAAAATTAATCAGCTCACTACATACAAGCCTTAATAACTCAGCACAGTTCACGTATCGACACCGAGCTACAGTTTATAGTGTGTTCGTATGTGAGAGATTATGACGTAATCTGCCTGCTCAAACAGAAGAAGGAAATATGAAGTCTATAATTATTAAGATTTTGAAGCAAACAAATTATAGACCTTTGATAAGTTAGCTAAAAGAATAGATCAAGCACAAAGGACTTCGAACTGACATTTTTCTTCAGTATTCCTAGTGTTACGTATTTGATCTTATCAAATACGATACATCTAGTACTTGAAAACTTAATAGTGACATTCTAAATGCCGCTAATCCCTTAGATTTTCCAATGCTTGAACCCCAAACTGAAGATAAAGGTCCGGAAGTATGAAAAGAAGCTTTACCTTCAAGGTTAGTTTGTGCACAGGAAACAAGGTCATATTTATAGGTAAATTGGTGACTTTGATATTCCATGCGCTTCTGGGTTGTTCCAATACTTTCAGTCAGTTACTAGTACCTCAATAAAGTTGTTTGGAACGCACATTTCGCCCCATTTGGTGCTCGTCAGCTGGATGTGCCCATCATATTCCAGTGTTCACACTGGGATGTGAATGAAGGTGTAGTTTTGTTAAAAGATGAAATATATTCATTAGCTGAATACAGACCAAAATTATTAATTGTACATAAAATGAGTTACGTAACAATATAGACTTTTCAACTGAAACGAAATATAATCAAATAGACATGAAAAACTTAATAAATTAAACAAACGTACAGCAAAACGTTAAGGGAATCAAAAAGAGTGGGGGAAAGTAATAATAATGGAAAATAGTATGAAATGTAAAAAGCATTCGTTGATTAACTAACTAACCCCCGTTAAAATACTTTGATGATTATCAGTTGTTATTAAACGTTCATTGATACGTTTTATTGTTGTCCGTAAACGTTCTGGAAATTCAGATGAATTTGATATCTAATAGAGGAAATGAAAAAAAGAAACATTTAATATTTCAATTTGTTAATAATAAAATCGGATAATTTCCAACAACGAAAATGAGAACAAGGTCAGCAAGTGGAATAAAAAAATGTGTACCTACTTGATTAATTAGACTGTGATCAGTGCAGATAAAAAAAACTGATTCAGTTTAATTTGTAATGGGTTTGGACCACGTGGTTTCGATATGTTTAACTGAAATTTGAACAGTCTTGGTTGCTATATGTGGATCCAGAGCAAATTCTTTCGATATGGTCATTATGATACAAATTCATACAGAATAGATGTAATGTGGCTAGTAACGGAGTCCAGGAAATGCGTTTCGTCCTATTTGGAACTCTCCAGGTTGATGTAACTGCTAATTAAAACCGATCAGATTTCAGTCAAAATATCAACAACGGGATAATTCAAACCGATACAAACCAAAGTTCGTACCAATTTCACCAGTGGAAAGCGTGTACGAAATTTGAGACGAAAGGTACTGAGGTGCAGGTACATCGAACTGACGAGTCACAAATGGTGGAAACGGATGTCTTGGGTTCCATCTCGAATCACATTAATTCCGTTTTATATAAACATAATTCAATATTCTCCAGTTTTTGGTGGTTTTCTCAGATGTATCCAGCGTTTTCAATATAATTCTCCTTATATTTATGATTTTCATCCATCATGTTAAGAGACGCTACATAGGCTTGTCTATGGTAGACAGTGGCGGATAGCTTCAAATGCTTGAAATAAATTCTTAATGCAGCATAACTCCAATAAATGAAAGGAAAAATTACTGAAAGTGTTAGATACAACAGACTTATTGAACATTGAAAACAGTGTACATATAATTTGAACCATAGCAATTACAATAAAATAACAACTTCAGATAATCAATAATTTATAATTTATTTGAACACATAAACATTGGTACAGAGGGGCACCAAATATATATGTCATACAAATCATTTGGTTTGTGTAAGGTTTGGAATACTGCCCGCGCGTCCAAACCAAAGTAGGTGGTTTTCTTAAAGAGACACTCGCCAGGCCTTTGACCTGGAGGCATAATCCATAAGGCAGTAGAGCGACGTTGAGAGATGCAGTCACATGGTAGCCAGTGACCAACAATAGGTTCTCAAGCCATTTTTTCCCTCAGGATCCTGGAGCCCATGTGCACCATTGGTTTTGAATCAGTTTTCAAACTCTGCTAGATGTATCTTCCGTATCCATCAACCCGGTTAAGGCGCCGGACATTCGCTTTTCATCCTCTCAACTTTGTGATCAACAACGCGCCGCGAGAAAGAAGTGGGCAGGATATTCCTGGCAGTGGTTGTATACGCATGGCAATGTGAGACCATTTTAAGAGGAAAAGCTAACTCTTTCCACTTTTGGCCGTACCAGGGCATGGATATTGAAGAAAAGAGGAACACAGCAATTAATAAATGATTACTTAAACACAATGAAAAGAGAAGAATGATATCGAATTCACATACTTACTTGAATAGGACCAAATAGATTAAGAATCTAGACATGGAAATTAATTTTATGAATAAGAAATTACATAAAATACATTTTATAGAAACATAAAATCTCCACAAATATACACAATTGATATGATTATATTATATATTTGATGAAATTATAATTTATCAAGATTTATTTTCACTAGGATTAAACTCTATTAAGTCATTAAATATTGAATAAACTTCATATCATTCAGTTGGTAAACTCAATGTTGTTCAAGATTGAACTGTATAAAAAACCCTAAATACATGAACTACTAATTTTGAGATTATTTTCAGAAATACATACATCTTCCTTGTACAGATAGTAAGTAATCAGCATAAATTTGTGAATTATCGTCATCTTACTAATCAATTTATAAGTTTGTGGTAACTTGACTCTAAATTAAACTTTACAATTAAAGATTATTTGATACTATCTGACTATTCAGGTAGCAGCAGACAGAGAAGGGCTCGAACCTAAGGTCCAATCATGGAAATCTCATTTCATGAACAATTTAACCAAATTTTCATATACGTTGATCTTAGCATTTGTTCAACATAACCGTAACCCATGCAATACTGTTCGTTTGAGTAGATTGTGGTTCACTATATATATACAACACACTTCCAGTCAATAAAAGTTTACGATCTCATTAACTGGATGTATACTCCTTAATTATATAGAGTGCTGGAGACATAAATACGTGCATAACTACTTATTAACGTCTGTTAACCCTCGTCGAGGAACATAAGCCACCCACCAGGTCTCTATCCAACCCTGTCCTAGGCAATTGTTTTCAGTTGCTACTCATCCTTTTCATATCTGCTTCCAATTCCCGACGTGTGTGTTCTTCGGCCTTCCACTTTTTCGTCCTTGCTTTGCCAATCTTCGCCTTTACGTTTGCATCAGATCCACCTTGTTCATCGATGGTGCTTCTCAAGTATGTAATAGATTCCACATCCTCCAGAGCTTCTAATTAAGTGTGATTGGGTTGGTGTTCTCCGTATTGTATTTGAGGACCTTGCTTTTTCCCTTGTGTATGCTGGGGCTTACTGATGAAGAGATTGCTGCTACACTAGTCTTCATATGCATGTGTTCATGTGTATCGCATAGAAGAACCAGTCCATCTGCGAAGTCCAAATCGTCTATTTGGTTCTGAGCTGTCCATTGTAGTCCGTGCTTTCCCTCAGATGTCGAGGTCTTCATAATCCAATCGACCTACAGAAGAAAGGCAAAGGGTGAGAGTAAGCAGTCTTGTCTGACTCCCGTCTTGGAATGCATCTGTCAGCTGGCCACCATGCACCACCTTGCACTGTAGTCCGTCAGATGAATTCTTGATGATGTTGATGATCTTCTAAGCTGTAGTATAGTATCGAAGAAGTTTATATAATGTTCTCCTATGCACACTGTCAAACGTCTTCTCATTGTCGATGAAGTTTACGTAGTGACGAGTTCCACTTAACTGATTGTTAAACAATGATGCGTAGGGTCGTGATTTGGTTCATGCACAACCGATCCTTACGTAATCCAGCCTGCTGATCTCGAAGATACACGTCTACTGCGTCTTTCATCCGATTCAGCAACACTCTGTTGGAAACGTTTCCTGGTACTGATAGCAGTGTGATTCCTCTGTAGTTTTCACATTTGCTCAGATCTCCTTTCTTTGGTATCTTAATGAACTATCCTTCTTTCCAGTCCGTTGGCACATGTTCTTCTTCCCAAATCTTCCTGAATAGAGTGTGAAGCATGTTTGCAATTACTTCTATGTCTGACTTCAGAGCTTCACTTGGTATATTGTCAGGTCCTGTAGCTTTCCCACCCTTCATTTTTCTGATCTCAATCTTGATTTCTCCGACCGTTGGTGGAGTGACATCTACAGGAAGATCTGTTTGCTGCTTCGATGTCCGGTGTTTTCAGTGAGGCTGGTTTATTCTCGAGTTCCTCGAAAAATTCTACCCATCTATTCTTTTGTTCTTGAATCTCGGTGATTGGTTTGCGTTCCTTGTCCTTGATCAGTTTCTCTTGGTTTATTTATTTTCCAGCTAGTTTCTTCGTTGTGTCATATATTCAGTCAGTCAGTCAGTTACATCATAGAATCATGAATATATATGCATCGATCCAAGTTGCCATACTTCATTAGCACAACAAGATGAACACGGAATTCATAGAAGTAGTTGATTCAATGGTGGTAATATATTTTCCTCTCTTGAAGCGTTTTTCGCCCTTCCACGTATTTCAGTTGAATTATAGTAGTACACCAAACTTAAAACCTGATAAAATGCCCTAATCGCTATTCAGATAGCAGAATGTCATAACATGTTAAACACTAAAAAAAGGAGACAAATACTGAACTTCATTGGAATCATAAACCAATCGAAGTCAAACAACTGTTGGAAACCTGGAACAATATTGGATAACTATTTCTTTCTAGCATGGGGATTCTCAGCTGTACACCTACACTTTAATAATCATGTGCTCATAAGGAATAGCCTCGAGGGGAAATTTACAGAATTCTAAGGAGAAACCGTGACTAGTGGAGTTTAAAGGTATCGCATTTGAGGAAGGTGCTCAGTGAAGATAATGGATGATGACTACGCATAACGCGCGTTTGAATGGAATTAAACTTGTCCACCATAGGAGCTTGGTTTAGTTGTTCATAGGTTAAACGCTCGTTCACGAGACCGAATATGTTAAGTCTGGTCTCCGGTAGCAGATTCGTGCATGCGCACTGCTGAGAAGTACCATAGTAAGATGAACCAGCTGTCTTGTTCATCCATGTTTTGAATAGTTACCTAACTTAAATTGGTTCGGGATCTCAATATAATAAAATTATTAATTATTGATTTGCAACCAATGTCATGTTTGTTTAGCCCTTTAGCGCTAATATATTTTTTTCGATCAAACTGAAATACGACTACCACTTTCAGTGACTCCAAATCATGTGTATTATATCTTTTATCCTCAGTTGTTTGAAGGTGATCAATGAAAAACCTTGTTATTAGGTTTTGTGCCGAGTGCATACGATCTTGAGTGAATTCGTGATTCCCATCTGATTCATTAAGCATTTAGGATTGCCCCATCACATTCATTTAGTGTCAACACCTCATATTTAAAGGAGGTCGATAACGACCCGAATCCCTCAATCGTATTGAGCATCAGCTAGCGCGATAGCTTCAGTTCGAAAAACTGTCTCAGGTTGCTGCCAACCATTTAGCAAGTAGAAAAATATACTTTATTGTTAAATAATCGCTTTCCACTTACAGAGTACAAATAATAATCAAATACTTGACATAGACAATGCATTACTTCACCAGCAATCGGCTTCAAAAGTCTCATCATTTGTAAGTAACGGCCTATTACAGAATAAAACAAAAAACAAAGACAATTTACCAGGTATTCAATAATTAAATAAGAAAAGTTTGGTTGGGTTCAAGTGACAAGTCAATATCGCTTGAGTACTTTCTATATCCCTACCCCCCTCTATCACGTGACACATTTGAATTCAATAATCTGACCGTTTGGTGGAAACCAGTTTTATAGGCCAGAACAAAACTACCACTAATACACAATACAGAGTAGTAAGTAGTATCAAAGTAAGATGTATTTTACAATATAAGAGTCTCTTATATATAATGTAGCTGGATATGTCTGTTTTCAATTCTTGACCAATCACATGTCATTCTGGACACATGCATACGTATATCAGGAACCCCATCGGTATCATGTAGGGACACATTATAGACATTATATACTATAAAAAGTGTATGAAGCAGAAAGATTCTGGGACTGAAAAAAGGTAGTTGATGTTGTTTTGCTTCACAGTTAAACAAATATCTACTTAATTCCAACTACATCCAACCTCATGATTATAATATTTGTCGGAAAGTTTTGTTCAAACACTGAAAAGTCTAATGGTTTTTTTAGGTGGTGTGGCTGAAAACGGTCATTAACAACCCACATTGAACCTAACGTCAGTGAAGTGTATCTGTAATTTTGAGGAATTTAATATTAATCTATAGAACTGAATCTATGTTACTTAGTGTCATATATAAAGAAGCTAACTCCAAGCTATTTAGTCTAAAACTGATCCGCTGTACGATTAAATATCAAAACTAACTGACTACAAAAATAGCAAAAAATCCCATGCTTACACTTGTCTTCATTGAATTCTGTCGATTTGAATGTGAAATGTACTTAATGATTCAAAGTGATTTTCCCTGATTTAAGGCGACTGCGAACAAACGAAAGAAATGATGGAATTTGTCGCATTCGTACTGGCCACCACCCGAATATATATATATATATATATATATATATATATATATATATAGAGAGAGAGAGAGAGAGAGAGAGAGAAGAATATCTAAGTTATACGACCACTGAGAACCTGGATAAACTGGATGGGTGGGGTTCTAGTGAGAAGCCGTGACCAATTAAGCTCAACCATGTCGAGTGTGAGGAAGATGTCCACAGAAAACAGTCGAAGATAATCACTCGATATCGTGGATCGATTACAGTTAGACATTAACATCGTTGGACACCACCTCACTGGTCTAGAGTTAAAGGGTTGGCAAGCGAGACAGAGGGCTCTGGCTCCATTTCACGGAAGTGGGGTCGTGAATATGTATTACTAAGGAGTCCCATACTAAAACAGAATGGTCATCCAGTACTTCCAGGTTTTTAATATTGGTCAAAATTAGATCGGTTCAGGATTTTAATGAAGTTCAACTATCTCCTATACTTACAAAAAGAAAATTGTTTACGATAGTGAGTAGTAAACAGTAAACTAAAGCCAAATAACTGTAATACGATAAGAGAAATATCACGTCATATTAATCAGAATGGTAACAATAACAATAATAACTGTATGAGGTAATAAATTCCAAGTACATTAACAACGATATACACTTAAAAGAGAGGAAGAGGTCAATGGTGAAAGAAGATTACGTTTAAGGTCAAGAAGCAAAATATGAACGTTACGTCATCAATTCGATCCGTAGAGTAGATCGGACGACCTTATGTTTATCAAACAAAGGGTGTGAATATACTTTAGCTGAACGTAATCATTGTACCTTTTCTTTATTCAGTAGTAACTTGATAAATTCCATTCAAAAAAGAAGAAATTCTTCCTTATTTTGAACAAGTATATATAACATTCTTGTTTAGTACAATAACAGCCCATGATAGTGTTGTTATTAGGATTACTATATTTTATTGGATGATTCTGCTTTAATTCTTTAATTTTGTTATTACTAATTAACCGAAATTTATGGATCTAGGAGTTAGATGATTTGAAATAACTGTGTTATTGGTTCTGTATGCAAAGATTAATGATACATATATTGAATCGCACAAACAGAAGCGGAGTGGAGTTCGAATTTTTAATAATGTAACCAGTGAACTACCATTCAAAACCTGTAAGCCGAAGAAATAGATGAGGTCTAAACAGATCAGTAGTATCATCCCATATTCTAAAACAGTGACTCATAGACAGCATCAATTTCTTCAAGATCCCAGGTGTCTTACTGACGACGGTCAACTCGCACAAAATCGAGGTTCAGGATTTCCAGATAACTATCTTTAACCACTAAACATACCGAAGTAAAGAAGCAGTACCACAATTTAAGTTATTTATTGACTTGAAGAACTTCTTTACATTATACTACCAATCCTGATATGCCAAGATAAACCAAACAGATCCAATACTATTTCAAGTTCGAATAGTAAAAAGGATGTTTGTTTAAGTAGGCTATTACGAGTAAGTAAATTATTTACCTAGGAAAGGTCGCCACTTCCTACAAGCACCATGTCAATCAGGTAATTCACAAATATACATGAGCTGTAAAAATTATGGGTCGGTTATTAATAACAGAGCTCTCTAGACAGTTCGACCTTTTTGCACGGCAAGACCAGTTAATCAAACATCAGGGACGTAGAAGTGACTGAACCGACTCATGGACTACAATAAATGCAATCAAGGCTTATGAAAACCAGTGAATGGTCCATGTTGACAGCGGTGTGCATGAAAAAGGAAAATAATCCAATCAAACTACCAGCTAATAGAGAACCCAAGTGTCAGTCTATAATAATAATAATAATAATAAATAATAATAATAATAATAATAATAATAATTATTATTATTATTATTATTATTATTATTATTATCACCATGTTCACATTAGCGACTAATTTCGAGTGGTAATTCCACGATGCCTAGTAAGAAATCATGACCGATGGAGTTCACTTATGTCGGGACGAAATCACTCACCTACCAATGACATTGCATGATGGTTGTACAACATGGAGAATTAATTGAAGTTAAAAATGTAAACCAGTGGATGACAACTTAGCAGTCTAAAGGTTAAACGTTGTGAATGGAAAATGCCAGAGTTATGTACTGGAGTGAAACAGTTTTCTAAAACTTAGTAGTTTCAAATGGATGGTATAAATAAAATCAGTTCATGATGTTAACTAGGAAATTGATTGGTTGTGAAACATTGTCAATGATCACTATCATCGATCAATCAATCAGCAATACTTTTAAGTGTATATCAAATGATACAGTTATAAATTAGTTCTAACCTCATAGTAATGCATAAAATTTAATGGATATTAGCGAATTTTTTTTAATATCAGCTTAATCGTAAGATAAAATGAGAACTCTACCATACTGATCATATGAGTGAAATATACTTTGAATAAAGGCAGTTTTGTTTTATATTTCATGGTCATTAATACTACCCTTATATCAAGACGTATAAATCTTATATTATAAAAGAAGAATACTTCCATTCCTCAGTTATGCACATCTTAGAATGCAACAGGCCAAATCGATAAATTAATTAATTTATAAAAAGTATTTTTTCCAGCTTATTGTCATTAAAATAGTCTTTTCTGTATAGACGATTGAATAAATAATAACACTGAAAGTAGTTATATGAAATAGTTAGCTTTTTAAATTGCATAACATTCTACGTAATAGCTAGAATACAATAAAGCTAACGTTGGAACCAAAGACGCGAATTTCAGTTTAATTGTGACTTGTCAGTTGAATGTACCCGCACCTCAATGTTGACTTTCATATTCTCACTAGAATGTAATAACTTTCACCTCACATTTCAACCCCTTACTCATAGAGCTACTGGTTCCAGATAGCTAATAACTTGTTCAACAAGAATGTTAATATTGCTGTAAGACAATCTGTATATGGCGGGCATATGCTAACAAAGACTGATAAATATTCAATTCTGAGTATCAACAATGAGGACTAATTCAAACAATGACTAGTAACGATATAAATGAAAAACATGCTACTCCAGTCTTCGTGCTAAATAAACTCGGTTCCTTGATACGATTGTCTCAGTTATTTTATCGATTACGTGAGAATTGTAAGCAAAGGATACATAATCTATATGATCATGACAGATCTGATTTTTCAAGACAGTTACCCACAAAATTCTATTCACTTTGGCAAAGTAATTATAAGAATTCTTTAACATAAGATGTAGTGTACCTTCATGGGATCAAGTAAACGCTAGTCGATATACTTAAATTTAAAATGACCATTTAAACACCAACGTGTTCTAAAAATAGCTTAATTATTATGAGCATCTTATTGACTACACAGAAATGTTTCAGACCTTAATACGGAAAAATATGGTTTCGAATTTCAAGGAAAGTAAGCCACAGTGCCGTTACAGGTATGTGAACGGTTGTCGTTTCGGTTTACTTCATCGTGAAGGAACAGTTTTTCTTGTAGGATTTAATAAGAGTCCATAGTTTGTGCTGATTTTGACGATCTGAAAGCGTAACTGCAGAGCCTGTGGGACAAGTTAGTCATGAATAGCCATTTTGTGAGTAGTTTCTAACGTAATAGCTTTGTATTTTTCAGACCTTACCACCGAAACCGGAAATCCTTGAGGGAAGTTAGGTTTCAACATTACACAGCGTAATTCTATTCTAACTTCCTTTCAGTTGTGAAGAATTGGGATCGCTGCAGATGCTGGTTATCCATAGGAAACACTTTACTATTACTACAGCCCAGGTGAAACGTCAGTACATTTTTGCATTTGTAAAACAAATTTACTGCTTCAGGTTTTGGAACTCACCAACCTAGCCTACAAAATATGACATAATTTCATGCAAAATGTGTTTCAACTAAATACAGCATTATCAGGCCATCACAATAGGGAAACCCAAACGCCACGTCAGGAGGATAGCTTCTGTTGAGAACGAGAGTAACCAATTTCACGAAGTTAAAAATAAGCTTTTTCATCAACGATCATCCTGATAAGGAATCCATACCAGGTGAGGAATTTTATCACTTACGTTTTAGATGTAGACAATTTGTGGTTCGGAGAGGGTTTTAATAGCGTATAGGTGAACCGATAGACTGACAGAAAATCATAATTCACACGGAGTGTGGTAAGGATGTGAGCTCGATTGAGATTAACAAGACGAGGTGAATGTAACAACAGTTAGAAATAATGTAGTATCAACTATAGAAAGAAAAACCAGACCTTGGAATGTGATTTCAAAAGGCAAACTGGAAAGGAATGTATGAAGGAATAACAAAATTCAAGATAGTGAGGGAGATAAAGACTGTGAACGATCTTGTGCCGTGTCATCCAAAATCTTCAGTCACTGATCGCAGTTATTACGTGTAACCCAATATGGTAGTTTAGATCTATAAACATGACTCAGACCAATATTTAATGAATACATAGATTGACGTCGCATTTCGGTATGTCCATTATAGCTTTATTCGAATCTAATTCTGAATTTATGAGCGTCGCTCATTGAAGTAGGTGGTTGTTAGGTATACGCAACACATGTCCCACCCACCGCAGATGATGAAAATTTACAACTTGACCAACCAACTTGTTACCTTTACCAATTACTCTATGCCTAATTTTATCATCGTCCACTCGGTTAGGTAGGCAATATTTAGAGAACGAATGAGAAACACGAATTAGTGACTAGCTGTTTTGTCTTATTTAGCAACTGTTAAGTAATGTGAATCTAAGCCTTGAATTGGTATAATTACATGAATTATTACCTATTTTTTTCTTCATCTGTGTCTTGCTTTATTCTCTGCAACATCTTAATGAAACCTTATGTACCAATGTTTTCTTTTATTGTATATAAATCACTGCATCGAAAGGCATTTTGTCAAATAATATTGTCCGATAGGTCTAATCTCGTTGAGGCTCCAAGTAAGAGGAACATTATAATGTATATTTAAATCAAAAATGATGTACTTATTTCAGAAATAAGTAGTTTGTAAGAAATAAGAAAATGTACAATGCAGATCAAATCGCACAACTCAGTAAATCACGATAAAACAAACGATTTTTCACTATACAACGACAGTAAAAATATGTCATGAACTAAATATGGTGTTGAACCGTCAATGAAAAATGTTAAGAAAAGTTAAAAGCTTGAAGTGTTGAGTGCTTTTTAAAGAATGTCCCTCTCCAACTGATATATCGTTTTACTCATGGAAGTAAATAGCTAGAAATAATCATACTCAATGAAAAAAGATTAATATGAATTTACTTACCGATCAAACGAAGAACTTCTAATGTAGTTGTTGATAAAAGTGGCCCACTATGATCATTTGAAAACGATGTATCATTAGACTGAAAAGTAAATTATTAATCATTAAATATTTCTATTGCGGCGTTAAAAACACAATTTGATTGAAGAAGTATTTCTTTTCAGTCATATCCTCATCTCAAAGCTCTACAATTATATATATATATATATATATATATATATATATATATATATATATATATATAAGCTTTACAGTGAAGGATACTTGAAATCATCATCAAAAAAATGATGGTTGATCAATTTAACAATGTTTCCTCTAAAACAGTAATCAGTGAGCAGCTCAATAGATGTGAAATATGTAACCGATCTAAATATAAGATTACATAATCGGTTAGGTAGAAAAATTCGTTACGTAAGAGTAAATATCAAGTTTGAAATTGAATAGTCAAGTAGATATGTTCAGTGTTATTTGAAAAATTAAAAATGTGTAATTAATAAAGTTGATGCAAAGGATAGTAGGTGATCGATCAGCCTATTAGAACAGGTAAATCACTTTAAATGAAGTTATAAAATTATTATGGGACAGAATTAAAAATTTCGAGAAATATAGCAACTGATGGAAAGAAGGCGATGGTGAATTAAAAAGCTGAACAAACGTTTTCTGTATACAAAGATTAGGTTTATTGATGTGTATAACATGAGATAAACTCTACGGAATTCTATAAACGAATCTAAAAGCTAACTTCGTATTGATATGGTGACCGCTATCTACTAAGTATGCCAAAACATAACTTCTTACTGTTCTCTTTTTTCCCTTGATCAACCATAAGGGGTAATGTTCATGAAAATAAGATGATGTATTTGCTTGATTGTATATCCATAATAACTGGCTCCACAAGTTCAGTTAAACTGTAGAGGAGGCAGGAGTAGACATTTAATTCTTATCTAATGAGTTCACTATGGACTGACTGAAGGAAGAAAGTCATAATATAGATGAATCTACTTAATTATCACTACACCAATTTTAGCTCATCCTGTAGCTCTTATGGATTTATTGCCGGTCCCAAGCCCGGGCAAAGGAGAAAGGTTGAGCATGAGGTCGGCAACCCCATCCTGCAGAAAGAAATTTTGCTAAAAAAACACCAACCAGATTAAACAAATTAAACCATTTAAACTCTACTCTCAGAGTTGAAGGAAGAATTATGACGCCTCATAATGGAAAGCTGAATTTTTTCAGTCACGAGGCCGATGCCCCTTCTAACAACCAGAGCAAATAATCAACATAGATGCATGGAACGTCCGGACAATATAGGAGACAGGCAAGACCAGTCTAATAGCAACGGAAATGAGAAGATACAACTGGGCAGTACTTGGAATCCCATTGGACCCAAGCTGGACAGAAAAGGCTGGATACAGGAGAGATGCTGTTGTACTCCGATCACTGAGAGGAAAACGCTACAAACATTCAGGAAGTTGCTCTAATGCTTTCCAAACAAGCACGAAATGCACTTGTAGGATGGGAATCTCACGGATCCAAAATCATCAAAGCGTCATTCAAAACAAAGAAGAAGGGAATTACAATGAACGTTATCCGTTGTTATTCACCCACCAATGATAGCAATGACGACGATAAAGATCAGTTCTACAACAGGCTGCAATCAATCATAGTGAAGTGCCCAGGAAAGAATTTCACCATCCTGATGGGAGACTTAAAAACCAAAGTCGGAAGGGACAACACCGGATATGAAGATATTATGGGACGACATGGACTGGGAGAGAGAAATGAAAGTCGGGAGAGATGTGCAAACCTATCTGCATTCAATAAATTGATCATAGGCGGCACAAAATTCCCACACAAACTCATACACAAAGCTAGATGTGTGTCGCCGCACCACACCACAGAGAACCAGATAGATCATATTTGCATCAATAAAAAATTCAGAAGGACAATGGACGACGTACAAATCGGGAGAGTAGCTGACACAGATTCAGATCACCACCAGGTGGTTGCAAAGATGAAACGGAAGCTAAAAAAAACACTGAACAGCTAGCGAAACAGCAGTACAAAGGTTTGATTCAGCCTTTCTATGAGATACTAACAAACTCAAGGAATCAAAGATAACTCTCAACAACAAGTTCCAAGCCTTACAGAACCTACTGAAAGAAGAAACTACTATGGAGGACAACTGAAAAGGGATCAAAGGAGCACTAGCTTCGACGTGATGGGAGGTGCTGGGCCGCAAGAACATCATCATAAGGAATGGATCACTATAGAAATCCTGGAAACGATTTAAGAAAGGAAGAACAAAAAGACATCAAAACACAAAAGTCGAATAAGGCACAAGCGCAATATACAGAAGGAAAGAAGAAAGTGAAAAGGGACACTAAAGCTGACACCAGAAATACGTGAAAGAGCTAGCAACGACAGTGGAAAAAGCTTCAAGAGAAGGAAATATGAGACAGCTATATGACACAACGAAGAAACTAGCTGGAAAATAAATAAACCAAGAGAAACTGATCAAGGACAAGGAACGCAAACCAATCACCGAGATTCAAGAACAAAAGAATAGATGGGTAGAATTTTTCGAGGAACTCGAGAATAGACCAGCCTCACTGAAAACACCGGACATCGAAGCAGCAAACAGATCTTCCTGTAGATGTCACTCCACCAACGGTCGAAGAAATCAGGATTGAGATCAGAAAAATGAAGAGTGGGAAAGCTGCAGGACCTGACAATATACCAAGTGAAGCTCTGAAGTCAGACATAGAAGTAATTGCAAACATGCTTCACACTCTATTCAGGAAGATTTGGGAAGAAGAACATGTGCCAACGGACTGGAAAGAAGGATAGTTCATTAAGATACCAAAGAAAGGAGATCTGAGCAAATGTGAAAACTACAGAGGAATCACACTGCTATCAGTACCAGGACGTGTATCTTGGAGATCAGCAGGCTGGATATACATAATATATATATAAACACAAGGGACAATAGAATATATATACGCGATACTTGTTTTTATAACTTACGAAATTGTTTTGTGAAATGGTAATCAACTTGGCATTATCATTAACATGACTATGAATATCATTATCACCATGATTATGATCAGTATTATTGGAAGAAAACTTTGTATTTGACCTTTGTGTAGCCATAATATCGTTTGATGCTGACGATGAATTCATTAAACTAGGGGAGTTAGTTTCAGTTTGACCAAGATGATTATTGCCACTAACATTATTGTTATTACTGTTATCATTAATATTACTATTCTCGGGATCCTCAGGGAATTGCACAAAGGTATAAGGGAAAGCGAATAACTGTTTATTTTGTAGTTTTGAAACGCTAAACATGAAAATCAATTTATTTGAAGAAAGAAATAAAGGAAGATCATAAATAAGATAAGAATTAATTATTAGCTGAAATTTTTAACAATACGTTCAATACAATTAATTTTATATACATATAAAGATAGAGGGAAAGTGGAATGAGTTTCAAAGATGAATTTTACTGTGAACTGACATTCATTTGAAATAGTTTACATTACTCTTTGATGTTAAATGGTTGATTTTATGATGTACAGTGTCCGAGATTCGATACTGATACACAGTAACTAGTAGCTGCATTGGAGCTTGATCGATGTAATTCGATCAGCATGAAGGATTAAACAAACATAAAATCGTTCACTGTTAAAAGAGATGAGGTGTTGAGCCATTTATCTTGTTTAGTCCTACCAACGTTCCGTTTTATGATGCTAGTATCACCATATTGTGATCGTCCGTGATTGTGTCATGTGGGATTTGCGTTGTAATCCCGAGTCAGCGAGAATATCCAACGAAATTAGGACATTTAATCATATTAATGCTGTTTAGACAATAGTAATTGGTATCCTGCTAATATTGTTGTACCAGTGAATGAATTTGTTCTTATTGTTGAATAACCGGATTCATGTGTGATTGTTCATTCACCGTCCTGGTTTGGCAGTTGAAGACAGTAAATTATACTGTGTTTCATTCTCTATAAGGAGGTCAATATTCCAAACGTGACAATCACTAATTGACTAGCCAATCAATGTAAGTTTACAGTACAAACTGATTTTAGGTTGATTACTAAATTAGGCAACTGTAAATACCTGTTTCGTTTTAGTATAGAAGTTGTTGGTAATGCAAAGCAATGACACTCGCTAGAGATAGAATTTGAGTTCTCCAGAGCTAGATTTGAACGCTCCTTCTTTAGATCAGTGATTTGGGATTCAAATCCTAACAGTTTGAAACATTGTGTCATGGTTATTAATCTCCAGTGTAGAAAAATATCTCACATCCAACATGATTAAAGTGCAATAGGTTGCGGATTCTCACTAGAGCTTCAGTAATCATTCTCAAAATCCATCGCTTGTGACCATATGATTTCATAATAAAGGAAAGCAGTTGTTCATTGGTCTTTGATGGGTGTCTCGCTAAAGTCAGTCCGTGATGTAAATTATAAAACATGATAATTCATTTGTTACAGCGAAAAGACAGAAAAGTGATATTCAATGTCTTTGCATAATTAATAACTTGTTTAGTGTTAAACAATGACTTCAATTCGATAATATATGTACTTCATTGCTACTTAAGAAGTAGTTCTGTATTTTGTAATCGATTCCTGGAGCTGGCTTCTGGTTGGGCGTATGGATTTTATGACCTTGAATGCCACTCAAAACATGATAGGCTGCTAGTATACTAAGAATATCCCAATTCCCACTAGCACTAATTAAGTGGACGAATATCACATCAATGCTGACAAGACACAAATAGCTGGTTAACGACCACAACTTTGTTTATCACATTTATCCCTCCTTGGAGGGACTTCAAAAATTCAGCCTAAGCCCGAGGACCCGGCTGATAACATCAGTCAATGACTGGTAATTTAGTGTTGGCAATCTCGCACTCAGATAGACTTCATTGTACGAGTCGCTTCCCCACCACAAGGTCAAACAGCTGTCTAATGGAATTGAAGCCGAACCAAATTAAGTAGACCTAATACATATTAACTTATTTGCAAATTAACATTGAATCCCAACCACTTTGACAGAGAAACTAGAAAATACTTTTCTGTGCAATATTAATGTGATAAATTTTGATTTAAATAAAAGAGTAAGTAATAATCTAAAAATTAAAAATGTAAAATTCCAGTATATACTACTTAAATACTTAAACAGCAACCGTCTATTACGTAATGGATTGGCTGTACTTAATTAAACTTTTATTCCGAAAGATACTTAATTTTAAACTCGCAATAAAGGTGATAACTAATATGAGATTTTTGAATAAAATCACCAATTCAATTAACATACGATTTATCTACCATATTGTGAAACTTATGCATAGTAATTTTAAGAAATAAATAGTAGTGTGGTCTGTGCTACATATGTAGACACAAGTAGTATATAATGTTAGTCATGAACAGAATGTCTGACAGCAGAGAGACAAGAAGAAATAACAGTAAAGAATGAAGACAGCATGAAATTTGTATGAAAATGGAAGGACAATAAAGTTTGAGTCATTTTGAGACACATGATGGACATTTTGCAAATTGAGCATTTAATATATGGTTGTTAGATTTTATTAACAAGTTCTGTAATTTGTCATGTCCACCCGTGTTCTGTTCACTACAGTATAAATCACAAGCTGATCTTGGCTAGATCGCAGTTGAAAACCTGTAAGCGCTAGATAAGTGTGCAAATTTTAATATTAGACTCATCACGCAAATTGCATTCACAAACTCAACCATACGAATCGGAAAAGGACTTTCGGTTTCGCTTAAAATGTTTATTCTCTAGACCACTGATCTGACATCCAGAGGTGTCTATTCTAACTTTAATCTATCCATGATCCTGCGAAACCTTTCATTCATTGTCTGAGTTGGATAACTGTTTCACACCGACACATTGAACTCCGTTGGTCACGGCTTCTCACTAAAACTCTTGGAGTCACATCTTGAAGCCAGTCAAAGGCAAGCACATAACTGTTATTATTATTTATACGAATATTCGTCAAGATTAGAACGAATAGTTTGACAGAAATCGGGTGCCGAGTATAGAGAAGTCATTATATGTGAGAACTATATTTGAAATAATCTCAGCGATTGAAATTTAAATAATTCCAACGTTTCGTCCAGCTAACTTGTCTGGCCATTCAGTGCTTTCAGGTTTTCATTGGTGGTCTAACTTTGATCAGTTCGTGATTTCAAGTGTGCAAATACTACAATCTCAACAAATCCCCCATATAAATAAACAGTTATTTGTCAGTCTATGGATGTCACATAGAACCCAATTAAGGCAATGAATGCAACAAAACACAACTGGAACATTTCGATTGTTTTTTTTTTTGGTTCAACTAAGGAAACATAGACATGTACACCATGAAAGCCATAGACTGGAACCCCAGTAAATGATTGTGAATGTTTTATTGTTCGTTTCCGAAAATGAGATTATATTAAATTTTTAATAAATCTAACTGTTTCCCGATTTGGATGCACTGAACAAAGTTCTAAAACAAAATTATTGGATTGTTAATTATGTTCTCGCTATACACTGCATACTTCCACTGTATAAATATATATTTGTACATATAAGCATCTGAATAATTAACACAGTTAAGACAATAAAATTTCAGTTTAAAAGCTTTAGTGAAGACTGATATAGTTTATGAGTTGTATTCGTCAAAGTTTTATAATAATAAAGGTATCAATGAAAATCAGGGTGAAGTTCAGACATCAAAATTGAGACAACTGTCCCAGTAGTATTGGATGATCTTCACGTCCTGTTGGAAGTTGATTGAAGTTCAAATCGTATCATTAAACAATGGTTACTGTTTTCTAATGGCTACATGTTTTCCGTTAGATCTGATGTTCTTGAACTCAATTTCTGATTGGGTCATGAAATCATGGTTTTTGATGTCCTTTATACTGGGATGAAAAAGCCATTCAGTGCAACTCTTCGAGCCTTATAAAGGCTCTCTACTCGAACACAACTGGTCGAGTGAGAGCTTATGGCGAACTGTCATCAGAACTGATTATCTCAAGTGGTATTCGTCAGGGCTATCCACTCTCTCCATTCTTGTTTAACTTTGTCGTTGACGTGCTTTTAGAGATGACACTTTCCTCATCTTAATTTCCAGGGGTTGAACTTCTACTGGGAGATTCACTTGTCGACTTAGAATATGCCGATGACATAGTTCTATTTTGTGAAGACGCTGAAAAAATGCAGAGTCTTCTGATCACTCTAAGCAACAGTGCAAGCATGTTCGGCATGCGATTCTCTCCCTCGAAATGCAAAATGTTGCTTCAGGATTAGGTTGTATCGACCGCAAAATGATAGCAACCAATGGTTAGAGACCCTGAATGATATGGCTCAAAATGGTTTACAATGACGCAGGTGCATCCACTCCTTGTGTTCTCCCAAATTCTAATCTTCTCAATTCTTCATGTCCCCTCTTTCCAAATTTATTTCACTGTATTATACTCCTTGAATAACATCTTCAAACCCTAATCTTCCCGATTACTGCTTATACTCTTACTAACTCTACCACTACGAGATTTGAATCGATAACTGCATCTCTGTTCTGACATGGTATGGCAACTCGAACTGATGTACGTACGTACGAAGTTCCACGTTGTTACTGACTGATTGATTGACACACACAAAAATAACTTGTTCATTTATTTCACATTTGAGCATCAACACCTAACCTACCAGTAAGTGTCATGATCACTTTTGTTTCCAAGCTGAAGAATAATTATAATCATACAATAAAGGGAAAGGGAAAAAGCAATTAACAGACTAAAAATACTTACGTTATTGTTGAATTATTATTATTATTATTATTATTATTATTATTATTATTATTATTATTATTGCTATCTGAGACTTTGCTCAACCCATTAACTGTAATGCTTTTATTAACATGAGTACCGTTGCCATTATTAGTAATATTGTTGTTAGCTGTATTACTTTCAAATAAATCTTTTACTGCTCTAAATTCCTATAATAAAAGAAAAGGAAATACAATCTTAGTAAATAGTAGGATGCATAGACATATTGGTAAATAAGTATTATGAAATAGGAAATGAAAATGTAACAATGCATATTAATCTAAAGGAGTAGTACAGTCTTAACGACGTTTTGACAAGTGAAAGTTTCTTAAATTCTTGTGATGATTTATCAGTTTTATAGGACCCTTTATGAAAACCTCTTTTTAAATTAACCAGAATCAATCTTCTAAAGAGATGAATAAAAAAACACAGTTTTATTTCATAAATCAGGATTACTGATGTACAGACGGATCACTATTCGTAAGATTTAAAAAGTGTATATAGACGTTTTCGGTCACGAACAGTCAATTGAAATAAAGAAATTTACATTCAAGATTATAGCCAATTTTTAATAAATGAATGGAAAATTATACTTCATTAGGAAACATTATATGATTGATAAAATTATCTTGACTGGCTACATGTTAGTTTAGTTTAAGGCAACCAAACTAAATCTTGTTCATACAGTTGGCGAATGTATCATTCTTTTAGAGAAACTATTTAATTTATTCGAAATTCCTTCTAATATTTACATCAACAAACATGCCTATTGTAAAAATTGCTGTGCTCTTTCTATATTGCACTAACAATAAAATTACAATATCCGATCAAGTACTCATCCCGATCGATAGGTCATGAGAATTCCCATGTTCTCAAACTTCCTCCAATTGGAACAACAGAAAATCATATGATTGCTAACAGGTAGTCTTACTGTTTAGACACTTAGCTCAGGTGATTATATGAGTAAGATACAACCGTAAGATGCACCGTAAATAATAAATTGAAATAATCATATAATTAAGAAATTTTCGGTACACAGTTAAGTAACAGATCTATATATTTAATTGCCTGGTAACTTATATACCGTGAAAGGTACAGAGAAAATTGACACGTTGATAAACAGGACCTGTACGCAAGACTTGGATCCAAGGATTACGGTGACACGTAGACTTTATGTTCTCCCAAAAGTAAATGAAACTGGTTACCACTTCGCCTAGTCCTAGATATGGCCAGTTCAGCTTAGCATCCAATTTCGAAGTGGCTAATTGAACTTCTAAGGCCACTACACAAAGAAGTTGTACAACACAGTAAAAAAATAGTCTAGAATTCGTTGAAGGAATTAGAGATTTGATGGTGAACAGGAAATTCATGATATCACTTGATGTTTTCTTATATTTAAGAACGTACTTCATAGAAACGGTCGACTTCATATGTAGTGAGTTAAAAAATGGAGGTGTGGAACTTAGCACCCCCAACATTTAGGTGGGTATTTTGGTATTCCGGCTCAGCGAAAAGATAATGGTGAGCGCCTACTTCAACTGTGTGTAGACAATCGTTTATTTTTAGCAAGCACTAATCTTAAGTATGAGGAGAGATATCGTCTAACATGGTAACTTTCTGCACCAAACCAACGATGGACTCAAATTGACCATATTGCCATCAGTCAACGTTGGAGAGGCTCCCTAGAAGAATGTAGATCGTTTTGAAATACATGTTTAGACTCTGATCATGCTCTAATATGAGCACGCATTTGCTTGCGCCTCACTGGTCGCAGAGAAACCACATTGCGAAGACCCATTAGAGTTGAACTCGGTGACGAGAAAACCAAAAGCAGATTCCAGGAACAACTGAGGTCACATTTAGGCAGTTCTAAAAACGAGGCTGACTCATATGTAGCTTAGAAAGATATACAAATAACAGCGACATCTATGGGTGGTTTAAACCAAAGGGTTACGAAAAACCAATGGATTCCTACTAAGCCTCTCGTACTGATAGATTCTCGTGAACTCATCCCGTCAGGCGGAACACTTTAGAGAACAATTTAGCTGGCCTTCAGTTACTCTACAACTATCCACCATTTCTAGACAACCTGAATGGAACATAGAAGTAGGTCCTCCAAGCAGCTGATCCAGATGGACTGGCTCCCGATGTCTTTAAGTATGGTGGTCCAATTCTAACGATTAGGTTGACTAATATTTTAGCTAAAATCTGGGAGTTGGACGTAAATCCATCTAACTGGTCGCAACCACTGATTGTCTCAATATGTAAGAAGTCAAGATCATCCTGTGATAACCATAGAGGGATTAGTTTGACTAACATAGCATCTAAATTACCAGTCTCAATCAAAAAGCTCGTTTGACTTTTGCCAACTTACGTTACCTATGGCGAAGGTGAGATATCTATCTACCAATTAAGAGGCGAGTATACTGCGCTGCAGTTCGTTCTGTTGTACATAACGGCTGCGAACCATGAACATTAAGAGTAGAAGTTACAAGCATTTGATCATAGATGTCACAGAAATATTTCTGGCATCCTCTGGGATCACTGGGTATGTAACAGTGAGGTTGGACGCAGGGTATTAGGGAATGATGGTAAATCAGTTGATGAAGTTGTGAATCTTCATCGATTGATATGTTTGGGTCACGTGTTACGCATATATATTGACAATGAGGTGAAAAAATAAAACAGACTGAACAAAAAAACAGAAAATCACATCTTATTACCTGAAGATCCATTACAGTAAATGAATGCTTGACAGGACATATTTTCCACGTTTCGTTTTCTAAGAACATTTTAAGTCGGTCCATATGCTTTCTAAAAAGGAGTAGCAAAACAATTTGGAAAAAAGAAAACGATCAGACATATATTACTCACAAATTTTATTCTAATTAATTTCCATGTAAAGGAATGTACAAATATAGGTGTTTTGACCAAGGAAAATGCACGTGAAATACTAACGCTTACTCATTTAAAACAAGTAGCTAATTGATTATCATCATTGTGTAGATTGTAGAGATTAGGATAATTTGAAAATGATTTCCTTAATGGACTAATGTGAAGATGAAAACCACTGGAAAACAGAGAGTACTGTATAGCTAAATTGATAATGTTTAAAACTGTTTAGACAGTGGTGTACAAAGAACCGCAACATGGCTAGTGGTGGAAAGCCAGATTTATAGACCTCGCATTCAGGGCGTTACCATTGAACCACTCTGAGTTCAAATCTAACAGTCTGTACTCAAAATTATAATAGATTTCCATATTTAAGAAAAACATGAAATTATACACTGTCTTAGTATGAAAGGCCCACATTTTACGGTGCAATAATAGACAAAAAGGATGAAGAAAGTTTGCATACAATTTTGTAATATCGAAAAGTAGTTAAGACAAACATATTTCTCATCACGAAGTGACTTTTGTCACTGAAAACTAACAAGTACTAGACAGTTGTTTTGTCCTAGCGTGACACTCCATGGTAGTGAGCATCCGTGACCACATTTAGGACTGATATTGAGACTTCCAGGCATTGTGGCGAGCAATTAATTTCAATATACGCTGCTGTAGAGTCCCATATTAGAATACAACACCTATCCAGTGTTTCCTGATTTTCACTAATTTTTCAACCAAAGTTAACCTGTAACATGAAACTTAAAGCACCATAAGAAAAGGATATAGCTAAATATATGGGTATGAAAATCCAAATCAATAATGCCAAGGGACTGTCCAGCAGATTCATCATAGTAAGTAGACTTTGCATTTATCCAACAGAATTCATCGCCTATATGTTATATGGATCATTCTAGTTACATATACATAAGTGGTATGATTTATTCATTTATTATTATTATCATTATTATTAGTATTACAGTTTAGCTCTTTATATTGTCTTCGTTTTTACCCACTGTATAGTTAGGTTGATAAAATATCAGGAATGCGTGTAATGGTTTAATCGAACTGTACTCCATAACAGTTTGTCTCGTTAACGACCAATATTATTTTAAATACATTTTATTGGACGTTTATTTCACATTACCCGGATTTTGTACAACGTCTAGTAAGCAGATGTAGGTGAAATTAGTTGGGAATGTCATAACAGGGATAATTCATCCTAAAACATAGTCTACATTAACATTTAGATTTAGGAAATCACAGAGCGACCAGATTATCGTGGTAACAGTCTACAAAATCTAAGCAATTACTGGATGAAAAAAAATGGTCAAATATTTTAAGTTACAAAGTTCGATTCGATTTAACTAGAGCAAAAGGTTATCAACTTATGAGCTGGTATATAAGTGTATTTTTTATTCCTTTAAATAACTTATTTTCCTGTTTTACAGGCCAAATTGTAGTCTATTACTAACACAATATGACAGTAATTTTTCGAGGGTAATGTCTTGGTTACCACCATTATCCTGTGGTTTACAACAACCAATAAGTCTATAACCTCACAACACAGGTCACTTTGACGGTCAGTGACATTATCATAGAATGATCTCATGTCCTGCTTCATGGACAAACCTCGAAATTATTCACTTGATTATTAGAAGAAAGGAGCGATAAATTTGAACATTTTCTGTAGACTTTGACTAGAGAAAAATCGAAAAAACTTCAGGGATGTATTTGGTTTGTGTTAATGATGTCGGGTAAGAGATATTACAAAAAGATATACGATACGGTCTAGTTTCTATTATGTAGTTATGTGGTTAACGAATATATGTTCTAATTTTTTGATAAATAGTTGAGTAAAACAAAAACAACCATATTTTAAATCCATTATTCACACCCGCATAATATTTCTTTGTGTTTTTGAGTGAATAAAGAGTGCAGACCGAGATGAATTGATCATATATATCAAAAACGGTAAGAAAAGAAAACCATGATTATTTTAACGTCAGTCGTTTGAGAAATAATTGCCTATATCCGTCACAATAAGTTAGAATAATTGAGCTAGTGCGAGCTCAAATTCAATTTAAAAATAAGATTACAACCATGGAAAATTTATTCCTGGCTATGCTGCTTGCTGTAGCATTCCAGAAGATGGAACAGCATTCAGAGAATTCAAAACAGCAATCTATTGTTATCTCTTTGCTTGTAATCTGCATTTCCGTAGGAATTAAAAATCATACGTAAAGCTTTTATATGGAAGCAGTTGTCAAACAATGCCATGGATAAAAGAAAATCATATTCAATAATGGAAGGTAAGTTGAGAAATCAATTATCCGCTAAACATTTATCAATAGAAGTCAAGTATTTAGATCCCTATAGTTTTACTATATTGGGTAACTACACAAAAAGAATGCAGATAACATGAAATCTCGTCAGTTTAGAGATAAATAAGCACACTATAAATTTCCATTGTTTTAAGCATAATAATAAATACCGACAATGGTTGATATGGTGATAAACAGCGAGCACATGCAAACAAATTAATCGACATATACATTCACTCTTTCTCTCTCTCGCTCTCGAACACACACACACACACAACCTTGAATAATAGGAGAGGTGGCATGCAAATAAACTTAACCATTGTTCTTGAACATGTGAGAGTAGATACACGAAAGGCGAAACCAGAACGAGAAAAAACACAGAAGACTAAATGAGAAGTAAACGAATATAGAAAAATGTTTAATAGACTAATCATTAATAAACATTTCTGTACGACAGAGTTACACTTAAAGCGAAAAATATTTACATGTATGTAACAAACCAATGAAATGAATCTAAACTATTCTTTTTAATAAACTCTACCTATATATTTACTGTATTTTATGCTAAAATGCGAATGTTATATACATGTATATTGATTCATTGAACAGGTCAAAACACGAATAAACTGATCAGACAAGAATATAGACAAAATGAAGAGTACAGTAATATTCAAATGTTCCAAGCTCTACCAACTAACTTACGGATTATTGGCAGATTATTTTCATTGACCATTTAACCAATTGGTGTATATTATTATGATTAGGATTGGTTTTATCGCGTAAAAACCACTGAGGTTATCTGGCTATGACTTTGAAATAAATTCAACGCATTTTGTTTATTTACAAGGGTGAAACGTTTGAGTAAATAATCTTAATATTTCAAGTTTGATAGGGTTTCTTTCGAAATAGTAACTTGTCAGGTTGAGGTTATCCGCAACGTTTTCTATATTTAATAGGTATGTGGAGTTCAAAACTTTAGACCATTATTAAAATCATTTGGTGAATGAGTGTTACATAATAGTGTAATTTTTCCTGGAAATTTCACTTTAAGTCTTTAATTACACTGCATTTGTGATCATTTGATACCTGAGGCAGCTCTACACTACTATTTCAATACGAAACGGTTACGGTCAAGTCCAGAGATTTAAAGTGAAATCTTTAATGGAAACTAAACTCTAATTTGAAGCATTCTCTCACAAATTAAGGAAAAAATATCCGAAGATGTTTGATATATCACGCTTATAGAACATTGAAAATATTATGGATAACCTTACCATTAAATTATCTCTATGTTTTTCGAATTGTTGGTTTAAAAAAAATAGAAAAGAAACTAATCGCTAATGTTGATTAGATGATTTTAAAAAACTTAAACGAACTAAGGAGCACTAAATAGTCACCTCAACCATAATATGAAACTCCTGGGTAATGTGAATCTACAACCCAAGCGAGGACCGAAACCAATACCTTCGATTTCGTACGCAAACGCATAACCTCCAGACCACTGAAACATGGATCTAATGGTTTATACATCTAACTCTAGTTAATTCACAATATTGTGCGGCCATCTCCAATTGTTTGCGGTTTTCAACACTTGTGATATAATCTGTACACATTTAACAAACTCCAAAAGCCGCTATTCTAGAAATGGATAGTTAATAATAAAAATTATTTTTAAAAGAAAATAAAAAAGAACATTTATTTACCGATGAAAGTCTTTAAAATATTTTTGGATTGAAATTCGTAAAGCTTCCAGTAGTTCATTCGGTGAACATTCACAAAATTCTTCACCTATATGTACAAAACTAAAGAAAAAGATAATGAAGAAAGTTTTTTTACCGATAAATAAAAAAACAAACAAATACGATTAAACTTATGGATAATGAGATGATGATGATGAGAATTTAAAGCTCTGGTGGATAATTTTGGTAACGTTTCATTCTCTGGACTAGATGGATAGGACAAGCTGTCAAACATATATTCGTAGAGGAATAGCTGACCTTCACCTAAAGTTTGTTCTCATTTTATTTTTTTAAATAATAAAAACTTCATAATTAAAACATCCAAATCATTGAATTAATATTGCAAATACTATAATAAGTTATTAAATAGGGTAGATGATGAAATTATTCGTCCACTAGAGCCGTGACCTAATAGTTAGAACGTTAAACTTTCGATTACTAAGTCAGAGGTCTGAACCCTGACCCAGTTTAGGCAACTGGATAGTATTACTAGACTTCAAACTTAATGTATGACTTGAAGTCAAGTACACCAATCTACACCTTATTTACGAGTAAATCATAATTACACTAATAGAATTGTAGTCTAACTAGAACGTATTACACTTTAATGTAATTAATTCACACAATTTGTAATATATCGGTAGTAGTAGTAGTAGTAGTAGTAGTAGTAGTAGTAGTAATAGGTTTTTACCTGATAGTTTCATAAACGTGGATTTTTATAGATCCGTATTCAGATAAACCAGTGAATAGCTTTAATATAATACGTGATACATCTAATTTAAACTTAGACAATCAGTGATGAATTAAATTCGTAATGTACTTCTAATGGTTATTAAAATAAGTAAACTTGAAAATAGTTTTTAAAAAAATAATCTGAACATAGCTTACAGCTTAAAATATTTAGAATCTCAACGCTGTTATTGTTATATCCTAGTGAAGAATACATTACGAGTAACTCCTGAGACCTATTAATGGACTAATATTATCTATACATTCTTATGATATAACTATTCAGTAATTAGATTGTGTATATTTATATTCATCTTACCATAAACTTCATTTTGACCCATAAATTATTATTATACGATTTATTGTTCATAAATTATACTCATTTTATTAATTACCGTCTCCCACGTCCACAGCCACTTTTTGGCTTTATTGTGTATGAACGTTATTTCCTTTTGTATGGTGCGTTGCAGTGTGTTTGCTTGTTATATAAACCCAGTATGTCTGAAGTAAATGATGCGCATGGTGAAGGCTGTTATTGGCATTCTGGACTCAACTGAACAAGCTAGGCGAGCAACGGACCAATAGGAAGCTAGGCCGATCAGACCAGTCGAATGTCATTGGTGTAGTACAGTAGAAGAGCGAATAAGTCGTATTTTGATTGGCGAATAGAACAACTGGTAACTAGCGGGCCATAAAGTCACAACAGTTATAATGGAACATGTATTGTAAAAATCGGGCTATTGGAAGTGCTCTATCCAAAATTATTGTTTATATAATTAGTCGTTAATAATTAAATATTTTAATTACTAGTATTTTTGTATTGTCTTGTTTATAAGCTGTCCCATGATACTTGAACTGATGCTGTATGTTGTGCTCTTTTTTTTAAGTTGCAGTTAATTTTGATGCACTTATTACTGAGTTACCGTTAGTGTAATTTTTTAATTACGTTGGCAAGTAGTCAATATTTTACTCTGTATTACTGTGTGAATTTTGAGTCATGTTTGAGATAAGTGTAATAAAAATTGGCTGTTGACTTTCCTTTGGACTCAAGGGTTGGTGTAAAGGCTTGATTATAAATAATGCAGCGATAGGAGCTTAGATTGCGTCAGCTCAAGATTAACTGGTAGTTAGACGTGTAATTGGCCACGTCTGCAACATTAGGCTACAGAAAAAATAGTAGATGTGGGATAGAGAAAATTTTGAATCATGATTGATGGCATGAACGTGTGATATATATTAGCGTCTCTCAACACAAAAAGCTGATTCTAAATACCAAACAGGATACATATTCTTAGCAAAAACGCAATAAACTGAGCGAGTCTAGGCATGTTATCCACCCGTTCTTGCGCTTATATCATGGTCAAACATTATAGATAAGACACACTACTGAAAGGAGTCAATTTTGGTTCTATACTACAGAAGGACAAACGTAAGTATACCAACGATTGGTGTACCTAATTATTTGATTATACAGTTCTGTTTTACTAAAAAGCTTCCGTTTAACCCAGTACCGACTCATATACGACTAACTATTCCAAATTTGTTACCAGTCAATTACTTACAGCTTTCCCTAAATACAGACACTTTTGGCTCGTTTATTTATGATTGCCATTTTGCATTTTATGGTGTGATGCAATTCAGGATGTCTGTAAATAAACCACATCTGTTTTGAAATAAAAATAAAGTACAGGCTAGTTGCTGATTTCTGGACTGAAGGGAAGGGCATAGAAAGAAGCTTGAGAATATCGGATCAATAAGAATATGACTCAGCATCATAAACAATAGCCTAAATAGATCCACTAATTATCTTACACTACATTTTTATCTCGAGTATTCATAAATAAATATCAATTGACTTCGTCGTTAATCACATTCTGAATGTTTATTCGGTCTTTCGTATTACGATTGGTAGTAGGATTACTTTGACTTTATTACTATTCAACTTGTTGACTCTACCTCGACATACTAACAATGTATGACATCCTGCGCTAATGATTGATCTTATGGGGGCTCTTCACGATCATATACAGTATATATATATATATATATATATATATATATATATATATATATATATTTACACGCCAAAAACCTTCAGAACATGAATAATAACGCCTTTCATTTACAAATAAGAATAGTATATTGGAAATCACGAATTTTATTGACGTAAACTAGTTAGTGACCACATATAACCATAGATTGAAAAATATTCATTAATAAAGTCATGTAAATAAAGGTGGAAAGTAAAGTGAATCGATTTTTCTCGTTTTAGAAGAGATTTCAACAGAAATTAATGAATTTTAAATTTTCATTTACTTTATTCAATAAATTAGTGTTTTTGTTTACTAATCGTTCTTAGTATATATATATATATATATATATATATATATATATATATATATATATATACATATATATATATATATATATATATATATATATATATATATACATATATATATATATATATATATATATATATATATATATATATATATATATATATATATATATATATGATTGTCACTGTTTAGATTAAGGGTACACAAATAGATGTATGCATTTATATGCCAAAGAATACAATTATTTATCTATTAATATTTAATCAAAATTGCTCATCCATATAGATCAAAATGCGTTTATCGTAAACAAAAATCGGGAACATTGAGTGACATGACTCAGGTTCAGTTTCTACAACGTAGATACTATTCATTGTTTGTCATCGTTCAAAACATAAGTTTGAGAATAATTTTATACTTTTCAATCTATGAATTCATATTGTATTCTTGAATCATGTTTACTACTCATAAAATTATTTATTACTACTAAAACTGTTGCTACTTTGACTAATTTGATTATTGTCTTGATAAATTCGTGAGCAATATATAACAAATTAAAGTCTCGTATTTTACTTAGATATTCACTTTATGATAATTAAGTCAATAGGCATAACTTAATTCGAAGATAATTAGTGATTGGTGTTGACTGAATAACTGAAAATTCTGAAAGAATAAGAAAAAGGTATTTTAGTAAGTGAGATTTCAGGTCGATACCTTGTATGAAATCGTGGATATTTCAGTAATTAGAATTAGTCTTCAATGAAGGAAAAACAATTGTCTGTGTAATTATTCCTCGTTTTCATTGATTTGTTATATTGATGTCTAAGTTTAGGATGAAATCTGTCTTAAAATTGAAAAAAATCGCTATGAAACACTTATCTAAAATAATGAGGTAGTTAGTATAAATTGTATAAACCACATCCTTGTTATCAAAGGGGAATCACTTGAACTCCTTGGTAAGTAATGACACATTAATGTATAAAACAATGAATCATGTACATTTAGTGAAAAGACCTACCATTCGGAATTGATGAAAGTATTATCGAAAACCAAATTAATCATTGTTACTTTTTAGTTGGTCAATGATGGTTACCTAATTCAAGGGTATGTTAACTAGATTTATCACTTCTACCTGTATTCATCGATTCGGTTATTCCTGTCAAGACAGCTATATCGAACTTACAATCACAATTAGTGAGCACTCACTGAGTTGTTTGAAAGGGATCAAACAAAGTCAATATTTCGTTCTGCTTCATCTCACTCGATCGATATGTAGTAGATCAAACTAAGGTGTTCAAAGTGATTTTCTGCATACGCTCACACTCAACCAGTCGGATGAAGTCACATCTCATATATATATGGAAAGCCATAAAGATTCGAGTCAGCAATCCTAGCTGTGTCTAAAATAAATTTGTAATATCTCGATCATGATCATTCTCTTGTCTTTCTCCACTTCTTTTAAATAACCTCTTTACCATATGCATAATTAAATTGATTATTCACAACTGTTTCTTATTAAGTATTTTTAATGATTATCTAATGAAGTTTATTTTCTCAAGTGTTGAACAGCTTTCTTTACTAAAATATTTACCCATATTATCAAGATATTTATTAATCTCATAACCACAACACATTAGCATCTTACTAACAATTTGTACTTTTTTCATTGAAATCATGAACCGATCAATATTAGACCACCACTGAAAACCTGAGAGCACTAAAGGGCCATTTGTCCTCGTATGGACCTCTTCAAAAGTCTGCATCCACAACTCCATACACGGTATTTAATTATGCAATCTACTTCATTATCATTGATTCATAGATTGTTTTGACCGGTTTAACAATTATTATGTATCCATGCAAAATATTACTGTGGATTAGAGTAAAGCCCTACGAACAGCTAGTTGAAAACAATACTGTTAGCTTACATAGGTGTTTTTACTAATTATTAATTAATAAGACTAAAAACAATAGTTTCGTTGGAAGAGTTTAGTGGAAATTGATTTGTTTTGTAGATTGTATTTAATACAAATTGGTGACAGTTAGTGAATCTTTGAGGGTGACGGATTGGACAGCTATTCCAGCCTAATATGGGTCTCCTCCGAGGCCTATACTCATAACTTCACCAAGTACGAAAGCTTAATTCTTAAGAACATCGGGTCGGCGTCCAGCTAAATAATTTCAACTTCAACCATTTTGCCATATTGAATAGTGGTCATTAAATACCATTAGTGACAAGTGTTTCACTTCAAAAATGCTTGAGCATCATCGGTCACAACTTATTAAAACTTTAGGAACATCGTGAACGAGTGTGCACTGTTGGGGACTGTTATATTAGAACAAAACTACTGGTCAGCGCTCTTTATTTTCAACGGTACTCCATCAGTTGAGATTAATCTGTGACGAATAAAATCTACAAAATGTAGACAATATTGTTTGTTAACAAACATACAATTTTCTAACATGAACACTAACAACAAAAAAAGACAGCAAAGATGTTATTCAATTAAAACTTACTGATTAATAGTAGATAATAATGACGCAATCTGATCAAATGTCATATCTCTGGCAAGTTGACTAACAACATTTAAAATTGGTTCAATACGTGAAATGATTTCTGACCATATACGTGACCGACCAGAATCTAATTTACACGTAACATAATCATGCCATTGTCTGGCCAACTGTGGATCACAACCATGATCATTATTTATGATAACGGATGATTTCGTCACCGTACTACTGTCTTGATCAGTTTCAGTAGTGATAACAATATCATCACGATTAATATTGTCAACTTTTAATTTCGGTTTATGATATTTGGAATTATTAAGTAGAGAATTTGAAGTAAATGATTTATGTTTAGTGTGACTAGATACAGACGGATATGTTTCGGATGACTAGAAAAAGGAAAAAGGAGTGAGAATAAAATTGAAAAAGAATTTGTAAATAGTGATGAAGGTATGTATTGGTTTTGCTTTCTAGTGACTGATTTCAGAAAAATACAATATCAAAACATGGAAGTACTGAACACAGGTGTTTCATTTCAAACAATTCAGATTCGACCTCAGCATTAAGCATATACGAACCAATACGGGAGTATGTTATTTCTCTACGGTTACTTCATACACTTCCCATGATATACCAAACCTACCATACAAATAAGAAGATTGAAAGGTGTAAAAAGGTATAAATATCAAACCGAATTATAACGTCCATAAATCATGTGTACAAATGATTACCCTTTCGATCCAAACAAGGATATGTTGACTTAGATTTTGATTCAGTACATATTCGAATCTCTTTAGTAGTATGTCTCATTTACAATTTTCATTTACGACATAACGTGGAAATGATTTGTGGGTACAAGTATATGATATGTCTATACTCGATCAGCATATTAGACTGAACTTGTGGCAACCTCTAGGCTAAAATAAAATGTGGTCTATATTTTTAACTTCAATAAAACAATCTGACTATTATTCAGTGTCAATGATGAGCAATCACCTCACTTTTGATATGGTTAAATGACGCTACTAGGGGTTTTTTACTGTACAATGATGACACAAGTTGATTCACTAAAAGGTGGGGACATAAAACAAAATGTTAGATTGTAGCTTATTAATTGAAAAACTAAATAGAGTTGAAATAATGAGCATTTTTAGTTAAAGTAGGTTTGTTTTCTTTATAAATTAACTCATTATCTTGCCACCAACATCTTCACGTATGCACTTTAATTTCTTTTAATTGTACACAACAACAATGAATTTTTCCATAAAACTATATTTAAAAAAAGATATAAACAAATTGTACCGTAACACTAGAAGTAACTAGCTATTCGCATAAAAATACAGACATACTACCGAATTTATTGAAAAAATAATCATGAAACAAACTGTTATATAATATAAGTAGCAAAAAACGTACACTTTTGCCAGACGCTCGATTTTTATGCCATTGAATTGTACGATGATAACATAATAGAATTTCCCACATATTTTGACAAATCGATCTCAAACATCGTAGTAAAGTCCAATGTGGAAGTTGCTATGACCAATAATATATAAAGAATAAAGAAGATACATATTTAATGAGACGAATCAATACTGCGGAGCAGCTGTTTAGAGGAATTAAACCTAACTTGATCTTGGTGGATTTTAAGACTCAGATAGCATCAGTGACAGACTGACAAAATTCATTAAGCATTAAATAAAGAGGATTAGACAAACATAACATGGATCATCCACAACTTACCGATGAATTATTTTGATAGTTGAATTAATGAGTTCATCTAAGCTAGGCCACCAATAAAAGCCTGGAAGCCTTGAATAGCCGTCTCTTCCTAGTATGGGACTCCTCAGCAGTGAGCGTCCACGACCCATCACGCGAAACTCGAACCGAGAACCTTCAGTCTTGAGCGCGAACGCTCAACATCTAGACTACTGAGCCGGTATCCAAAGGTGTTTATGTCTAACCCTAATCGTAGATCAACTCGTGAATTCGACAATTAAACATACTTCAATCTCCGCAAATTCCCATTCTGATTAATTAATTGTAAATATCTTTCCTACAGAAGGTTAGTCGCGGCTCAAGTTGTCTGGTGGCAGAGTCTGTGATCTTAGTGTCAAGTGGCGTAAGGTTGGTCGTTGATAGTAAGTATCGATTGACAAAAAATTTCAGTCATACGTTCCCTGAAACCTATGTTTAATCATCTAACAGTATTATTAGTCACATAATCGAAAGTTGAACTTAAATTTATGTGTGCACAATGAGTTGTAATAATCCATTATAATAATATATACACATAAAATCATATTCTTGCTATCTCATGTATACTTACCCAATAATTTCTTAATTATCGAGTTGCGAATATATACTACTTATTTTAGTGTATCATAATCTGATTGAATTTTATCAAATATATGAACTTATAGTAATATTTCATGTTAGCCAATGGTTTAAAATCATGTACGTTTAAAAAATAAACTTGTTCATGTATAAGGGTTGACCAGTTGAGCTACTAAATAATATTAAGTGACCATTAAAAATTAACAATAATGGAGAAAATTTATACTTCAAATGGATGTAACTTTTACTGATGCTGCAATGTTCCATGAATTAGAAACTGTATAATCACGATGTTTTCAGATAATATCAATAGTTTACTATATCCTTGATATGATTAAAACCATCCAGCTCAGAGAACAAAGCTCCATCAAAATCATCCACCTGAACTACAAACCTTTTCCACCATCTCATTAATCTTATAATTTCAAAAGTGTATTTTGTTAAGTTCGTTAAATAAATACCATAATGATTTTTAAATCTCAACTGACAGACCATTCTTTACCCTTAAAAAAAACTCAGTTGAAAAAATACTTTTTTTATTGTTATCCAAAGTATGCAAATACTGACCACTCACTTGACATAATTCTGAATATGAATGATCAGAAATTATCTTATTCCCTGATGTATCTGGCTCAGATGCTGAATGCACATGAAATTGAACTAGATAGAATGATTTACGTTGTATAGCTGCTACATAATGCATTTGTAATTGAGCAAATGTTGTCTGAGTACTTCCTAGTAATCTGTATATTTGTAAAAATAATAATATAAAATGATTGGTATTAGCTATATACATAAAACCATGAAAAGAATGTTATCCTTTAGTGGTGCCGTGATATGACCCCAATTAGATCGGAGGATGATGTCATCGCTATAGACATTCCAGCTTCCCTCGTATATTGTTATCGACATAAATCGCGTTAGTGAATAACAGAATCAAATAAGCCAAATACAAAAATGAAGTCCGAATATGTATATTTCGTACACTCATTGATTTGAACAGACAAACAGAGAAACGAAATGATGTGCAGTGGAGAAGGTGAGTGAACCAACTCCATTTGACCAAAGAGTAACTCAATATGTTACAGACACGTAATGAGCAGGGCGAGCAATTAACACACAAACATATTACAACAGTCAGGGCTAATAAGCGAATAAGTGACAGGGTAAAAATATGGCTTGTGAAGATTGGTCTGTTCAGAAGCTAGAATAACATATGTGGGCTTGACATGGTAGCAGACTCTACAATCCTGTTCTGAATTTTTTCAGTAGCAGAAGAAGTCTAGTGAGTTAACCAGCAAGCCATGATTACCAAAAACAGCTCATTCTCTCCTGATGCTCAAAGCCCAAAGTTATGAAGATATTAGGAGCGTGATTAGAATTCTAAAAACATCGCGGTTAAAATCACTATCAGTTTCATTGAACAATCGGTGAACCCACAAAAGTCTAATCCTTTCTAAAAACATATAATTATTAAAGGCTTTGTTCAATATTACATTTTGGTACAATATTGAATTCTCAGTACGAATTATTTCAACAAGTTTCTTTTACAAAAGCGAAAACAACAAAAAAGAAAAGAAAAAAATGAAAAAAGACCGCAATCTGTACAACTTGTCAAATTAGAGACATGTTTAAGAATAAAGGTTATTTGACTAGGTTAACTCGGACAACCTGTTCGTCACAGAGTATATTTGCTAGGTAAGATATGATAGAACTTCTATACTTTTGCTTTCGGGCATGGATTTTAGTGTATATTTCACATCATTTCAGTAAATATCGTCATTTCATTCTATTTCACAAAATGTTTTCTGTAGATGGCAGATCATTCAGAATAAAAGAGAAAACTGGAGGTGAAAGGAAAACTCCTTGTGGCACACCCTCATGAGACATTGAACACTTCCCTCCAACACACAGTGTACTGTTCTCTCCCAGAGAGGTAAGGACATAGCCAATTAGTTATCCAGCTGTCACTGTGGACGCTGATTAACTTGTTATGTAAAACTTGTACTGGTATAGAATCAAAAGCAGAAGTATAGTTCAGAAAAGTGCATCGAACGTAGTTCTTACCCTTTTACAAGCTCATCACTATATTGTGATGCAGAACAGCAACAGCATTTAAGATGCTTGTTTTGCATTTGTAAGCAAACTGACACAAATCAATGTTCTCTTTTATTGCAGGCTGAGATGGGAGTATCAATAATTTTCCCATTGTTTTGAGGAAAAGTGAAGTTATTGCTATGGGTCTAAATTTCACATTCTTATCATCAGATACTTTCTTAAGTACAGTGATTATCCTTATCTTTCTCCACATTTTCGGTATGAGATTAGTTGAAAAGGATCTGTTGAAGATACTCCCGAATGGATAAAGCAGAGTGTCAGCACATTTTTAAAAAGGAGATTTTGGATATCATCATGTCCTAAACATTGGGATGAATTAAGTGAGTGGAGACATTTTCGGACATCAGTTTCAGTGAAACTAGGAACACAACTATTTTTCAAACCTGTTGATATAGGGAGCATGACATCAGGTGACTGACTTGCTTCAGTCACAAACATTCAGCTGTTTATCGCTTCTAATGTGCCTGTTACCTGTAAGTTCTTTAATGAGTTTCCACATACTTGGAGAGTTTCTACAAACAGGAGTTTCTGAGTAAACATAGAGTTGAGACGTCTAATCTCTAGGTTAATTAGACCATTTAGCTTACGAACTTCAATAATTTTCTCCTAGCACATTCTTTTACCCTCCGTAGTCGTTTTACTTGTGGAGATGTAAGTCGATCAAAACTTTTAAAACGCATTCAGTGGGACAACAAATATCAAAACAGAATTTAAGATAACAAGTGATAACATCAACACTGTTTTCCAATGAGTCATCTGTAAATAATTGCCAGTTAGTTGTACGAAACATTTTTTTCAGATTTTGAATATATTCTTCTGAGTAATTCCTATATTTGACTTTCTTGGTCTGATACAAGAATGTACTCTTTCCATGCTTTCCATATACTGTAAGTAGAACACGAGCTAGACAATGGAGCACGTTTACGAGTCATATATGTACCCATATCATTAATGAAAACGAAGTCTAAATGAGCATCCAAATGAATAGGAAAATCTACTACATTTCGGTGATCTAGTGATGTAAGAAAGCTACAGTCACATGAATTAAAATCCTTAAGCAAAACAGTAGATGACATAATTATACACGGGGCAAGCTATTCAAAGAAATCGTATATGTGTCTAGTCAAGGTCTTATCTACATCTCCTTGTCTGAATCAAAAGGACAGATGTATATATACCCATGATTTGTATACTCAATTATTTAGTTAGTCAACTAAAGCTCCTTAATTATGTCTCATTCTTCTCACTTGCGTCGGTGGTAGGGCAAGTGTACATGAAGCGTACCTAAATGAATCGGACGATCATGAGACGGAACAGCGCCTGCAATCTTGAAAAGAACTCAATATTACAATTAATAGCACTGAAGAATTTGAGTAGTAAATGAAATTTTCGTAAAACTGGCACATTTACACTAGCAGATCACGAAGTGAGAAGCGACAATTTTCTCTTAATATTCTCTCTGAATCTTACAGAAGTTCAGTGTCACGATGCGAAATAGTATTGTTGTAATGTCTTTCTCTAATATTGAAGTACACTTATACATGACTTACTCAAATGCACGCTGAACAGTTGAATATGATTTTTCGTCAAAATGTTCGCAGCTTCTTTGTAATTCTGAATCTAATTTCTCATCAATACGTAATTCTGATGCTTTCAACTTGCTATGTATGGATCTTTGAGAAACAGCGACAACAACAAAAGACGGTGATAAATATAAGGAAATTAAGGTTTGTAGAAATGAAGCTTGATATTTAATCAAGCAATAGATATTAATATAACGGAAAAATAAAATTATTTATGTTTGTCAATGTTTACTACTATCATATGATTAGATGACCGGTGATTGAGTTAGGAACATTACCAATAGACTAAATACTCGACCGATACGCTAGACACATATTGGATCACGTTATAACAGATGCACGTTTTACGACCAGAATAAGAGAATCAGAGTAACGATTGAACAGTAATTTATTCAACACAATTACAAGCAGTTTACACTCAGTGTGTTGAGAGTAGAAATCACTAGCTGGAAGGAAATCACACATTAAGTAGCCAGTGAGTTGAATGTCTATTAGTTTAAACTTACTGACTAATCACATCCTAATTTCACAAAATATATATAAGAAATCCAAAACTAACGATGTAATCTGTATACTGATTAGGAATTAAATTTCCAGAACTATTTCTATAGCACATTTAACAAAAGATTAATTAACTTCTACGTACTTGTTGTTCACTATTTAAAGAACTTGATATATCGGTGAACTCTTAGAGAGAAACAATCCGTTTGATCAAAAAGACCTTGGCCTTATTACCACTTAACAAGAATTAAACTCGGACAGTAGATGGAATGTGTATTGCAATTTGGTACAGTAATGGAAACTTATATCATTATTTGAAAGAATCCTTCAGTTTTTAATATTTAGAACTACATTCGACCAGTCTTTGTCAATGTATGGAATGTCCAAAAGTGATGTCTATTGTTAGTTATGTATGAATGGGTAGAATACATGAAACTGTGAGGGCTATTCTACGGTTGATTATATATGTATATTTACTAAATATATATTTATATTGACCTAATTGTAAGCTTTTATTTGACTCAATAACTACTGGTATACGTCATACTGTCCATCAATTAAACTTGATTGTTTATTAACCTATTACTCAGTTTTCTACTACAAATTGTCTCGCTATTTACAAACTGTCCTTTGTTATTATCAATAAATTCTGGTCTTGTAATCCACATATATTATCATTCGAATTGTGAGTAATAAAACATACGAAGTAAATCGACTGGGTTTTATCGTTTTCTAATTGTGCACATTGAGGAAAGAAGTCCCGCAGGCCAATCAGTGCCTGGTAGGACCAGGCACATATATGTATCGGTCCAAGTTGCCATATCTCATTAGCACAACAAAATGAACACCGAATTCATAGAAGTGGTTAATTCAATGGTGGTAATATATAGAAAAAGATTGTATATAAGAATATAGTACAGGAAGCGGCGTCAGTACACTTAATCGACAAGACTGGTACAGAGGTCACTAGTGTTATCTGACATAAGCGGATTTGTTAATACAAGAGTCGATAAGTGATTCTAATAAGTGAGTATACAGAAGTGAGAAATTCTCCTCAATATATTGACAGTCGAAAATTCTCATTATATTCTTCAGTAGTGGCTAGCGAAGTATTGAAACCCTGAAGTGCGAATATATGTAGTTGATGAGACCAAAAAGGGACAAAGTGCTTATCTGGATTTTCACTCTTAGCCACTATCCAAAAATATAAATATAAACCATCGAATAATGGCATTTGAATTATTTAATGTTATATATATTTATTAACTGTATTGCCTTGAATGGCAATAAATAGACAATTAAGCTGTTATTAATGTGATAAAAACTATTTGCAATAAGGTTAGACCAATTCTTATTTATTTATGTTCTCAATAAACTTCATAAATGAAAAATAAAGTTCCATTTTACATGTTCCATGCTTACATTTGCTTTTTATTTAGTAAAAAAACTTTTTCAAAACCATTTGCATAATTAGCGGCTTTGTGAATCTCACCGTTCTAAAAAGGTTCTCTTTTATACTAGAACGAGAAATGGAACAATTAATAAAATCATAGGGAAATGGATAATTTGTTATTCCACTTTGGATTTCCAAATGCACAGACGTTATTAAATTGTATCAGAGCTGTGAAAACAAACTAAGGACCTTGTGTTGAACAATTTACTTCTTATAAAATGAGAATTCAATCATTAACTAGTTTTCAAATTCAATGTATCCAAATTAAAAGAGTGTTGACTTTTCTACAGTACAAGGTCAATCGAACTACAAATATACGTCTGAAGTGAAGTGAGTGATATATTGTTGTACATATTGGTATTTCAGTAAGAATAAAATATATCTTAGCGATATCTATAAATCTCAAAGACAAAAACCCATCCAGCATTTTCTAATTTCGACCAGTTCTTAGACGCATTCTAGTCACCACACACTGAACAGAACTCAAATACAGGAAACATTCATGATGTTATACATATACATTGTGAAAAATCTAATTCTACAACTCACTCAATACACCGGTATGAACGGAAATCTTCCAAAAGGACAAGACTTTCACGATGTAGTTGAATAGCATCATAAAAGTCACCTTGCTATAAAAAAACAAATAGAACAAATGAGTTTCTAAGGAATAAAATGACACAGCTTAATCATAAATTTGGGACTCTTAAGTATTACATGCAAACAACCCCACCAGAAATTGAAGCCGAAAAAGATCAGGGCCTATTACAACCACTTTATATATTAACCATTTAGTTCTTGATTTGATCCTCTGTTATGAGACCTCTGACATGCACTGTCGAAGAGTCCTACACAAGAGCAAAACAGTTGCTCATTGCTTAGGTCTTAGTGACTCTACAACTAAAGACAAACGTGATGTAAATCTCCAAAAACGACCAATCCTAAAATGTATCATCGTTTCCGATCAAGATAATTATTACTTTGTATAAGGTTAAATGGTATTTTACTGATTAAATAACGGAAGTTAATTGATTAATAGAAATTCAATAAATCAAATGAAGCACATTACAACAATCCACTTTTTTTAACCAAAATTACTTTCAAGAGTTTTGAGACATGATAAAACAAACATCTATGCAATTGTTATTGATATTGCGAGCCAACCTAATCTAGATATACAATGAAAACCAAGAAGCACGAGATATCTGTATGAGACTTTTCAGCAGTGAGCGACTAAGACCCCATTAGAAGCCAAAACTCAAGACCTTCGGTCTAGCTCTTAAACGGTTAACCACTAGAACACTGAGTCGATATATAAAGACGACAGTGTCTAACTTCAACCAATCCACGAAGCTGTACCACCGTACACTATTGTCTTCAGTGAGCTGATATCTCACAACAGACTTGGTTTAACTCCACTGATCACTGCTTCTCAAGAGAACTCCATGAAACGCCTCTTTAAGTCAGTCACTAGTGAGATGATTATTATCAGAATGGGTTTTGTGGATATGTTTTAGAAATTTCAACAGTTGAAATCATGAGTCAATTGAAGCTAGACCATCATGGAAAACCTGGAAACACTGCTCACTAGTGACTGACTTCAAGAGGCGTTTCATGGAGTTCTCTTGAGAAGCAGTGATCAGTGGAGTTCAACCAAGTCTGTTGTGAGATATCAGCTCACTGAAGACAATAGTGTACGGTGGCGCAATTTCGTGGATTGGTTGAATTTTACATTAACACCGTTGAATGCCTGTCGGCTCAGTGGTCTAGTAGTTTAGCGCTCGCGCGCAAGACTGATAGGTCCTGGGTTCGAATCCCGCGGGGGGGGCAGGGTTGTGGATGCGTACGGCTGAGAAGTCTCGTACTGGGACGAAACGGCCGTCCAGTGCTCCCAAGTTTTCCATGGTGGTCTAGCTTCAATTGACCCATGATTTCAACTATTAATCAAAAATATGACAGGTAATTCTTCATTTTTCTAGATATTTCTGAGAAGTTCCCGTTCCATGCAAATCGGATACAAAACACTTCCTGACGTCTTCTGAGCTTCTAGAGACTTAGACGACGGATAGTTTTGGACTATCCAACATAAACGAATATGTAGTTAATATGATTAATGGACGAAATTTAGCATTGTCTGTCCGAATTCGAGAACTAATGATAATTAGTTAGCTTCCTAAATTGAAATGGACCAAGTGATGCTCGAACCGACAACCCAAAAGTTGGGATCTGAGAGCACAAATCACTACACCATTGCTTCATAAGAAGACACAGCACACTACTACTTTAATAATAATAATAATAATAATAATAATAATAATAATAATAATAAACGTGTTGGAAAACATTAAACATTAAAACAGAAATACAATTATAAATCCTACTTTAATGAGTGTATCAAGCCGGTGAACATTATTTTGTAGATTACGCAGTCGAAATAAAATATTCAGTGTTTGTTTTAGCCTTAATTGTCTACGGTGATTACGTAAAACAATTAGTCGTGATAAGACCAATGTTTTGTCAGCTTGTTTTAATGAGCTATCATAAAATGAAAAGAGAAAGAATACCAGAATTAAAGATAAACAAATAAACAAAAGTGTCTAAATAATTCGTGATATGTTTGGTCAATTAATTGAAAGCATTTATTAACAAAATACATTTTTCTGTTTACTAGTGATCAGAATTATTATAATTTCTTAATTTCTGCTTCATTTCGATAAAAAAACCCTATATTTGGCGTGCAATACTTGCATATTAAGCAAACCACTGAGCCAGTGTAATATACAAACGGTATTAATGTGAGCTCGATAGTGAGAGTTGACAATGCCCAACAGCTCAACAATTACATCGAAATTGTGAGTCGATATAAGTTAGACCACCATTGAAAGTCTGGAAGTACTCGATGGACATTTCGTCCTAGTATGAGATGACTTAGTGGTGCACATCTATGAACCCGCAACCTTGAATCGAACAGAGGGTCTTTGATCTTGCGCACAAACACTTAACCTTTGAACAATTAAGCCGATATCCAGCGGTGTTATTATCTAATTCCAATCAATCTATGACATTATACTTCAAAAATTAGTCGCACTAACACAGGAAGAAAATAAAATGTACGGAAAACTTGATATTCAAGCAGAACAACCTGAAATGATGCAACTCAGTATGTGTAGTAACAAAGGCATGACTTTAAAGCACATAGAAAATTAATGAACTACAAGTAGTGTGACAACTAATCGTAAAATCTAAAGGTTATGAGAAAAATTAGATAAGAGAAACGGCACCCGTGCTTATCGTTGTTACTAGTAAAATTTTAACTTTATTAACGAAAATTGAGTAGTCCTGTGATCATCTTATCACTATCATAGTTAATGACTAACTAATCCTACTGATCAAATAGCTTTAACAGTTATGAAAGAACTAATCAGTATTAGTACTTATTATTTTACTGATTTCATGTTAACACACGCCTAATTCACTATAATTGTTTCGAAATCATTAGTCTACAAAATTAGGGACGTGCATGAATCCATATCCCCATTGTTATTAAGGACTCACATTTACGGTGGAAAATTCAGGTAAAGTAGTGAAGCCACTTAATATTCAACTAATTGAATTAGATTATATGACAGTTCTTGGGCTCACTAATGACTGATTTCAAAATGCAACTCCTCAGGTTCTAGTGAAAAACCATGCTTAGTGGGATTCAGTTATGTCAGGTAAGAGACAGTTATCCATCGCAGGGAATAGATGAGGGCTGGGTAATATTGTGAATTGACTGAAATTATATATTAACATCGTTGGATGCCGGCTAATTGGTCATAAAGTTAGGTGTTTACACGCGAGACAAAAGGTTTGAGTTCGAATCCCGAACACGCGGTTGTGGATGTGCACTGGTGAAGAGTTCCATACTAAAACGTGATTCCAAGATTACAGTGATGCTCACACTAAGATCAGTTCATGATTTAAACGATGAAAGTTATCTTTTGATTCTGAGCATAAAGATTAGGAATATTATACACTTAACTTTGGTGTTATCACTTAAGCAACAAAGTTTTCAGCTTTGATTACATTTAATCGGTTAATTCTGAGAAGTAGCCATTAAATTATAATGGTTGTGTTAAATGTAACACTGAATGGTTAGAGGCGATCAAACAAAAATAGGACAGAGCCAAATTGGTTACCATTTAAGTTATGGAATAACAGGATGTAAACCTATTTCAAGAACTTAGTTGAGTAAAACCTAGTTTTTTAAAACTGGTGAACGGATTATAGCTACATATACTACTACCATGTAACTATGAACTACCTTTCTGAAATGACTTAGTGGACAGTTTATTTATGAAGTGGCCAAAATGAAGATATGATATCAGTGAATGTAACCATTTGCTGTTGGACTGAATCACGTTGATAGATTTGTACTTCAAGAGTGAGATCCAGAATAAAAAATATAATCTGTAGTTGGAGACGACAGATTACGTCATTCGAAATCCGTAGCACCAGTACAGTTGAACTTATATTCTTTATCATCCCTTAAGTTTGGAGCTTAATATTAAGCTAAACCGTTCGTTCTTTGATCTTGTTTGTTTCTTTGGAACCAGAGTTCATATGTTTTAAACCCCATTAATGTAGGTGATAGTACATCTGTTTCTCTACTTTCCCTCTAGATAATTTTCTTTATTACTGTGTTCATGTAAAGTAAAGTGACACTTTGGATTGGCATATATTTGTAACAGTTTCTACTTCCTTATCTATAAGTGACTCTAATATATGTATCATTTACATTCAATCACCTAGTGACAAGTTAAGAAATGAATCATAAACAACTCTAATTTCTGAAATGCTAATACATATTAATTATTTAAAAAAGGAGGTATTTACTTTCTAATTTCTCGACACATGCACAATGTTTCCCAGTTATCTGATTGTAATGATAAAACACCTTTCAATTCCGCTTCATATTGTGGATGTTTTTCTAGAACCAATTCAGAAACACGTCTAGATACAGCTTTATTTTGACGATCCAATGCTAAAAGACGCAATTTTAATTTGGATAATTCACGACAATTTGGTCCAGCAATATTCTGTGAAATGAGAAGATTCTGTTGTATTTACAGAAAAATTTACTGAGTTTTTTAAACCACATATAAACGTTTAAATTGGATAAAAATAAGTGAGAATCTGTTCGACCGCGTTTAAATACATTACTGTGTATACTGAATATCTTGAACTATTCTTGTGAAGAATTACATTTGTAATGTATAATTATTAAATATCTAGATTATATCTCTATATTTCTTTCATTATGAGCATTTGTAGGATCTATTAACTGTTGTTATCACCTTGCATTATTCCTTAATTATATCAAATTAACTAATTATATTTTACTTCATTCTTTCTTATATGTAACTTAGTTGTATGTAAGGTGTGATTCTTAGTTTGAAGTATCTTGAGGTCTGATAATTTATGTATAAGAACCTATGAATGCTTACTATTTTCTCTTACTCGAACTCTATGCTATGAATAGAAGAAACAGGCATTCTGGAACAATATAAATTAAGATTATTACAGTCTTAGCTCAAATTTAATCGTGTCAGTCAGAATGAATAATTGGTTATAACGTATGACTTTAGTGTGTAGATGAAAACTGTATACTCAAGATAAAGGATTATAAATGCCGAAACTAAATGGTGAATCTCTCTTAATTGATGTCGAGTAATTCTTTAATTCATATCAGTTTTGAATACAGAGTTGTGTATACTCAATAGCTGACTCTGAACATTACTTTAGAAGGATAAGATAAATCGAAATAATTATTAGGTTTTATTCTACTGTTAGCTTATTTACTAAGTACAAATTTTGATACTGAGCTTCAAATCACACTTTTATTATGAGGGCTAGTGACGCTACTACCAGATTGCCCTTGAGGAAGTAGGTGAAGTCGGGTTCGATCCTGTGGTTTAGTGTCTGAACGTCGATAACGCCTTAACTACTAAGCTACCACTCCTCAATCTTAATAACAAAATAAAAATGTCAAGAATTAATCAATGCTTCTTATATGTAGTTGCACTTATTACTTATTCAACGTTATGAATTTTATAGATATGATGGTGAAGAACAATGAATGAAAAATGAAAGTTGACAAAAACAAAAAGCAGTATATCCAAATTTGCATAGTACAGGTTAATAAAAAACGTAAGAATAAAGATTTGTCTTGAATGAGCTCAATATGTAAACATTCTGTCTTAGACTATGACGTTTAGACCAACATTATAACTATCAATATTACTAGTCTTTCAAATCTTAAACAGGTAAATTGTTATGTCCTTGGCATATACGATTGCCAAATTTAGATACGCGGACTTATACGACCAACAAATGACCGGAATAAACAACCTGGAGTCTCGATTGTTCCGCTCTTCGTGTCTGTTAAGTTCAGAACACAAATCTCAGCCTCTGTGATATGAATCATGTATTCCAAATATATTTGGGTTATATACAAGCCAAACAGACCACATCACACCAGAAATAGAAAATAGGATTTGTACAAGATCACACCAAAACGTGGTTGTGATTGTAATAGACTGTAATTAATAAACTAGGCATAACTTAAGAATTGGAAACAACATTGTTTGCATACGTATACATGTGTTATTCTAATTTAAACAAGGGGACCTAATAGAAATTCGAAGAATAATTATTTGTAGTATTGAACAAATTTTCAAAAACTAACTAGCATATCATTTAACCAAATGATTTATTCAGTTAAATGATTGGTTTCTAGAGATTACATATGGAGCTTAGACTTCAGTGAAACATTCGTAACATATAAGGTTCGATTATTTTAAACACTAATGAAGTACAAATGACAGATACTTTCATACTTTTATTATCTAAGGAAAGATAATTTCGGATTAGAAGTAACCTAGACTTCATAAAAACAATGGAGATTACACTACTATTTGCATTATCGATTCCAGAAATGATAAAGATCAGCTATAGTTGGTTTTCTTTTAGTTCACTTAAAATAATGGCGAGGATTCGATAGTTAAAGCAACAAGCTTTCAATTACTGAATTACAGATTCAAACTTCTCTTGACTACCTCAGTTTAGGCAACTACTTAGTATCACTGCTTTTCTCTCATACTGACTTGAGGGATGAATCCTTAACCCATCAAAATCGATTTAATCTTGTTACATATGTCATATAATCATGTTATTATTGAGACAAAAAATATTTGATCCTCTAGTTGGTGATCTTGTGTCTTTAATATTAATTCAATTGGGCTCTTACGTCAATTATTCGGTCTGGTGATCACATAGTATTACTGTATCTTATATATATTATATCTTATTAATCGGGATTCTATTCATTCATTATAACAAATAAAAACCTCATTCACTTATCAAAGTTTTATATCACTAACAATTGGAGATGAGATTAATATACAAGTCTCACTTCGGTCGATATCTAGTTCAAATTCTCTTCTGATCCAAATTATAACACTCATTTACAAATAAAATGTGGTCCAAAACTGATTGGATTAAGCCTACACTAGACAACTAAATAATATATTTGAAGGTTTCATTAACTGATGAAAAACTAACTTAAATAGAACTTTAAATTGATGCATATCGTGAACTGAATCGATGTCGGTGTTTTGTTTTATAGCGGGGACAGTATTTACATGTAAATTAATGCTTGTGGACAGGTAACTGCAAAAACACCGGTCAGTATAAGCACTATTGCTCAAAAAGCGCTCAATATAAAACCCCATGTGAATTACTAATTGATTAGAAATACATAATCATCATTATTATTCTTTTTGTTATTATCATTATTATTACTATTATTATTATTATTATTATTATTATTATTACTAATTCCGTTCACAACTATGAGTAGTATTGGTCCAATTTTCAGTGACCTGAAGTTGATAAATATCTACGTAAATGAAAATCTAGATTTTTTAAACTCCGTTGTGTGAAACTGAAATATTTTTTGTGGGATAAAAATATATAATTCAAGTATACTGTTAAGAAAACCCAACCCCGTAAAATAAAATAACACAGAGGATATCCGGCAGTCATTAAGATTTAAAACAAGAATTTAAAAAAAGTTGTTAGTATAAGGAGTCTGGGGAGAACGTTGAATTTTATAGTGAGTGTGAAAACCAGCTTTAGTTAGATAACCAACGAAAACCAGGAAGTATTGGACAGATGTTTAGTTCTGATATGGAATTCCTCGATTTGTGCATCCACATCTATGATTAGTAAAGGTTCATCTATGTCAAGTGTGAGGCAGTTACCCATCAATGTAGTTTGAAGATGGTTGTACAATATCATAAGCCGACTGAAGTTAGATATAACTCAGTGGCCTGAAGCTTAAGTGCTCGCCGCAAGAGACCCGAAGAATTTTTCAGGTTCAATCCCTGGTAGTATAACGGATGTCGACTGCTAAGGAGTATCATATTAGAATGAATCAGCCGTCTATTGCTTCACGGTTTTCAACAGTTATCCAATTAAGGTCAATTCATGATACCAACTATAAAAATCTTCGAAAAATAATTGCCCCATCCTTTATGATTTTAGAAGATTGTATAAATAATTTTAATTTGTAATTCTCTGATTACTCCTGATAACAAGAATCGCATGAATGTGATAATTACTTCAACTAGACTCAATACGAAAGCAAAATATAGGAAAATGTTTATTATCCGACATAGAATCGATGTCCGTTTAACTTGTTTAGTTTAGTAGGCATTTAGTAAAGAAAAAATTCGAAACTTTGAAAGAGAGAGAGACGATATACAATCCTAACTTAGTAAGTGTTTAGCATGGTTTAATGTCTGTAGAAACATTTCAGAAAAATGATTATACCGGTTACATGCTATTAAGAGTCATACGAAGTACCAACTTGATGATCCTCCAAAAATCTCAAGACATTTAAATAAGCAAAAGTAATGTAACTCAGTTGACAAATGCAGCTTCATACACTAGATATTTAGCCGCGCTATCTATGTGAGAACCAGTAGTGTTGTAGCCACCATACGGCTTAACCTGAAGTAAACTTAAAAGTATTTGAAAACACTGTCCAATGGCTAAAAATTTAACACTTTAACTATCAAAATGCTGCTCAGCTCTATGATCAAGAAGAACCAACCAGTTTATAATATCATCAGAGCATTTAATAAATGACGTAAACTGAGTAGTTTATTTTGATCGACCAATACAACTTACTTCAATTTCATATTTTCCAGAGTCAAATGTCATTGAATAATAAACATCTTCAACATTATTGATCAATTCTTGCATAACATGTGGATCTCGAGTTGGATTCGGTGAATCGACAGAGCTCTGTAAAAAGAAATTGATTTAAAAATACTAGAATAACAATAAGAGAAATCTGGTCAAAAAAGTGTATGATCGTAGGTTTTGCATTAATGGGAAGTTAGAGAGTAAGATAACTCTTTGTTTGTACTGTTTTCTACTCTTGAAGATTAAATTTGAATCCACTGAACCGGTTATAATCGCACAGACGTATTCCCTTTTTATTGTTTTCTAGTATTCCTTTATAATTTCTTTTTTCATTTTGTCGTTTCGTAGCATACCCTTGACGCTCAGTCTTTCTCATATTACGCACTAGTAATTAGCGGTACGTTTTATAAATTTCCAGTTGAAATCATTGATTGGTAGGACAGTTAAGTCGGAATGAAGGTTTTGACAATACATAACACTGACCAAGGCATTACCTTATATTATGAAAATTAATTAAATTTTAAAATATTAACCATCGGATTTCAACTTAGTATTTTTCAGAGTATCCCAGCATTGGTAACAAAATGTCAATGAATGTACAGGATTTAATCCGATGTGATGTCATGGGTGGACACAACTAAGGCATCCCAAAACGGAGTTGGATATCCCTTTAGTGATTCATCAGTAGGTATCGATTCTCGGTAAAGTTTACTCTTGAAAATAACATTTACTTGGAATCAGGTTGAAAGCCCTGTGACTCTATCCATTTAAATCAATCAGTCACACGTAACGTTAGCATACTACATTAACATAGTGAGATAAAATTATTTTAAAACGAATTCCGAAGTAGAGGTAGTGACAGGATCAGTAGTAGTAAAGATTTATTCTAGGAAAAAAAGATAAAAGACTTCGGGACTCAGGTCCCAGGGAAAGAAAATGAGTGAAAGTACCGGCGCAATTGAGAACAATTTTGAGCCATTTCACTCAAAATCTTTAGCCATTGGACATACATAACACATGTTCCAAACAACTCAGTTGATAAAAAATCACTATCTCATCAATCGTGTTTTAATTTAGTCGTTTTATAACGTTAAGAAATGTTCAAGAGCGACAGGTAGGTTTACACAGAAGAATGGTTGATTTAAAAAGCCATGGAGATGTATGGTATTCTAATAATAAGAGTATGATTCTTTACATTTGTTATGTCCTATAACCTCCGCCAAATATCAAATTATAAAACCACCAACCAGAATACCGACTTCTATGACTTTTTTCTCGTGCTAAACTAATTACATATCAACTAGCACCAACAGTCTTGAGTCAACTCTGAGTCCTTAATGTTCCTCTGCATAGTAATATCCTGCTTAGCCCAGACCGTTGAAGTACAGAACACAAATATCAGCCTCTTCTGTAGAAATTGTATATTTCAGATATATATGGTTTATATGCAAACAGACCATATTGCATCACACCATAAAGTAAAAAACAATGATCATACAAGATCACTTCAAAAGTGCGGAATACTGCAACTGATAAATTGGGAATTAGTTAAGAATGGTTAATCGTATAACAGTAGCTAATAGGTCAAATGAAAGCTTATTATAGAAGCAATATTATATATATAGTTGCTCAATAATTATGCAGTAAGAATATATATAATAATACTCTACAAATAATTCCTAGAAATTACCAACCATTTATTACTCGCTCGAATGCAGAAACTAAACTAATTGAGTGAAAATAATGAATAAGATCACTGAAAAGAATTGTTGTGCCACTGCTATCTTGTTCCTTCTTTGTTAAGTATATCATTACTACATATTCGTGATTTTGTGACCTTGTATGCATGTATCAAGTTACCGGCAACCAGATAGCATGAATAGCATTCGTAAGATAATATTTATCGAACCAAACTACTTATCTACTCTACCATTTCATTAATCACAAGACATCCCAAAGAACTTGACCAAATTCATCACTAATAACCCATTGGGAACTAACTAATCATAGGATTATATAATCCCTCCCATGGTTTCGATCAATTAAGCTTGTAGTTACAAATTAAACAGAAAATTTAAAATATTGAAAATTCTCGTTGTATAAACTAGAACGACATTAATAAGCAGAGAAAATTGCTCTCAACTAGGTCTTCATTGGACTTGACTAAACAGTAATATTTATATCTATATATCGAACCAATCAGGGTAGTTTGTGGGTTATACTGATGTTTATGTAAACATTTCGCTGACTATATTTAGTTATGTAATCTATTTTGCTGTTATTATTAACCAAAAAACTACCCCAAACAATCATTACTTAGCGTACAGCTGCACTCATTTGCAACTCTTTCAACGTTGAACAAGCCAGTTGTACCAAACAGTTACGAATATTTAATCGTACATTTAGTGGGTAAATGCTTCATTACTAGTGTGATTTTCATCAAGAATCTCGAATCAATCCCTAACCCTTACTATGTTGGTGTTTTTATTAAGTAGGCAGCTGTAAACAACTGGCGATTCTTGAAATGAAATCTCCAGTGAAAATTATACATAAATATGCAACACTTAACTAATGAGTTGACGAAAAATGGCCGTAAATGCTGGACACTATACAATTATTGAACATAGAAAAAGTTGTAGATAACCTCATCCTATCCGTAAAAAAATGTGTTTATATTTAGAAAATTCTTAAGAAAAAAAACAGGTGGAATGAGCTAGTCACAAAGAATCTTAAAAACTGGTGAATAACATACGTTACTTGTTTGTTTAGATAAAGTAAGCGGTTGAAATGATGAGACCGACTTCTCAACTTCTTCAATACTATTCGGTATTTTCGAACGCTAAAATGGTTGAAGAGTAAAGGAAACAATCAATATAAACACTAGGAACATCAACAGCAGAAAATTTGGGTTTGAGTTTTTAAAAATATGTTTGCTAATTAAAGTATATTATGTTATTTCCTTGGTTTCGGAAGTATGTGTGGTATAAATTTACCAGCGAATTACGTAATATTTTTACTTTACATTTTTAATTCATGATATTTTGAATGATTTGAATAATCTCAATAGATATTGTTTTTCCCTGCTTTCTTGGAACGAGTGTAGATGAACTATTGTTTTCTACAGAATAGACTAATTGTGGCTAGCAGTGGAATCTATGATAGAGGTTTCTACCCATTTAGGACTCGTCATCTGAATGTACTTGGATCCCAGATTTGATTTTATTAGACCTTATAATTAAGTTGATTCTCGTCATAAATTTTGCTTTACTAGAGGAAACCATCAAAAATTAGAAAGCAATGGACAACTAGTTTTGTTTGAAAGAGTCCCTCCAGTGGATGTCAATTCGGGATGTAGGTCAATCAATCAATCTTCATAAGTCCTAAACCAAATTTTGCATACATCAAATGAAACTTGTCAACTTTATCTAATGATATATAATATTCAAAAGAATTCAAATTTCTCGGTTGAAGATCAACAATACTCTGCAGAATTAAAATTTCATCAACTGGCCTATTCACTTTAAATTTGTAGATTAGATTCTCATGAATATTTGCATGACAGGATGTACGTACGTATGAAGTTCTGCGTTTTTACTAACTGACTGACTTAATAATAAGTCATTTCAACTTGTCACAGTTCTTATTACTGTAGATAGAACAGACAAACTGCTACTTTAAAACAACAAATACATCCCATTGGACATGGGCTACCAATGAAATCTAATTATTCAGCTTATATCTTACAATTTTAATTATTTCATAAAATCAAGGAGATACTTAGTATCATGTCGCAATCGTAAATGGTGAAGGCCTTACGTCTTTCACAAGAATGAGTATTGCATTATACTATCAATCTATGAGTGTATTAAATGGTTGATGAATGAGGTTTGTTTTACTTAAGACAATGCCTTCAAACCCCCTGGAACGGCCGAGGGTGAGAAAGTCAGCTGTCCCTCTCGAAATGCTTTCACATGGCCACGCGTATACAACCGCTGCCAGGAAAGTCCCACTCACTGTCTTCTCGCAGAGGTGTTGTTTACAAAACTGAGAGAATGACCAGCGGTTTAACCGGGTTGATGGACACAGAGGGTTTACCTAGGAGACTTGCAAAACCCTGATTCCAAGTCAATGGTGCACATCGGCTCCAGGATCCTAAGGAAACAAATAGCATATGAACCAATTATTGGTCACCGACTACCATGGAACTGCATCTCTTCACGATGCTCCACTGCCTTGTAGATTGAACCTTTAGGTCAAAGGCTCCTGGTATGCCCCCCTAAGAAAATCATCTGCTTCGATCTGGGCACCCGGGCAGTATCATAATCTACACACAAATCAAGTGAATTGTGTGGCGCATATGTATTTGGTGCCGCTTTGCACCAATATTTATGTTCAAATAAATAAATAATGCCTAGGATAATTGATGCTATCTTGCTCTTTGGATATTGGTAAGTTTAACAAATCCATAACTAAACGGTTAAAAACAAAATTTGGATTAGACCAAAAAATTTGAAAACATGACACTACTACAACACGCTAAGCTTCATAATAGATGGGGATACAAAGTGGATTTAGTTAACTACAGCAAATAAATGGGTCAATAGTAATAACGTTATTTCGAGTTAATCAACGAAAACATTAATATTGAAACTAGTACCAAACTGAAATGTCTTGAAGTTATCAATCGCCGACTGCTACCATTTTTTTGGACGATTTAAGCAAATAATGACTTACCATAACCTATTGTACTTTTCAATTATATATGCAGTTAACTCGACAATTATTCAGAGCTAAACGTTGTAAAAACGACAGATGCAACTAGTAAACATCACCTACCAACGCTATTGCTCAGTTTTCCACTTTACTATATCAATTAACTGAATATATCGACCAAGACAGTTTCACACTGATTCAGCAATTGAAATCTCATTTCCAAAAAGTTGTCTATGTATTTGGAAGGGTAGGGAATACATTAATGAATAACGGAATTAAATATTATTTATTTACTTATTTATTTTAACACATACGTATTGGTACAAGGAGGCACCAAATACATATGCGCCACACGAATCTCAATTGATTTGTGTGACGGCTGTGATACTGCCCGGGTGCCCAAACCGAAACAGGTGGTTTTCTTAAGGGGCCACACCCCGAGCCTTCGACCTGCAGATCTGATCCACAAGGCAGTGGAGCATCGTAAAGAAATGCAGTCCCATGGTAGCCGGTGACCAACGATTGGTTCATACGCCATTTGTTTCCTCAGGATACTAGAGCCCATGTGCACCATTGGTTTGAGATCCGGTTAAAGCGCCGGATATTCGCTTTTCGTCCTCTCGTTTCCGTAAACAACAGTAATGCCACGAGAAGGAAGTGAGTAGGACTTCCCTGGCAGAGGCTATATACGCGTGGCCATGTGAGAGTATTTCGAGAAGGAGAGCGGACTCTCCCCACTCTCGGCCGTACCAGGGCATTTGGGGGCTTTAGTTCCGAATTACGGAATTAAATAAGTCCAATATCATAAAGAATTTAAAATACGTATATTTTGTACAATCGTTGATCGAGGCAAACGATCAAAGAAACGCAGTGAGGAGAAGAGAGCGAAGCAAAATTACGCGAGATAGAGAAGACGTGTGAGCCAACTCAATTTAACCAAGCGTTAATCAATATTTGTAGTAAGATAGAAATCAGTTATGGACATGTGATGAATGAAATAGGAATTGAACACACATGCGCTTACATGAAAAGTCAAGCCTGATAAGCGAATAATTAACAAGGTCAAAACGTGACTTGAGAAAAATGGATAAGCCGGTTTGCCAAGAAGCTAGAATAAGCTACATGGCTCGACATAGGCACAGCCACTACGATTGACTAGCGACATGTACATATGATGTAATTATGAATTCATTAGTCATGATATTCTTGTCCCGCAAATAATCGAACCTTCAGTCTCAAATGACTTTAACTGGAAGCACCGCAAAGTTATTACCATCGATTTACTTGCTTAAATAAGGCACTACAAATTTATTCTTATTAGAATAAACCCTTAATGATCACGTTATTTAACGTGATTTTTGTAAGAACGCTCGATTTAAAATTGGAGTGAAAAAACTGAGACACCCAAAAGATATTGTAGTCGATGAATAAATAACCGGAAAACCAAACTTCAAGTTCATGTGCAATTTGATACGTTCAGTAAGCCTAAATGCCTAAGCGGAAACAGATAACATATTTAAGTCTACAGCGATGCGCTGAGAAGCAAATATATTTTTCAAAACCGTGTTTATTTGATCCAAATGAAATTCACTCTAGGGTTATAGCAGTAGTGTGTAACAAGGCATATGAAACACGTAAGATTAGCTCAAAAAAATATTGAGCGAAGTAATTGATCCGCCCGTTTTCAGCTTTTCTCTCACATAGAACTGCTAACGTTATTACGTCGGTATAGATTTTTTACATCCATAATCATATGTTTTGTTTTTAGACAATCACTGAGCACATTTTAGGCTGTACTAAAATTCAATACATTGTCACAACCTTAGCTCGTAACATCAAATAAACAACCGCAAAAAAAGCAAGACAAATCCTTGAAGCATTTTTAGCAGATACAAAAGTTATGTTAAACTTACTTGAGAGACAAGACGCAATATCTTATCCATTTTATTTAGAGACACGAAAATGACCGCTGCTTTTTAGACACATACCACAAGGTCATTGGCCACTCGATGAAGTAGAAAAACAATCCACCAGATTTCTAAGATCATATCACATCAGACGTGACTAGTTTCCAATATACAAACTACAATAGTGAGCTTATTTTCGAGTTATCAGAGTATAAACAAATTAAATAGCAATAGAAAACCTTAAACTGTCAACCTACACACGTATATCTAGTTTTCAATATACACAGTATCCTTGTGACGGCCTTATAAAAACCGACTGAACGTTTTGAGATCGTTTTTTGTCATTTTATCACGGTTCCGAGTCCTGATACATGTTTGGTCTAGCTACTCGACTGTACTAGCTCTAGTTATAGTCGTCGTTATTCTAAGGTTTGTACATCTTAAAGTCTAAGTGAGCACGTTTGTCCCAAGTCAAAAAAACTTTCTATAATCAGCAGCTGTCAAATTATTAAGCGATAAGTTAGCTGTTCGTCATTATGAATGCATCTGTCAACTGTATTCCACACAGGAATTCGCAGTGTAGTCCATCGTATGAATTTCGGATGATGATGATATTCTCGGGCACACCATAGTGTTGAACACGGTTCCATATGGTTCTCCCGTTCAAACTATCAGATGCTTTCTCATAGTCAAAGAAGTTAATGTATAGCAACGAACTCCGTTCAATTGATTGTTCATCGATGATCCGTAGTGTTTCGATTTGGTCGGTATATGATCAATTATCGCAAAACACAGACTGATCTTCGAAGTTGTGTGTCTACTGAAACTTCCATCCAGTTCAGCAACGCTGTTGACAGCAAATCCTGGTACTGACAGTAGTGTGGTTCTTCTGTACTTCTCACATTCTCTAAGATCTTTCTTTGGTGTCTTGATGACGTGTCCCTTTTTTCAATCTGCAGGCACTTGCAACAGAAGATAAACTTTTTTATTTTCAAAAATATAGCAAAGGATCAGGAGAGAAATTTATCACTACTTTCCTGGTAGGAATATATATATGTATGATTATTTTTTGTGTTGAGAAGGGAGAGTTTACCATGCTAAGTAATGATAATTACAAAAGCGAAAAAATAGGGAAATTGTCACGTGTGTATTTTTGTCAGTGTAAGCAGAAAATCTGGAGTACACAAATACTTATTTGGGAGATGATATTTACTATTACAGGCCAAAAAGATGAGAAACATCATAAAATTCATTTCCAACTGGTTAATGTACATATGGAGAAGACCAAATTGGCTAAGTTTAACTGCGTAGTATGTGATCCCGTTTGTTCTATCCCAGGTTCCTCATAGGGATACAAGAAGTAATACCATAGGGGATGATGATACTTCATTTCAACCCCACCATCTAAAGACTCCTTCTAGATGAATCAATATCACATTACATTTCCAAATATCGGGACAAGTGAAAACTGTTGTACCAAAGAAGTGCAAGAGGAAACATATTAAATTTTTCCAATACACAACCATACAAATAACCTATAGTTAGGATATTTTACTGGGCACTAATATTCGATATATAACATATTCTTATGCTTTAACTTTCTACTAATAGCAACTGACATCAAAGCTCATATTTGTTTCTATGAAACACTTCCTTTTTGTTTGTTATCAGAGGCGTTTCGAATGCCTTATTTGCGCTTCCTTGATTCGCACTTACTATTACTCTTTTTTGACCAACTGATTGCAACAAAAGTTATCTAAATTTTTCGTTTGAAAACAAAATTCTGCAATGATGCCTAATATATTATAGTAAACTGAATCGTCATCATTTATCTGACTAAATCACACAACAACTTAAAGATGGTGAGTGTCATTGTGGCAAATCTTTCCCTAAAAAGCTATTTATAACCTTTATTTAATTAATTGCAGTATCTTCTTCAAGGTTATCTTTTATAGTCTCGATGAGTATCACCAACATTGAAGAGTATGTATATACATTGTACCATATATATGGTACTATAACTATTCAGTATGATCATGGTGAGACAACATGATATCTATAGAGCTTTACGTGTAAAGTATCATTAAATAGGCAAAAGATACAATATGGTAAAGCCGATTTCTGCTGATGATTATGCTTTTAAGCCTCAAACAGAACACTGAGCATAGTCAGTTAGTATCAACGTATAGTTTAGTACGGATATGCTTCGTACTATCTTACGGAGAGTGGAACAAACACTCCCATATAATGTCACTGAAAAAGTCTTACTTAATGTCGATACATTGTTTGGTACATTTTCAGCAATTATCTTGAATGCTTTGTGTAACAAGCACATCAGTTAAATTATTTGGCGAGAGCTCTTATTTGGTAAGGTTTTTAGTATTCAATTACACATCTGATGTCGTTTATTCCTTTGTTTGGTTGAAATGGCCATATATTTAGTTATTTAAAAAGTGCTACGAATCGAAGATAGGTACTATGTAAACAAGACAACGATAATAAGTCTAAATTCAAAACCAGCTGTACGGCTTCACAATATGAACTAACAATAAATTGAATCAAATAATAAAACGTTCAAAACGCACTTTATTCTAATAATTATGTGCTATGTACATCATTGTTGGGCACTAAAATGAAACAACTATTGATCAAGTAATTGATACCGAACATCAACAAAATGCAAAAATGAGTCTTGTCTGTCGCATCTGAATTGAAAAGTTTAGATGTATATCGGGTGAGGGTGCCTTACTTTTACCATATTCTTTTTACCCCCCCTAAAGTCTTACCTAGAGACTCAAGTGTACTTTTATTAGTATCCAAATGAAACGCTGTGAAAAATCAAGCCCCAACATAGTTTATTTTTGCAAATCTTCATCAAAGGACACAAAGCTGCAAAACTGGTGTCAAAATGTTTGATGAATTTACACGCCAGTACAATTTCATTTTGATACACCTTAGAATGTGGCAAACGTTATACGTTTTTGTACTTTAAATGTGCACCAAACCATCGAGTGTTCAATCTCAAACTCTCGGTATCCATTTCATCTAGCATCTTTTATGAGTATTTTGTGTGACGTCCGCATATCTAATCTCTGATGCAAAAGCTTACAAAGAATCAGTGTTCCAAACTTCCTTGTAAAAATTAGAATTCTCATTGGGCAGTAAATTTTAAAACGTCAATCGACCTGTATCGCTCAATTTCTACTAGCCGATCTTCTTACTAAGCTGTTTACTAAAATTTTACAAAAACAACACAACCAAAACACGGAAATTACAGCGGAATCATTGTGGCTTATTTTATTCATGAAAATAACCACGACAGAAATATCATTCTTAACAGTTGGGGTTTTTGTGTCCACTAGTGAAAATTATTTTGCTCTTATGAAATCTAGTAGCATAAGGATGTAAGTACCTTTAGTACTTATCAAATCTTGGTGTAATATACAAATAATTAAGGCCTACGAGCTACCTTTTACATCATTCAGAATTAAATCGCTCAATAACTTTGCATTAATTGTAGATTTTGTCGTATCTTCTTTTCTGTTTCAGATTTTCTGAGTACAACCATCACAATTTTAACATAATGAATCTCTCTCTTGTCCTTTTTGCCTGTCTAATTTTATTCATTGAACGTCAGTACCTAGTCACTGCACAAAGCAATGGTGACGATAGTTCAAGTCCATTTCGTTGGTTTAAACCAGACAATTTTGATATCATTTCACGTAAAATGGATCAAGCCAATCCAAATAATTGTGAAACAATGTCTGAAGCTGATTTACGCTTACCACCAACGTCACTTAGCCAGATACCACAATATAATGAAATCCCAATGAGACAGTGGTTTACAAATCGCTCAAAACTGCTACATCTACACAATTTAGCATTAAATCGTGCATTTTTCTATAGTTATATTTTGCAGAGACTAGATCACCCAACCAGAGATCCCCAGTATTTACCATCACTAATGTATTATTATCTGTCCTCATCAGCTGATATATCTTCAGGTCCCAATGTCATAAATATAAGTGGTGTATTTATGGATACGAACACAACGTACGCAAATTGGTATGAACTCAAAGATATTAACAAGACGTTACCATTATTTGCACCATTAGCCAGACGGTTAGATAACTGGAATGATGAAATGAATTTTTTGAGAATACCAACTAATGCTACAATTGAAGTAAGTGAATTGTTAATATAATAGCTCTGTTTTATTGCTGATATTCTTAAAAGTCGTTGAAATTCCATCAATAGTTATGGCACTACCATCACATTTAGTTTTATAATCAAGATAGCAAAAAGCTTTATAGAGGCTGAATCTGACAATATTGCGTAAAGATTTTTTATCATACCTCCATTAATGCTACATCTGGCTACTAACTCAGCTTTCCTGTATCAAATAAAAACGTAAACAAATCCCCACCTCATGTAACGTCCTGCTGTTCTTGCCTATTCAAGTAGCCGTATCAAAGCACTTACATTCAAAAGACAGAAAACAGGATCTTTTTTCGCACCTCAAAGCGCAGTGCATGAAAATTTACGTTAGAAAGCTGAGTGTTTTCGGTTGTGTTATTGCTCGTCGTTTGCTCGATAGTCAATACACTGTTGATATTTTGAAACCATTCAAAATGATTAATATCATAACTTTAGATATATTACTTAACACCGACAATATCATGATTAAAATGTTGAATCCCAACCTATCCACCCAAAGGGATGCTGTTCTAAACCTCCCATTAACCTGGTAACTTCTATTTCCCACCATTTCATTCCATAATATATTATTTATTACTCTCAATACTAAATTTCTTTAATGACTAGGTCTTTGTAAAGCATTACTAGTCTTACCCTGCTAATATTTCCAACATCGTGGTTGTGTTTACGTGTCTTTGTCATCCTTTTTCATCCTCTAGAATTGTGTCTTAATATGCTGTGAAATGTTTTCTTATGGAACCTCTCCACTTAGTAACATACAAGTATTCGTACATTTTACCGTTTCATAATTATTCCATGACTGTTATCGTTTATTTATTACTCTTCAAAAATATGATAAGAAGTATGTATATTCGTTATAAACAATTTTACTATTGTTTTTACATTGTAAGAAACAGCTGACGAGAGTCCAGAAAATAATCGGATTCATTGTGTTTTAGTAAGCTTGTTGTTTTTACTTTAGTCAAAATAATTTATGGGAAAAATTATTTCTTAATATCTAACCCTTTGATAATGTAACAACTGAGTCTTGTAGTCTAACGATGTCAATCAGTCAGTCACATTGATGACAAAGTCAATATCTTTTGTCGACCTAAATTTATTTAACACATTTATTAGAGTGAACTTCTTTCGACCATGGGTGAGTGATCACATATGAAGGTGGTTAGATTCCTATGAAGTTAAGTTTTAATACTGAGACTTTTAGGTGTCTAAATAACGAACTAATCTCATCTCACTTATTTTGGACTGAGTAAGTTAATGGTAAAACAAAACTGATTGTTTATCATTTGCGGTATATAAGTGGGAAAGAATCATTGATTGATGAATGCAAACTCTGTGATGTAGATCAGTTGGTACTTATGGTATCTCACAATAAAATTAAAATCTAGTTTAATCTACACTAAGTAATTATACGATAAATCATATTGTGGTTTAAACTGATTTATTTACCAACGATAATAAACAATGTGAAAATCTAAAATGTAATCCAAATCTTATGAACTGACAATATCCAATTATTGTTCAACAGCCAAAGTCTCTAAAAATGATTTTATCACAATGAACTAGGAATGAGCAATAGTCTACAGTCTATCGTTTTCGGTTTTATCAATAATTGATGTGATTGCTTGTACCAAAATAGAAAGTAAATATAATTTATACATACTTCGATCACCTTTCATTTGTCTTTAAGATTTTGAATCACTTTTTTAACTTAGCCCACGCCTTATTGTTTAACATATTCTAAACATCAGATAACTGATCTTGGAGCTGGCCCAAATAATAATTATACAGCATCATGGTATAAAAATAACCCATATATACGTGATCGTGAAATGGGTATAGACTTTATTCCTGATAGACGTGGTACAGCACCTAGTAAAAACCAATACACTACAAAAATCCAGCTTGCAACTATAAGCGGTGATCCAATAGAAAAGTTGGAGAATACCAAATTCTATGGTCCAAATGCACCAGGTGTTAAAGAAACTTTTTTACCTGTTCGATTTACTCGTCCTTATTATGATTGTGGGGGGACAAATCGATGGATTGTAAGTTCCGTTGCAGCACTGACAGATTTTATGCCACGTTATTCAAATATTACCAGACTGCGAGGACCAAGGTAAGTAAATTAAGACTCTAAACCCTTTCTAGTAGTATTTGTATAGCCTAAAATATATATCTTTACTCTTAAAGTAGTGAGTAGAATGTTTTTTATTCTGAAATACCGAATTTAATTAAGCAAAGGGCTCTAATTGAACAGTGTTCACTTCAGACAGCAACAATTTTATAGAGTAAACAAGATTATATTGTTTACTATCTAGTGATGTATGATAGTTTCTCCATTTTTAATACTGGATAATATCGTTTCCCTCGAAATATCAGGCTTATCTTGTAAATAAATACCATCTAGCATGAAATCAGGATTAACAGCTTCGTCTTATTTGTTTCTGTCCACTTATGATGAAGGAAAATACTGCATAGTGTTTTACCACTTAGTCGAGTAGATGCATTTCAATTTGCATGAAGTGTATCAGAGTCTTTGGAACTAAACAAAATGACGAGTACGTGTGTATGATTTAGGTCAACAAAAAGTATCATTTAAGCGTTATTGAAATTGGCATCAAAACCGAGAAGATAAAATGGTATCTTTAATGCCCTAAATCAATGCATTTCTAATATATTAACATCAATGAGTATGACAGCACTTCAGTATTTAACTATAAGTTTTATCGATGAAAATATAAACTTTTTTCAATGCAAAATTATACCTGACTTGTAAGTTGAAAAAGACGAATTTCCTTTGTAGGTTATAAATTTGAGTGGTTATTTTCAGACTCACTTGATCATCTTCACTAGACACAAGAGTTACTAAACTGATTTACAGTCAGTATTAAGCATACATTTTACGTTGTAAGTTGGAGTTGGTCCATAATGATAAAACGTATTATTATTATTATTTTTAGTTAGTGTAGATGCAAATTTAATTTTTTGTTTTAGATTATCCTGGCAAGTTATTGTAACGTAAAACATGATATGAATTTATCACTATTCAGATGCTTGTCAGTGAGCTCTTTTCAAAATTCACAGATCAGGGTAAAATAACATTCTCATAATTGGGGTTGTGGCGATTATTAAGTTTTTGATTGAGATCATGAATCGACTGATGTTAGACCACCGTTGGAAACCTGGAAGCAGTGGAAGGCCGTTTCGTCCTAGTGTGGGACTCCACCATTGGATGCCGGCCCAGTGGCCGAGTAGGTTAAGCGTTCGCGCGCGAGACTGAAGGCCCTGGGTTAGAATCCCGCGAGCGGGATCGTGGATGTGCACTGCTGAGGAGTCCCATACTAGGACGAAACGGCCGTCCAGTGCTTCCAGGTTTCCAACGGTGTTCTAACACCAGTCGATTCATGATCTCAATCTAAAATAACATTTTTGTATTGCATGACCCTCATCGGTTCTTCAGTTGATGTTCAAATTTTGACAAAACAATCTATAAAATTTACAAAATTTTCACAAACCATCAAATTAAGCATAACTTTACTAAACTCGGTCGCGTGCTATTTTATCATTTATTTTTCAATTAAAACTAAGTTGTGAAAGCATCTTTTACTGAGAATTCCAAATTTATCTCAATAATTAATTGACAGTGATATCATTTCTTAATCGCTTCTAAAAAAAATCCCATGAAATCACAGTCATACTGTTGTGAAAGTGAACACAGGTGGGGACAAGTAATTATATTTTAATACAAAATCACATAATACTTTAATCAAATGTTAAAACCATACGTTCAGTACGTCATTTGCAAATCCTCTATCAATTTTCTCAAACTTCATTGTTCATTTATCGTCATAAATATTACTATCTGGTTTCGTTTTCTTCGATTCAACCACCTCAACCTTCTGCTGTCAGGTTTCCCACTTCCAATTAGTGTTACATACTACTTATATCTGTCGACATGAATATCACACTCCACAATACTTGTTTACCAACTGTTTTATACAGTTATTTATAAAGTGATAAAAAACCATTTTCCAAGATTGAATGGCTATATTTGAATACATTGCAAACTAGTGTGTTACTCTGTTATAAAGTTTTCTAATGGCTATTAGTGAATTGTTTCAATTAATAGATCAAACATACTTAAAGGAGAAAACTGTGTTCAAATTTGAAATTTAAACTACTAAAAAAGTGATATGTCGTTCCAGTCAAGCTTATAATTAATTGTTAAGACTATAACAGATGATACAACTAGGGCGTAGTGAAAAGTCATGATGAAACCAGAAACAAAAAATTTACTAAGATTATATGTTTACAATTGTCACTAGTTATTTTTGCCTTTTTAAATGATTTCATAATATCTAACCTCTTTTTGTCATCCGTAGAATGATTGGTGTTGTCGTACAAAGTATGGACTTTTATCGAATTGATTTTAATCCTTGCCCTCCAGGATTGGGAAATCCAAATCATTATTTAGCTGGAATCGCTCGATGCAAACCAACAACTTTGGTATGTTTAGTTCTATATAGTGTAATGTATTATTTTTTTGAAAGAATATCAGCTACTGATAAGTAGTGTAATATTTTTAGGTAAAAGTTTCATGACGAATGTAGGCAGAATATGTATTCTGAAACTATAACACATTTAAAAAGTTTATTCACTCACATATAATTTCAAAGCTAGGATAATTAAACGTATCCTGTCCGAAAATGATATCTTAAGGGAGACCGAGGTAAATACTTATAAATATACCAGTTAATTCTATTGACTTACGTCGAAAACAGGGATTAGTCAAGACTGATCGAAACTCGGTATTAAACCATAGTGAATAGAATAATTTCGTCGGAAAAACATGCTTCTATATAAATTACCTTAGGTAGCTTATAAATATTAGTCGTCACGCTAAATGTAGTATCATTCGATGGACAGTTACACTAGCTAAACGTTTTCTTCAGGATTCTGGAAGTATTTAACCCAACAAAAGAAATAACTTTTAAGACTATAATAATCAAAATATTAGACAGTAAATTTTTTTCGTCTAGGTTTTAATACATCAGAAGTTTAACTGAGTAGGTTTGGTAGTGCTAAGAATAATTCTTTTTACATGTTAATGACTTCTTTTGAGAATTGAATAAGTTTTAAACAAATAAATTCGGATAGAAATGCTAAATGTGATTAATTTCTCTAATGAATTACAAGCAGTTGTTGAGATGTTCAAGATAATATTATTCCGTGCTCATAAATTCCTTTGAAGTCGTATAAAGACTCCAAAAATCTACTAATTTTATAACTTTGAAAACCGAAGTCCATGAAGAAATAATCTATTATTTTGAATGCCACTCAATCAATTTGTCATACACCGTTAGCATGACTAGATGAAATTAATGAGATGAAGAGTGAAGAATTTGAAATAAGTAAAAGCGGTGATAATGAAAAAGACTAAATTTTAAAAAATATTGTTTAAGATGAAGGAATAATAACATTGACAATCTAGGGAATGATGAAGAGTCTATGCCTCAAAACGATTGTGTTCAACTCTGAGTCATGCTACCCAAAGCCTTCAATCGTTGATAGTGATTACCGCGTAAGCCTTAACCAGGTAGTATATATCTACCCACATGGATCAGATCAATAATCTATAACTTCATGCACTGGTTTTGCCTTAAATATCCCTTGTTTCTTTCCAATCTATTCTTAAATTGAATGTTGGGTTAGATGATAATTAGGCATACGTAACATATATTTAAGACTGATTTCTTCATAATTTATGTAAAACCACTAATTTCTGATCCATAAATCAACTTACGATATTACCGATCGACTTTAAATAATTTTATTTTCTTTTATGTCTAGTAAATACTACTAATTGAAATCATTTTAAGAATTTACCTTAATAGGGAAGAAAAATGAAGACGAAATTAAATCAAAACTTATAGAATTTTAGATAAACTATTTTTTTTCATTTTACTGAGTGTTTATGGGAAAGTTATGAATACATTAATTAATTAGATTATAAATGCGATAAGTTTCATTAGTTTATTTATGGATGAGAATATTGTGAAAATAAGTGAAGTAGTAGTAGTAGTAGCAGTAGTAGTAGTATTTGTAGTAGTTGTTGTAGTAGTTGCAGTATTAGTAGTAGTAGTAGTTGTTGTTGTTGTACACTGTATGTTGATTCAATAAATTTTTTCTGTAAAATAGGATATCACTGATTAAGTGAATAAATGAATAATTTCATCAAATTAAATATGATTTGAAATATGAAGATTTAGCGAGATTATAATTTATGAACAAATTAATCAGATTTAGGATAAAAGGTCTTGGTTTGTGGCGCAAAATTCATTCATCCATTTAGTTAAATAGAGTTTTGTATATTATCGCTGATCTCAGTTCGTGATGAAAACTCTAAATCTAGTTCTTAAACTTAACCATCAATTGTAAATTATAATTATAATTCTTCCCACTGCTTTATAACCTTCATTTAGTTAGTCGTAGTTAGTAGGTGGACATTTTCAAAGTTACTTTAGTGTCGCTGAAAGGTTGTACATCAATTATAGTTTCGCCGAAAATCTCTTTTGTCTTGTTTTTTTTGTTGGTACGGATCAGAATTGTTGAATGTGTATTATTCACTACAATAAAGACTAAATACTTCATGTTCTATAATGAAGTAAACAAGTTTAAAATCTTGATGACCTTCTAGGAATAAAATTAACTTGAAAATTTTATTATAGAGAACATGTGGTATCTTAGTAATGTTTTTTTTTCTAATAAAAAAGAAACAATGGAATTACTCGCTCTAGTTCAATTGAATACTGAATATCTTAAGTGATAACTTATTCTTTAAAAGAGTATTTAGTGGGGCCCTTTATGTCATCGTCATTTAGAACGGACGATGTTGTCGAAGGGTTCTCCACTTTAGTGGGACCGAGATTCTGACTTCAAGTAGAGCGTATAAATGATTGTTATTGAATGACTGCTGTCGGAATGCATGTATCGCCTATCCTCGTATATAACCATCGACTTTAATCGCGTTGGTCAATAACGGAAGTAAATAAGTCAAATAACGAGAATGGACTTTAACTACATATATTTTGTATATGAAGCGAATGGAATAGATAGAAGCGAAAGACACGCAGTGAAGATGGCAGGTAAGCCAACTCCATTTAGTCAAACGTTAATCAATCATTATAATCACACAAAAATAGGCTACATATATGTGATGAATGGGATAAGAAGTGTACACACACATATGCGCTCATATAAAAATAGTCAACATTGATAAGCGAATAATTATAACAAGGTCAAAATATGACTCAAGTAGAATGAATAGATTGAGCTGTCCGAAAGCTAGAATAAGGGTATATGGGCTTAATATAATGATCAACACTACAAGTATGATAATGATTGACGTTTTGATTGGTTTTTATGGATAACCTCACTGATGAAAACAAAATTTACATTTTTCTTTTAATTACCTCTTATCATTAAAAATGGTAAATTTGTCATTTGAATTCTATAAATTACAAGTTCTAGAGAAGAATATTCATTTTTTTAATCAGTCAATAATCTATATACTTCATAGTTATGTTCATTGATATATTTATTATTCTCTGTTCTAATTTTATTTTGTATTAGTGTGTACCTCTTCCAGGTTTTGGTTTTAAACGTGGTGGTTATCAATGTGTTTGTCAACCAGGACATCGTTTACCATATGAACAAAATGGACCATTTCGTGGTGTTGATATTGAAGCAGCAACTGAAGAAGAATATCGTAATAATTTTGATTGTATTCCAGTTGGTTGGCGTGAAGTTATACCTGAAGAAACTGGTATGAAAAATAATTTAGAAAGATTTCGTCGTTCAATAGGTGAACAAACAAGTATGCAAATTAATGAACTAAATCAATGTATCTGTTTGTATTGACACTATTATCAAAATAAAATTTATTTTGTTGACGAATTTGATTGAGTGTAGACGTGAAATTACTACTTTCCTCAGGTTTAACAACACTTATTGCTTTCACCTAATATGGTGTATGTTACTTATGTCGACAGATATAAGTAGCATGTAACACCATTCAGAAGTGGAGTGCCTAGAAGCAGAAGGTTGAGAAGATTGAATTGAAACAAATGAGAATGTAAACAGAGTGTACTTATAAAGGCAATGAAAGAACAATGAAGTTTGAGACAATTGACGGAAGATTTGCAAATGAAGAATTTAATGTATGGTTTTCACATTTTAACAAAGTGCTCTGTAATTTTGCACTAAACAGTAATTTGGTTATCCCTAACTGAGTTCTCGTTCATTACACTAATGTTTCTTGATTTTCAATGGCTATCTAACCAAAGTTACTACATGATGTCGAACTTCAAATTCAACAATCTCCATAATTATCATATTATTGTTAGTTCTTAACTTCATGAGGTGATTCTCTGAGTTCTACTAAGCAGACATAACCGGAAGAGTTCAATTATGTCGAGAATGAAATAAAAATCATCATGAACGATGGTCTCATGATATTGCGAATTAACAAATGTTAGGAATGTAAACTATTGGATGAAAACTCTGTAGTCTGACGGTCAAGCACTCATTATGAAGCCTGAATGTTTTGAGTTCGATTCCTGTTAGGTCTTAGAGGAGTCCCGTACTATTTATTTTATTTAATGTTTTCTAGTTTTTATTTACTGTCTAACTAAGTTTAATCCATAATTCAACAATTTACACAGACCCTCACACTAAAAATGATTATCTAACTGAATTCAGTGATGAAAATTATCTTTAACTTAAAATAACTTTACCAAAACTGAAGCTCTCTATCCTGTTATAATTAAAAATCTTTGATATTTTTAATTAATTTCAACTAAATCAACTGTTAAGAAGGTAATGCTCATTCTTTCATTATTTTGTTTCATAGGTACATTATGGAATAGATTAAAAGATCCATCGGCTCATTTATTGAACATGATATTAACGAGTAAGCTGAGATTATTTTCAATTGAGTGATTTCACATATTTAGTGCCCTAATAATTTAATTTTTTATATGGATAACCACTACTTAAATCAACGTTTTTAATTACAGAAGAAAAAAACATTTTCAAACTCAATCTTTTGAATGTAGTAAATGTTTATTACTCATTATACATTATCAAAAGTTTTCATGATGGTACATAATATATGAGCTTGTTTTCAGCATACAGAAACGTTTATCAATCATGCAGCAATGTTCATCTGTTTAAATCAAATTTAAACCTACTCAACCTACATTTTACAGTGTCTTAGTAATTATGTTACGATCAAATTATCAAGTAAGGATTTTTAGCCTGTTCTTCCATATCGTAGATAGACTCAACATTAGTCAACTGAACTACTAATTTTTTGAAATATTTTAACATGACCTCTTTTCTACCTTATCAACCTGACGAATTAACCAGACTGAAAACAGATCAATTTAGTAAACCATGTCTTATATCCATGTTCTAACTCCTCTTTAACTGATATGTTAGAATCACGAATGATATACTTTAAAAATTAGTCCATTAATGGTATTTTTTCTACCTAACAAAGAAAGCTTTATGATGAATGATTCAACTAACAGAGTGTAGCACAATTGAAATAAACGTTCCTCTCTATATAGTTCTACCAAACATCAACAGTTTATTAATTTTAGTATGTGTTGAGAAAGAAATTAATAGCTATATATTAAATTTTTTATTTTCTAAAATCTGACTAGCATTTGGATCATTCAAGCAGAATATCTTTCCAACACCACCAAAATTAGAAGAATCATTATTAATCAATGAAATATCAGATAAACCATTGAAAACAACTAATTTAGATGACCAACCGTTAGATCGTCTTGTTCCTGGATATCGATCAGTCTCACATTTGCTACCATTGGAACAAAACGATTTTAATTTAACGTATACAGAAGATGTTTATGAAGATGGATTTTTCAATAATGATACTTATATACTTATCAATAAACCAACTAATATAGATGGTAAGGATCAGTCAAATAACATCAAGAAACGTGTACGACGAAATGTTGATACACCATTTTATACAGTTGGAGTTGGTACGGTATTTGATGCAGACAGGTATTTTGAAGTAAGCTGTGTTTATTTTTTTACATATGTTTATGTTCAGAGGAAAAGAGCATCAATTGTATATTGTAAACAGTTTACATAATAATAAATTTATACTTTATTTGTGACTTCAGAGTATTTCGCAGAAGTAGTTTACACTAAGCCGTGAAACGTCAGAGATTAAAATCCCAACTCATTAGGATCACATAAATATATTATTAATTTATTATTAATTCCCTATTCAATGCCAGAAATGGATTCGATTTTATAGTCAACAAAATATTGACAAACATTTTCCCTAATTATTCAAGTGTAATTGACATTCAAACAATATAAATAAATGAGACTATGATGTTAAAAACTACTGGGGACATCTGCAATTTATTGATCATAGTGTAGACAACTTTGATAAATTATCAGTATAATCAGAAAGCACTGAACTGCTGTTTCGTCCTACTATAAAACTCTACATATGTGAACATTTACTACTCCAAAGGAGTGCGAGCATTGGATATTCACATCTTGAAGCGAGCGCTTAACCTTCAGATGATGGAGTTAATATCTAGTGGTTAACATATATCAATTTAATTTCAGTAATTTGCTTTATTCCATAAAGTTTTATTGTTTTTACTTTACAAAAACTAATATATATAATTTTAATTCGTTTTATAAAGGTTCAACGTTTAATTGCACATGTACGCAAAGTGACTAGTCAAAATTGTCATCTAATGACAGCGGATCAATTGATTTTACCAGGAGAAGTTAGTTATGGTGTTGAGAAACAATTTGAAATGGTTGGACGAACAGCTCTACGTTTATCACATTTTCTAAGTGCTTATTATCAAAATAATGTTGTTGGTGAACTTTACGGAAGTTTAAAAGTAGGTTGTATGTTGTAAAAGATGTAAAGTAAGTGTTTCAATTGGATTTATTTCTACTCCTTAGAAAATAAAATCGTTTCATGTCCAATCATATTCACTTATCATTAGAAGATATTTGATTGGCCTGTTGTATTAATTGCATTCTTTTATTGATAAATATTTTATATTCTGGAAATCATTACAGATTATATATTAATTTACAGGAATGTTAGGTTGATGATGTTTTTCTAATGGAAAATAAAGTAAATATTTTACCTTATAGTGATTGATTAAGATATGTAGACAATAATGTGGGGTTTGAATTATTAGTTACTGAGAGCAAATCATAGTAGGAATGCCAACTTGGATCCAAGTACCTTAAGTCAATGTTTTTCTTTCTTAGTTTTTCAATATTATACTTAATGGTTAGATGTTGGTTTGATTTTAATACCTTTAGATTAAATTTCTATTATTCATTAATTATATTATTTATCATACATTACTAGTATTTTGGAATGGCTGAAGTTATGAAGTTCAGAAATTATTAAATACTATATAGTACTCAAAATGTACTGTAGTTTAACTAGTATGCTATGAAGCAAGCTGTGACTTATTAGCTAAACTACGAAACCCTTAACTGTTAGGTTTCCAGGTTTAATCTAACTTAAGACCTTTCTGTTTAAGTAACAGTTATTGTTTAACGATCGTATCAGCAACTTTGTGTGTTCGCTAAACTTGATCAACCCAACTATGAAGATAGTTGAATGATATATTACAGGAAATCTTATCATACTGACAACTCATACGTTTATATTGGTAGTTAAAATGAGCTAGACATAGTCATTCAAGTAGTGACCATATGTCGATGAATTATTCACTGAATCACAACAAAATTCTCACATTTTTCTCACTTTATCAATGAAAACAGTTAAATGACACCTAAAATCAATTGAGTTTAAGAGATATCAGTAAGTTAAACAATCATTTGACATGTTGTTCATATGGTTCAGTAACTTTATAAATTAATGATAATGATTCCAAGAATAAACAATTCTAATCAATCATTGAATCATTTTTCGTCATCAAACTTTATAGAGATTTAAATGTTTTCAGGAATGACATTCATTTAGCAAATCTTTCACATAAGTGGTCAATGTGAATGAAAGATTTTAGTGATTACATAAAATTCTCTTTTAAACACTAACAAGCAAATGAAAGAAACTCTTTGTCATGACTCATTGTCATGATTAAGTATTTAATTGTCAACTTAAACTCATCTCTTTACTAAGTTAAACCCATAATTTTCGAATCCGATTGTCATTATTGTCTTCTTTCCTTCATACTTTCCAATAATTCAGTTTAACACTTATATTAATTTGCTGATTTTAAAAATGTTATGATTGTTTTTTGTACACAGTTGACGTTTAGTACTTTTTCGTAGGCAGCGTTTATCATCCACTTTGAATAATATTAGAAATTTTGAAAATACACTTGGATTTTTTAAAAGTAATCTCGATAACTAAGTAATATCTGACCCGAAGGTAAACAGATTAAAAACTTTCAAGTTTCGCGGTAAGCAGGAGTATCTCATGAACCAATTATTGACTCTTTTTAAATCCATACGATGATAATATTACGATACTAACAAATTATATATCCTATTCAACTTCATATATTTTCTGTGGAATGGTCACGATAGTAGATATAAAGTTGGACAAAAGTATTTTGGCAACACGTATTCCATGCATGCGAATAAAAGGGGCAGAAAAACGTTTGTTTCTTGACCAAAGGGCTGCCACGGTTTTATTAAAGTTGGAGAATTGCTAATTTACATCATGTACTATATTACCAGTTAGATCATTGACAAATTTCAAGATTTTACACACTAATCAATGAAAAAGGACCAAGGATTGAACACTTGTTGGTTCTCGAGCTTGCCAAACCCAGTGACCAATAAAAAAACTATGATAAGAAGCAGATCTGTACTCATGACTCAAAACACACACAACGATATGCTGAAGATTCTTGAACACACAGCACACCAAATAAAAAACCATACTCTGAACATAATGAAGCCGTAAAAGGTAGGTGGAAGCAGACAGCACATAATCAATCAGTAGTCATTGAGCAATAGTAACAGATAAAACAGCAGCTAGTAGGTCCATCAAAACACATTAAGGTAGATACAGAAACGTAACAATACGGTTATTTACAAATCATTCAATAAATATTTTAGAAATAATAAAAATTCGGTAAATAGTGTAGATAGTTTCAACTTTCTCAACATTCGCTTGCTATAACATAAACCATGAGGAAAATAACACATAAATAAAGCATCTGTTCAGCAGCTAGAATAGACTCATGTTATTGTCGAAAAAAGAAATTACTGCGAAAGACTGGCTTTGGGATAAAGTTATAAATATCCTAGCTAAAATCCATTTCTACATAAGACGTTAGTTAAGTTTAAAATGCCACTGAAGGCGATGATATCTCGGATAGTTGTCGATGATTCTTTGGGTTTTATCATACTGTCAAATAGTGCAAACTTTCCTCGAGAAATCACTGAAGTTAAACAATACTCTCTTGTCTTTTATTGTAGACTGGTTTTCCAATTAATCGTTTTCAATTATTTGGTGAAGTTTTTGCCAATGTTTTATCAAATTTTGATATTGTATCAAGTGGAATATTTTTCGATTATCAAATGTTTACTGATCATGATGGTACAACATGGGATCTATTTGCTCCATATGCGTATAAACCACTCTTGGCAACCCAAGCAGCTGAAGCAATTGATATGAGTATAAATGCCTATCGAGACTATACAGAAAAACCATGGTTTCGAATATTGAAGGTATGATTGTTATTAAGTTAGATATCCTATTTAAACAGCTTCGTCAAATTTCTTAAGAATATCATTTGTTGTATGTTGAGGAAAAAGCTGCTACAGATTTCTCAAGGTTGGATAATTCTTAATCGATATCATGTACTATGTTGCCAGTTGGGTCAGTGACAAATTTCAAGATTTTACACATTAACTAAGGTCTGAACACCTATTGGTTCTACAGTCTTCCTAACCCAGTGACCAATCAAAAGAATATGATAAGAAGTAGATTTGTTCTCTATGGTATTCAATTCAGTCATAACTGAAAAACACATACAATGATATACTGAAGATTCCTGAACACACAGCACACCAAATAAGAAATCCAACTTGAAGCACATCCATAAGTCGTAGAGGGTGAAACGAACAACACATAATTAGTTCACAGTAATCAAGCGATGGTTAAATGTATAACAATGGTGAATAGGTCCACTGAAAGCTTACAATAAAAGGAACATGGAAATACAACAAAACAGTTATCTATTAATTATACAATAAAGATATAAAAAATAATAAAAAAATCTGGAAAATATTTTTGATAGTTTCAACTTTCTCAATATTTGTCCCGTTCAGCAATATTTATGATAACCAGAGAGAAAGACAGTAAACACTTCGGTTCATTTTTCTGGAATTGTATATTTTGACAAATAATATGGTTATTTATTTACTTATATTATCGTTAAATTTAAGGATGACCTCAATCGATAGAATAAACCGATCCTCATCGCTTTAATTTTATCAGACCTTCGAGAAAAATCGTCCAACACTTAATTCATATATGTGGTCTTTTAATATCGAACACAAAATATGACATAATACGACATTTAGTCTACTACAATTTCTTCTTTGACTAAGTAATCTCTGACCTTCCAAAGAATATACCGGTAATTGAATTGACTAACAATTAGACAAATGCGTTTTGTTAAAATTATTCTCAATATAATCTTTTATATACATTTCTTAGATGAAATTAACTTGGTCAGCAATTATCTGATTGATTCAGTTTTAATTCTCAAACCATTAGCCTACAGTTATCTGGCATTTTTTATATGAAACATTGCCTACTGATAATTCCCTTAAATAGAAACACATAGAAACTAGGTATATTATTGCTTTCATTTTAAATGCGTGAAAGAATAACTTGATCTACTTCTGTTACACAGTAATTAATATATTTCTAATACTTTTTTTAGTAATCATTATTAATTACCTGTTGAAAAACAGATTACATTTCTCAGTTATCACTACTTATAATGCGTGTATTAATGTTTGCCTTCAGATAATTTTCAGAATAGTAATAAGTCTGAGGACACCCATTGTGTATGAATAGTTAGTGGACACTATAAACAGCCGTTTCACATTATATGTATATACAATACTGTTATGAATTAAACTTTCTCACCATAGACAAAGTAGATTTTTGAGATAACTGGGCGCCAAAACCATTAGTGTTCAAAAATGCTGTAAATAAGTCGTCCTCCATATTGTTATCATTACACTTTTATTTATGGTTTAACTATACATAATATCCTCATTAATGACGAAAAAAGCTAATTGATCTCACTATTATTATCAGAATTATAGACCAGTTCACATGTGATATACTAATTGTAAAAAAAAATATGTTGCCATTTTCTACAAATAGATTATTTTTCTTTACATGTTTGTTGTTAGGCAACTCAAAATGTGTTTTTTTTTCACTTTAGATCGACGTAATTCATTGAAAAATGTAGTTGGACAGCATAGATATTAGACATATTAAATAAAATAAATGAGACATTGAACAGTCACTTCATCTATTTAAAACTATGTGCCACAATAGTTTCCGTTAAGTGACGTTGAGCTTTTCACTGTATTGAATTTTTTTCAACTCTATTTACATGCTTGTAAAGCATTTGAATATATAACTTTAAATAATATTGAAATAGACTGTTATAAATTAATTCACTGCAAATCACTTTAAAAATAATTTTCTTGATGCTCTAATCTCTTATAGAGAACCATTGAATGTCACTTATTACTGGCATCAAGTCTCTTCCTGTTTATATTCTTTACTCAGTTTTAGTAAGAGATAGAAATCGATTTCATCTAAAATAATCCTCAAAATATTCCAATCTCAGTGATAAGAACTATGTGCTCATTAAGGATTAGCATTAAGATCAATATTATTGAGTGATGGTTATGGTGTTTTTGCAAGTAAACTGAATGAATAAAGTATTACACCTCTAACTGAGACTCATGATGGACCTTAGTTTTATACAGTGTCAATGCATTACTGGATAGATTAAAACTTAAAACAAAGTAATTATCCAGTATTCGCTGGTTTTTATTAGATTTATTAGTTAAATCAGTTTAGTACACTAGTAATATATCAAATCTAACATTATTACCCATAAATATTCGAAATCGCAAATTCTACAGGTTAAGTTTAAATGACTTGGGAAAAAATACCTGCTTACATATGTAGATGATACAAAATATCTGTTTACATTAGTAATATACCTTTTAAACTATATACAGAGTTTCCATCAATGACATGAAATTTCTTGAGTTTATTCCTATCTTTTACGTTACACACACGAACTTCTTGATAGCTAACTAATTAATTGTAATCGTTGAAAAGATAATAATTGATTCACATAAAAACATTTATTTTATTTCATCTGTAAACGAAATGAATATCATTGGTAATATGAAGATAAGTAACCTGAATTCTACCTACCTACCTACCTACATTCAGTTTAACTGAATTAAAATAAAAAGTTGTATAAAAAAGTCTGATTGCATTCATTCAACAAAACTTTTGATTAATTCAATTATGTATTAGATTATGTAATACTTTTTTTTTCTTTCTTTCAAACTCCTGAGAATATAATTCAATCCATAGTTACAATTTTGTTATTTTAATCAATTTCATTTCATGTTTCTATGATAGATATTAAAATTCAATTTAAATAAATAAATTATATAATTTAATATATACTGACTAAAAAATGTATAAGAATTTGAAATAATTCTGAGAAAGTAATTTATTCTCTTGGTATTGTTTGGCTTGTATCTTCCCATTGAGTTTAAAGACTGCAATTGATCAGTCTGTTATTGGCATATGTGCATACTGCGCGTATGCCTCGATATTGCCTTAATTCATAAGCATTTTGTAGTAAGCAATGATGGACTCAGTAGCTGAATGGATAACGCGATGGCGTTTGAAGCGAATGGTACTGGGTTCGAGTCCCAGAGTGAACATCAACTCTGAGATGCAGGTGCATCCAGCTGAAGAGTCCAAAATAGGACGAAACACGCGTCCTGGATTCCACTGCTAGCCACTATCCATCATTGCTTACTACAAAAAGTAATTTATTCTATTGAAAATAAAACAAACTTACAAACCGATACATCTATTGTTAAATCTCGATAGAATAATGAGAAGACGGAGTTGATCTGAAAAATGTGATGTATTTGCGCTATACATTTCGAACAATCTGGTCATACATATACTTGTCAGGGTATTTTATATGAAAATTTTTTACTTGAACTTTCATTTAATTGACCTTTATTTATTTTCATAAAATACCCTGACAAGTATATGTATGACCAGGTTGTTCGAAATATATGGCGCAAGTACATCACATTTTTCAAATCAACTCCGTCTTCTCAATGTTCTATTGAAATTTGTAAAAGGGACTAATTGCTTTAAGTATTGTTAAATCAATGACATCTAAGGATTACCAGATAGATGTTTCATTGACTTTTTTTCAGTTTCTTAGTGATATTGTACTTAAAAATCTCAAGAATTTCAAGTTTTAATAGTAATTTGCTATGTTTGAAGTGATTATGAGTACACTTAGTCTAAGAACGGTACAAAGACTCTGTGAGCGAAGATCAATAAACTAGCTGCTATTCTAATACGTCTCAGCTCAGATAACTAGAGAGAGAAGTTCAAGTTCGAATAGGGAAATATATTCCACAAGCAACCAGAAGCACGAGCAATCACGACGACCAGTCTAGTTGGAAATACACTCATTTATATATTGGTTTATACATCCATTTTTGATTAATAATCAGAATAAATCACATATCTGAAAAATACTTCATATAAGAACATCGTATTTTATACAGAATAAAATGTCATAGGGGAACACAGTAACAAATACTATACTGAGTGATCATCAAATTTAATGAAACGGAATTAATGCTGAGTAAAAATCATAATGAGTAAATCAATCTAATTTTGACTTTTCGTCCTGTCATAACATAAGTAAAATATCATTTCAGTTAACGAGTCTTTAAATCATTGACTCGGTTTATAAACTTGAATCCCTTTTGTGACACACGTTCAAAGGTCGTCCATAAAATGGAGTTTCACTCATACTGCAATTCTTTGTGAAAGCCATCGAGAGTTTATTATCAAAAATCAAACCAATGGGAGATACAACTAAAACAAATAAGTAAACAGTGACAGTTTTAAGGTCACCAAGAACCAATCAACATCGAAGTCTACAGGACAAGATATGAACCATATGTGGAGAAATTTGAACACTTCGATTCTACCTGAAGTTTGTGCTGATGATGTCGTTCAGAATAACGACGAAAGCCTCATGACCAAATCATCCAGCTCAGAGAAGAAAACTCCATGAAAAAGAGATTATTGCTTTACTTCTGATATTATTAATTTGAGAAATTATGGGTTTCTGGTAGAGATTTTAATGGACCGCCGTGAAATTATCTAATCATGAGCACATAAAGTAGTTAAGTTAAAAAAATATAGAATTATAACATTCAAAAACGATCTTCTTATTACTTCAGGTGTAATGATTTTCAAAATACTCGAAAATGATAACAGTGGAGTTCAATATGTGTCGAGTGGAGACAGTTATCCACTTCAGACAATGGATAAAGGGTCACGCAAGATTATGGATTGATTGGAGTTAGACATTCACACCGTTGTATTCCGGCTCAGTGGTCTAGGGATTAAGCGTTCGCACACAAAACCAAAGGTCTTGGGTTTGAATTCCATGTTTGGAATCGTCGATGCTATCTGCTCAGGATTCCCATACAAGGACGAAGTTGCCGTTCAGTGCTTCCAAGCTTTCAATGGTGGTCTAGCTTAGATCGATTCATGAGTTCAACTATCAAAAACGTTTCTACAGTCTCTATAAATCCCGATTCTAATAACAATGAATTTATCCTCCAACCGATTTTAAATAAAATGTAATTAGCTGTAGGATCATTAAAAGAACAGTGTGTTGACCAGTACTGTTCGAGGAGATAGACTTTAGAGTAGTAGCGTTTTCTACTATTTTCTTAAAATTTTCAATGGATGTCTTGGATAATATTATCTACAAATGTCAAAACAAGCTAAATTCTTGGATTATTATTATGCAAACATAATACATTCCGTTATGAAATAAAATGGTATGATTAAATTTTTAAAAATGGTATTTAAATTTGAATTTCGTTCCTCAGTCAAGATGGGCATCAAGCCGTCAGAGCTTAGAGCGAATTACAGCGAAACCATATATAAGGAGTGATGTGAATGGTAGTCAAATACAGCGTTATTTCACATTTCCCATCTACTATCGTGTACCACATTATGAAGAAGGTTATTGGACACAACCATATTTCGATTGTGATGGTTTGGTAAAAGATTGGCTTATTACATATGCAACACCATTTTTCGGTGTCGTCGGTGAAGAAAAAGCTTTAAGATTTATGTAAGTAACATTTTTCATTTTTTTATTTATCTGAATTTCGTATTTATTTTACACATAGAAATGAACCTCCAAATGAAGATTTTTCACAGTAGTTTGTTGATTTTGAAAGTTCAAAGTACAAAACGTCAGATCTCATTGTTCAGTAACAATTAACAATCAATAAAAAACACAGTAGCATGATGATAGTTTTATCCAAGATGTATGTTTAATTAAATCAAGGAAATTCAGATTTGGATAATTTTAGATCCATTTAAACTAGTTTAAATACCAAACGATACTGCTCAGTGTATATGTAACGTTGAAAGATGGTTTTCAATTTAATCGAATTACAGAATGTATAAGAATTGCAGAAGTATTCAAGCCAATGTATTTCAAGTATTTGGTTATATGCTTACGCTTATCTGTGTCAGAAAGTACTGAGACAGTAGCCATGTGCTGAATGACATGCCTGTAATTTGTAAGAGGTAGTCAGTTGTAGCAAATACATTTCCAAGGAAGTGATGAACACCTACTCTTCCAGGTGGGTGAATATACCTATATGTATGCTATGAAACGCATGGTATAAAACCTATGTGCTACCGGTGTGCATGTAACGTATATTTGCTCACAGGGTAGGTATACTTGTATGTAAACCAAGGGATACTCGGATGAAAGTTCATGTGCTACCTAGTATGCATGTAGACTATCCCTATCTAGGGTAAGTGAAAACTTTAAAAATCATTTACTTGCTCTTCTTACGATACCCAGATACACTGAAAGACTTGCAGTGCCGCTGTTCCCCATAAAATCACATCCACGCGGTGGGTTTGTGAGACTTGAAAATACGGGATACATCCCAGAAGGGCCTGTAGACTTCACTAGAAGAAGCTTTACCAACCAGTCTGCCTGAAATACCACACCATAGCATTATCACACATATTTAATAAAATATTATCGTGTCAATATTTTGTCAGTAGTGAAAAGCACTAAGATTTATTAAATAGTTGATTCTGTGATCTTTAAGTACAATTTAATAATACCAATTTATGTAACTTTCAGTTACACTTAGAAGACATTGACAACATCTGATACAACTTCAGTAATGATGAAGTTGTTTTACTTGTTATTCATTGGTGGCATCAATATATATTCTATTTGCTTTTTTTCCTTGTTTATTAATAAATTAAAATTATCTGCCAAAAATATCTTGAAGACCTTAACTTTCAAGGTCCGTTTAAAGACAAGAACCGATTACAGTCTTAAACATCAACAGAGAGAAAATACAAACACTTACAAGTAAAATTCATACACGTTGAAAACAACAATGGCTAACCGGCCCCAATAACTCAATGAGTAATCCGTTGGCATTTAGGGTAAAAGATCGTAAGTTTTAGTAATAGTGTAAACACTGACACTACAATACTGGTTATATTCAGTTAATAAGTTAGAAATAAGATAAAATGTTTGTTCTAATTTTCTCTACTAGTTTATACCGAACTTGATCATTTTTTAAGTATAGTTCAATTTTGTTTATTATTTCCAGGGGTGTTGTAACTGCTTCTATAAAGCTAACATCATTGGATATAAATCAATGTCCTCAGTCGTTTTATACACCGAATTTCTTTAAAAATACAGCAAGATGTGATTTCCGAAGCACATATGTATGTTCTACTCTTTGTTTATTCATGGATTTAATAGAATATATATATATATATATATATATATATAAACACGTAGTGAACAAACACTCAATTGGGATAGATCAATTTATTGTTTAATGCGTAATCACACATTGCTTTAGCAAAATGTTCAAGCCATACATCACTTGCACATCTTTGTTTTATCTCACAAGTTTCACTGTTCTTTGATCGCTGTTGTTATCCTGATGACTATTAGTTTCCTTCTCTCTTCCCTTCATCCCAATTTTCCCAATCTTCGGTTGCCAGGCATTCCACTCCCGTCTGATGGTACATACTACTTATATCTGAAAACATAAGTAGTGCACACCATATATAGAGAGAGACAGATCAACATGATTTGATCAGTTATAATAAAGATCACTTAAGATGCAAACTGATATCAAATTATTTTAGTCTGACTTGAGTAAAAATCTATACAGTGGAATGAAAACATTGTTTATTCAACAAGTTAATCAAAATGGATCACCTAAGAATATAGATCTGAAAAATCTAACCGTCTTTTACTACTAAATAAAAAATTCTTCAACTTGAATAAAGCAGTAATAACTCAGGTTTTCATACTATTCATAACATTTTAAATAGAAACATGAATATATATAAATGTATCCTGGTAAATTCTCTTTTTATTTTGTATAGTCTTCCCAATGTTTGTAATGTTTTTGTAGTGTAGTAAAACAATTGGGGGGGGGAATGATTACATTTAGAAGAAAAAACTAGTGACACATTTGAACCAATTTTTTAAAAATAGACTTATCCGTGAAAGCAAAATATGATCATTTAGATAGTTAGACAAACAAATAAAGTATGTAGCATAGAATAGTGACCAAGTCCGATCAATTAAGAAATAAATGAACACTTAATAAGTATATGTATGCAACTTCACATTAATATAATATTGGGCATCATATATTTTACCAGTACCCACATACTTTGAAAATCTATTTAAAATTAAGTTTGGCTAAGATTTTATATACAACATTGATTAATATACAACAGCATGAGATTTTAGTTAAGGCATTGCATTTTCAAGCATTGAATAGAAAAAAAACAGTTGCCTGGAAATGTTTATATTTATTGCTTATACAGTTTTCGAAAACATACTTATCGTTAAACGTATCTCAGAAAATATTAGTTATGTTACTGTGTGATACACTTCTAGTCTGAGCCATGTTGGTAGATGAAGATTACTTGGTTGGGGTCCGCGTGACTATCGTAATCAATGGTTGGAGACTCTTGAGGACATGGTTCAGAATCGATCAAAGTGGCGTTGGTGTATACACTTTCTGTCTTCCCTTAAACTAAGATATTAAAATCACTTCATATCTTTCTTTCTACGAACTAATTCTTTCTTCCTGTACTATATCCTTGTATGCAATCTTTCTTTTACATATTACCACCATCGAGTTAACTACTATGAATCCGGTGTTCATCTTGCTGTGCTAATGAGGTACGGCAACTTGGACCGATGCATATATGTGCCTGGTCCTACGTTGTAGCTGACTGACTGACAAGTTAAATAGTGAATATTTTTAACAGAGAGTGGTAGGTTATAAAAACTTACAACTATGTTCTTCCTATATTTTCTAAAGGAGCTATATAGTATTTGTAATCTTCGAATCCAAAATTTACTATTTTCCTAATGAGTGTGTTGCATAGGGTCACCCATTCATTAATATAAATATGTAGACCTCAATAAATCAAGCCAGATTTTCAACCAAAAGTTTAAATCTACCTCCTTTCTATAATTAAGTCAAATCAGTAGCATTCATCTATCAATATCTGTCATTTATCATCTGTCCTTGAACACATATGCCTGATTGGTCCAACCTTCGAGGATGAATGAAACTTAATTTGATGACTGGATAACATTCTGGAACAATTAATTAAATGCTATTACTTATCCGTTGTAAACGCTTATGCCAAACAGAAAAATGGTGAGAATCACTATTTCATTTGATTGATCATTACTAAGTAATATATACTATCGGATTTTCATCTGACTTTTCCATTTTAACAGTTGAACTCACAAGCCGATCTAAACTAGACCACCATGGAAAATCTGGAAGCCCTAGACGGCTCATGACTTTAACTTTTAAAATACTACAATCTCCACAAATCCCCATACTAATAATCTTCCATTTTATTTTATCCATATATTAGTGCAAATTAATACCAAGACATTATTTCACATCTGGTAGTTATAAATGTGAATGCCGCCAAGGTTTCGAATATCCAATGAACGATCGTACTTGGTATTTTCATGGCGAAATGATGGAACGTGAATATCAATTAATGTTGGCTGGTAAACCGAATCGTTATGAATTATTACGATGTCGTCAAGGTGTCGCAAGTGGATTATCTAGTTCATCAGTTGTAATACTTGTATTGGTTAACTTTATAGTGATTTATTTGCATTCATTATGACTAGACAATCTTGAAGTGTTTTTTCTTAAATGATAATAATAACAATACAGTAACTTAATAGCATGTAATTTTTATTTTCTGAAATATTTTGTAAATAAAATGTTTACTACTTATTTGCTCTTATTAAGTAGCATTCCAGGACTAGATGTACAATTTGTGAATGACTTAGTACACTTCAAATCACTTAGAAAACAAAAGACTTGTGTGTAGGTAAGAGTGCTATGTTCAGAGATCTTCAGAATAACTAGCTTTCTGTTAGTTATTTATGTTCCCATAACTCTTAGCATCCAAAGGAACCGTTAAGTTTATTTGGTGTTATCGAGATCAAATGAAGCAATACGTGGATGTCTTAAAACCTAGTTACAACTGAAGAATATTTGTTACATTTTAATCGGAAGAAGTAAGAGGAGTTATTTCGAAAGACTACTCAAAATACTGTATTATGAATAAAAAGGGTTTTTAGAGTGATATAACTGACGAACTCGAGTTTGCGGTGGTTCTTGCATAGAAATTCACTTTATCTACAAATGAATGAACACAAGATTATTGGATTGTAGAATTTTCATGGTTTAGATTACAAACTGATCTTAGGAAGATAACCACTAAAAACACGGAAGCACTGGACATCTGTTTCTTCCTAATGTAGAACTCTTCAACAATACACATCGACGACCTCCAATGCATGGGGATCAAACTTAGGGCATTCAGTCTCACATACGAAATGTTAACCAACAAACCATCGGTTGAATATAAATACGTATACCATTGGATGCCCGTCTTAGATTCTGTCACACATATTGTGGTCGTAGATTAGCGATGTTGACAAGTCCCATACCAGAACGAAACAGTTCTCCAATGTTTTATTTTTTGGTTCCAATATTTGTCTACCTAAGTTTATTTTGTGATTTAAACTGAAAATAACAAGGTCAAAACATTTAAAATAAAGTATAATTAACTCGTCAGTTTTTCACAATTTGATTATAATGAATCAAATGATTGTTGTCTAAATCAGTTATAATGGAATAGAATAACCTCATGATATAGTTTAAATGATTTGTAAAGACAAAATGATACGCATTAACCTCAAGTTAAAACGAAATAATGATGAAGTGACACTTAATGCACATGCACATATCTTAAAAGGTCATTCAGTAAGTTAGTTGACAAGTAATGTTTAACATTTAAAGTTTCATATTATGTTTTAAAGGAAATTTTTATTGTTACTATATGTTTCTTTATATCGTCCTACGGACTTGAGAAGATTCACTTATAATAGACAGGAAAATCATATATTTTGTTAAACACCGAATTATTTGAAAAAAAATGCTACCAATGTACATTAAACATTAGTCAGCGTTGATTATTTAAAGAATCTTGTAAAGTTTTCTTTATCGTAGAGTTTCGAAGTAAAACAAATTAATTTACTATAAACTCATTAGTAATCGTTTTATCAGCTTATATTAATTAATGAATGATATAATGTATGCTTACACTCATCTTAAAATGAATTGTATGAACTATGAGCAGAGTAGGATGGTAGCAAGTAATGAAATCCAAGATGCACGTTTCACTCTACTTACGAGTTATCAGCTGGATATACCTGCATTCCAGAGTTGAGGTTCACTCGAAGGCAATACTTTCAGGTTCAAACAGAAGTGCATTATCCACCCAGTTAGATGGACACTAGCTTGTGTAAACGGGTGAGTTTTAATTCATTTATATCGGTTGTTTAAATTGTAGTTGTCGAGGTCCAGGTAAATTCGACTGACGAATTACAAATAAGATAAAGTGTGCGTTCTGGGTTTTTTTACCAGCTACCATTCAACTTCGCTTATGATACTTGTGATTTATTAGTAATACCGAGCCAATTCTCATAGGAGCACATATGCCAAAATAGACTAATCAATAGCACTTCTAAACATCCTTATGAAGATTCAAGAAACCAAAGGAAATGAGTATAATGTGGACTGTTGATAAAACCATATTGGATAGAAGAAGAAAATGTATAGAAGTAATAAAACCTGTTCATTTAAATAAACACTTATATGTTATATTCCAATTCACCTATAATGAAATTTTAACTTGCCAAACATTCGTTGTCACTTCCTATAACTTGTTAAGCTTTGCTCATAGTACACTAGGTTTTTCTTATGTAATATAAACTATTTACTTTGAATCTAGCACTATAGTCTACAGTTACTGAAGTATTTTTGAAAAGCATATTACTTTATGCTTAACATAGGTTTCTTTTGAGACGGATTCCCGGATCCTAAACTTATAAAGATAAACATAGAAAGATATCCTTTGCATTCGCAACTATTGTAATGATTGATATGTCTTAATTTCCCTCCCTATTTACTTCACATAATGCATTACCCACTCTTTATTTATGCATCAGCACTCAACATCCAAACCCTATCTTACTGTCTCTATCTTCCCACAAAAGTTGGTTTGGCCATAACAACATTGTCGGTGTTTGTCGTTTTCTGATTGGGATTTACAATACTTTTATTAAACTATCTAGTATGTCTAATAACGTGAAAACCTTACTATAACATTACCAAAGTTTTCTGGTATACTCTCTTGAACAAGCTGTTTTGACATTCTTATTGGACTGAAAGTAATAAAGAACTTTTTGAATATGACTTTTGATGTCATTGATCTTTATTCTATTAAACAATTATCAACATATTAAATTCCATTACGAAACATACATTTTTTTTTCCAAATTTTCACATTTTACAACCGTGCAAAGATTAACAGTTAACAAGATAAATAGCAAAATAGTTTAAATAATGGTTAAATGAACGATAGAAAATAAAATGAGTGATATCTAAACAAAGGCAGTTTTAATGCAATGAAAAATTTAGTTACTATATTGTAACGGATTCTGAGCGGTTTCCAATCAGATATAATTCTATTTGTCCATGTTAGAACTAATAAAATTTCACCTTCCATTATTGACTTTAAGAACTGATATTGCAGCGATACCAAATGTAGTGAACAAGAACACCAGTGGGGACAATCGAATGTATTTGACACAAAATTACTGCACTTGTTAATAAAATCTAACGATCATATAGTAAATCCTTAATTTGCGAAATGTCCATCAACTGTCTTAAAATGACTCAGACTTCACTGTTCTTGCATTTTCATACAAATTGCATTCTTTTTCCATTCTTTACTGTTCGATCTTCTTGTCTCTCTGATGCCAGACATTCTGTTCACAACTAACATCATATACTACTTATGTCGATATATGTAGCACACACCACAATATTACATTGTGATTTTATCACGGCAAATCTTCTTCCAACCTATATCTAAATTAACTATCATTTCTGTTGGACATATGTACCAAATACTTTAGGTATCTCTGTTGATGATGATACAGAACAACATCAATCAATTTACGATCTTCGTCCAGAATTTTAACTAATGATACACGTGTCCTTCACTTTCACAGACCAAGTTTTACTGTCATCGCGTTTTTAAAAGTAAAATAACCATCGGAAAAGGGAATTCTCTGGAGTAGAATTATGAACTCTTACTAAAAGCTATATGCGAATGCTTTTTATAATGTGGCAAATTATTCAACCAGATGACAAATGTATCAAACCCTATTTTTATAACATTTTTTGTCAAATTCAATTATAATACTCAAGAAATATTGAACCATGTTATTCGAGGTTTATGAAATCAGTCTGACTATTGATAATACTTGGATAAGTACCTGGTATCTTAAACAGTTTACTTCATTATTGACCAGATCATATTTGTGTCGACGGAATATGATTTCAATGGATAAGATCATGAGTCAGTTGAAGCTAGACCACCATGGAAAACCTGGAAGCACTAGACGACCGTTTCGTCCCATTTTGGGATTCCTCAGCAGTGCGCATCCATGACCTCACCCCCTACGAGCGTCGAATATGATTCACTTGTACAATATGAAACAGGTCATCACAATGGTAAAACAATCAAACGGGTATTAACAAAAACCTAAATATATTAGAATAACGGTACCAAAATATTTTCATTTCTTCATTATTTTCCTTTGCATTAATACAAAACAATAGAACTCAGAATATACCTATCGTTGAATAGTTTTAAAAAAAGGAATTAGTTTGGAAACAAATATTTTCCGTTGTGAAACTATTTACATACCGACATTCTAAACGTGAATGTTACCATCTCTCTCTTGCTAAACTAAAAATTGGAGCAAACGGCGTCTGAAGTTACTTTTAGTCACAGGCTACCATGGGACTGCATCTCATGACGTTGTTCTACTGCCTTGTGGACTAGACATCTTGGTCAAATGCTCGGGGAGTGATCCTCTAAGTAAATCATTTGTTTCAGTTCTGGTTCCCACACAGTATCAAAGCTCTCACACAAATCGAATGATGAAATGTGGCAAATATGTATTCGGTGCCCCCTTGTACCAATATTTATGTGTTTAAATAAATAAATGAAAGCTAAAAATTTAATAACTGTAATTTCACAAATCTATCATAATAAAAGTAAAGTCATCAAACCACTGATTTGTGAAAATGTAACAGAATCAAATTACATCATTAAAACTTTGTATATCATTCATTTGCATTAAATTATCTGATAACTATTCGGATATATTGTCACCGAGTTTATGAACACACTATATGGACATAATTAATTCACTTTAGTATCTAACTTGTGAAATATATTCATACTAAGTACTTACTTAACTTACATTTAAAATGTTTCTGTACAAATTGGTACTAGTTCCCTTGATTAACAACCTACTTTAGTTAAAACTCCATAACTTGAAAAAATATTTATAATAATACTTTTATAAGAATATATGTCAAGATTAGAACGAATAGTTTGACAGAATTTTGGCGCCGAGTATAAAGAAGTCATTATATATGAAAATTATAAATATATATATATATATATATATATATATATATATATTACCCTGAAGAAGTTCAGACAAGTTAATTGGACGAAATATTGGAATTATTTCAATTTCAATCGCTCACATAATTTCAAATATAATGATCACATATAATAATAACACTTTTGACACAATTATTTTGGTTGGTTAAAATAACACCAATAATCTGATTGGTTA